TTCTTTTTCTCTTCTTTTTTCTCTTCTTTTCTCTCTTCTTTTTCCTGGGTCGCTTCGCCTTTCTAATGTTCTTATTTGTTTCACAATAAGGTCCTGTAGGGCACAGATTACTGCGCCATTGCCAAACTCCTATCAGTGACCGACTAAGGCATCTGGAGGGCCCGCCCCCAGACCTTCGAGCGCGGCGGGCCCCTTCGTCCGCCGAGGCCGCTATCACGCGGCTCGTGCCCAACGTTGCTATGGAACGGCACACTATATTGAGGGATTGGGGGCTGAGGCGGACTGCATCCGTTGCGTGCCCGCACTGACCAGGGGCATGACAAAACATGATGCTGATGCAACCACGTCCCGCCCTAAATCAGCCCGATTCTCGGCCGAATCACAGCCCCCAGACGGCCCAGCGACCCCCCGCCCCGACTACTGTGCCTCGAAAAAGCAGCCTGGTGCTTCTCTCGCTGTCCGCACTCCATGACGGCGGCGGCATGGACGTCGACACGGCCTGCTGGCCTGCTGGCCTGCGGCCCGCGGCCTCGTTGCTGGCAACCGGTGGGGCGATGGGTCTTTTTCGTTGTTCATTCAGCTCCCCGGCCCGCTCGACCCTGCATCCCCAGCATCAGCTTGAGTGTCGTTGGGTCACGGCCGTCAACTCGGCCTCCAAAAGCGGCTAGAGGATCCGCAACATACCCTAAAATGGGAAGACTTGATTGGCTGGTTGGCTGAGATCAGAGGCCAAGCAACCTGCTGGAACCAACGGACTCAAGGGGACAATGGATCCTAGCAGTGGATCCCATCGTGCCGCGCTTCTCACGCGGCGCTTCCCGCATGCACCTCGCCCAATTGCGCCAATCAGCAGATCTCTCTTAAGTGTTAGACGCCCTGTACTGGCAAGTGCCTTGTCAGGCATTATTTGGCGCCGCATTGGCCTGGGGCTCTCAAACGCTGGACAATCCCCACTCTGCCTTTGTGCTCCAATGGTACGCGTCGGGCGCGCTCAGAAAAGAATGGCAGCATGCGCTCACCTCTGCTTGTCGTGCAGGGAGAGACGTCGGATGGCAGGCTGCAGGTGCCGAAACACTTCGAAAGCCATCATGGAGGAAACTGGCTTCCCCGCCAGCGGTGGGGAAGCATGCTTGTTGCGTGCGTTGAAAAGGAGCCGATGCCGTCTACCCAGACCGACGTGTCGTTCTCGCATCCCATCATGCAGGACCCTCCATACTTCGCCCTTGAGCTTCCGCCAAAATGATACAAGGTGCTGACAGCCCCGTCGGCAACCGTCACTCGGCACTCCCGCCGTCTCCCTTGCGTGCCCGTGGCGCACCGCCCAGCCCATCACCACGCCAAGCACATGTCGACGACCCGGACCTGCCCTTCATCGACGACGCGGCCGAGCCCAGTCGGGCACGGCCGGGGTTAAAGAGGAGCCTAGGAGTTCTGAAGGTGCTGGTCATCTGTGGTGGTACGCTGGCCATCTTCGCCCTCGTCGGGTTTTTGGCTTTCATCTGGAAAAACGCCAATGACGCCACCTTCGAGACCTCGCCCTCTCCCCCGACCACCCTTTGGAGGCGCCTGCTCAACTCAGGACGGCTCCTGCAGATCATCACCGTGTCAACGGTGATGCTCCGCTTCCTGGCGGCCCTACAGGTCGGGGTTATGACCCAGATGCTGTCGTCCCTCGTCCTCGAGCGCGGCGGGTGCTCGCTCAAAGACCTCGCCCTGCTCTCCCTTATGCGAGCCGAGACCTCTGGGCCTTTCGGAGAGATAACGTTCGCCATATGGAGGCAGCGTGGACTGGCGAACAGGGTTTTAGGAGCCCTGCTCTTTCTCCTCCTGATTGTTTCGGGGGTGACCCAGTTCAGCTCGACGCTACTCGTCACCGACATCAGCACGGTCAAGGTCCTCGACGACTACAACATATCCAACATCAGTGTTGCCTTGCAAACTTCTACAACGGAGTTTTACGGAACGCAAACGGGCAGCTACTGGGCGACCCGACCCCCAGCTTACCCCCGCTTCGCCGAAGATCCGGGCTCGCCCGTCCAAGGGGAGGACTATTACGACACAGGCACCACAATTCGCGCATTTCTTCCAGTGGACAGCTCCAGCCAGCGCACAGCGATGCGCAGTTACGAGGGCGTCACGTCGGCGTTTGATGCGCGTGTTGTCTGTGTCCGCCCGCAGTTAACGGTAACCAGTTTCAATTATACCAACATGCTCCATCTTGAAGGAACCATCTCGTGGAACGACAAATACGAAGGCGTGCAGCGCTATGTTCCACGTGGTGGTGTTGCAGACGCACCATCCTTCTCTTGCAAGGCGTCGAGCGGATTTATAGAGCCGAACGTTACCCGGTCCCCGGAAGCCTCGAGCCACGTCTTCATGTGTGTCGTCGGCAACCGAGTGGGGTTTATAGATGGCAAAATGCGCCCCGATTTCAATCATGACGCTTTTGGTTTCAACGCCCTTGGTTCCGACACGCTTGGTTCCGACTCCCTTGGTTCCGACTCCCTTGGTTTCGACGCCGCCACTGATTCCGAAACCTCTGCTGGACCTGCGTCAAACCTCTACGGGAAAGGAGGTGCGGATGGATACCTTCTCTTCAATATGCTATCAAGTTTGCAGCTTTGGATACCGTACATGAAGGAGGACGGCTTCCGGAAGTACAGTATGCAACCCAGCCACCCCCTGACCGAGTCCAACTCTTCGGGCATGTGGCAGAGCCTCCGCCTCGACGGTTCGGATCTCGGCATCGACGCCACACTGTGCTTTATCAATTCCATCGATCAATACTACCACATCACCGCCGACAGCCCCCGCGACGGACAGGAGCCAGCGGCGGGACGGGACGCCAAAACGGGCGAGTACGTTAGCGAGGCGGCGCGCGACTTTCTCGGCGCCACGCTGCAACCCCGTACCCCTGAAGAACGTGGCCTGTTGCGCCTGCACCCACAAAGCAACTGGACGGCGGCAAGCGCTGAAACCCGGTCAACATTCGGCCCCAAACAATTGTATGAAGCATGGACCATGGCCCGATCCTCCGAGAAGCAAACCACTTCTCTGGATCACGAGTACGTCACCACCACGGCTTCGGGGGAATCGATATTCGTGCCGCACCGGGGCCACTCGAGGCTTTTCCAAAGCGTAATGGCGCACACGGGCAACAACGCAGCGCTGGGGTTGCAGGCGCTCTTTACGGGGCTCATGCAGATGGCTTATTACGACGTCTTGCCCGAGTGTGAGCTCAAGGTCGCCACCACCACGCTCTTCTCCAAGGCCGTCCTGATCCCCAACAAATGGGACGGTTTTTATATCTTTTGCGGCGTTTTCGCCGCCCACCTCGTTCTCATGCTTGTAATCACGGCCATGTTCCTTGGCGAGACAAGGATGAGCTTCTTGGGGAGCGCGTGGCCTGCCGTCGCGCAGGTTGTCGCGGGGATTGCCGAGTTGGACGTTCGAGAGTTCAAGGACAAGACGGACGACGAGGTTAAGGAGGATCTGCGCCGCAGGCCTGACGGCCCGCCCGTTTTCATTCGCTCTTTGGCAGTCGAGCAGCACAAGGAGGGGGAGGAGGCGGAAGAGAGTGGATACGAGGGTTCACGCAACTCCAGCGCCGGCTCTCTGCGTCGGGTGTCGCTGGAAAGACCACCCGCCGGTCTCCATTCGCACGTCGACGGGCGAGCAGCGCAAGGGGGAGGTGAGGCGGAACGGAGTGTATATGGGGGTCCACACCGTGACAATACCGACTCGCTGCGCCGGGTATCGTTGGAGACATCGCCCGCCCGTTCTTATTCCCACGTCGGCAGGCGAGCAGCACGAGGGCAGGGAGGAGACGGATCACAGTGGGTATGAGGGTTTACATAGTGACAACCCCGGCCACGGAGCCAGTCTGTACTTTTTTGGTAGATTTTACACCGTTCTTTTTGTTTCTCTCAAGGCACTCGGCCAGCAGGAAGATGTTTGCGATGGTAGTTGATGCAGTGGATGGCATTCCATCTTATACCTCCTGTCTAGGTACCAGGTACTAGTGGTTGGGGTAGTGGGGCCATTTCTAACGGCACTTCAAGACAAGAGCACTGATTGGGCACATCGCCCCACCTTTGGTCTTCTATCAAGGTGGTCTATTGACTTCATTATCCCCTGCTCTCTCATTCGAAAGAAGCCTTCTCATCATGAGTTGGAACCCGCATTCTCAACATCCCCAATGTTGAAATCCGGCTAGTCGGACCAAAGAGCATATTGTCCCAAAGCGTCACTCTCAAACACTTGAAAGGAGCCAGTCACAACCACCATGTCTGCAAAAATCCCACCCCCAGACCGCGCGGGGACGGGGTCGTCATCGCAGCAGATACAGCCACCCCAGGCATCAACAGCAGACGCCTTCTTCGCCTCCCCCCGCGCCGTCTATGTCGCGGCCGCCCTGCTACGCGCCGGCATGCTACTCTACGGCGTGTGGCAGGACGCCGCGTCGCCCGTAAAGTACACCGACATCGACTACCTCGTCTTCACCGACGCCGCTCGCTTCGTCGCCGACGGCGCCTCCCCTTACGACCGCGCCACCTACCGCTACACGCCCCTTCTGGCCTGGATTCTGCTCCCCACCACCTTTGGCAGTGCCGGCCCGTCCCTCTGGCGCCTGCTCTGGTTCTCCTCGGGCAAGGTCATCTTTGCCGCCGCTGACGTGGCCGCCGGCTGGCTGCTCGTGCGCATCCTCCTTTTGGATGGTGGTGGCGGTGGTGGTGGTGGTGACGGCGGCGGCGGCGGCGGCGGCGGCGGCACCATGTCCCCCGCGCGCGCCCGCCGCTTCGCCGCCGTGTGGCTGCTCAACCCCATGGTGGCCGCCATAAGCACGCGCGGCTCTTCCGAGGGCCTGCTCGGTGCGCTCGTGGCCGCCCTGTTGTGGGCTGTGCTGCGCCGCCGCGTCGTGCTGGCCGGGCTGATCCTCGGCTTCGGCGTGCACTTCAAGATCTATCCCTTCATCTACGCCCCCGCCATCGTGTGGTGGATGGACGACGAGCACATGTCGGCCTCTCCCTCCCCTACTTCCTCCTCGGGCAAACGCCGCCGCCGCCGCGACGATGGAACAACAGTCATCCAGCGCGCTGCGGGCTTCGTCACCGCGCCCCGCCTGCTCCTCGCCGCCGTCAGCCTCTCCTCCTTCGCGGCCCTCAACCTGCTCATGTACGCCCTCTACGGCCACCCCTTCCTCGCCCACACCTACCTGCACCACGTCACGCGCATCGACCACCGCCACAACTTCAGCCCCTACAACACCCTCCTGTACCTCGAGTCCGCGTCCGCCGCCACCTCGGGCAGCAGCGGCAGCAGCAGCAGCAGCAGCAGCCTCGGCGGCAGCATCGAGTCCGTTGCCTTTGTCCCGCAACTCCTCCTCTCCACCATCCTCGTGCCCCTGGCCCTGGCCAAGCGCGACCTCGCCTCGGCCATGCTGGCGCAAACCTTCGCCTTTGTCGCCTTCAACAAGGTCTGCACGAGCCAGTACTTTTTGTGGTACATGGTCCTGCTGCCCCTCTACCTGCCGCGGTCCTCGCTTGTCGCCGGCAGCCGCCGCAAGGGGCTGGTCGCCCTGCTGCTGTGGGTCGCCGGCCAGGCCGCCTGGCTCCAGCAGGGCTTCGAGCTCGAGTTCGTCGGCCGCAGCGTCTTTCTGCCCGGCCTGTGGCTCGCCTCGCTGTCCTTCTTTCTCATCAACTGCTGGATCTTGGGCGTGGTCATTTCCGATGTCGGCGCTCTCTGACGGCAATTGGCCTTCGAAGTCGCATCACGTTTGTAAAATGAGAATCCTCCATAGATAAAATTGGATATCATGATAAAAAAACTTCTAAAGTCCTCAACATGTTAAGGAATATCTCTAAAGGGGGTGAGAGCAGACGATGAATGGGTGTTACAGGACCGCAATCATATGCTCCTTTCCAGTCTTCCGCTCTCTTGGTGAGCACGGGCACCCGGCCGGATCCAATACAACCCTCAAAACGAGAGAAGACACACCCTAGTCACTGATCTCGAGCTTTGAACTATGTCTGATAAGTGCTACCAGTAGCCAGCCCGCTGCAACTCATACCAAACGAAGCTAGAGTCCTTGTTTTCTTCCGTGCCGTCCTTCCCGCTTAGCAGTAGCACTCACGATCTCGTTCAGGAGATCACCACCCACGCCGTTTTTCCGTGCTCAGATACCTTGCCGTAGAACACAAGTAAACATCAAGATAAAACAAAGAAAAGAGGTCTGGGACAAACTAAGGGGCTTTTCAAGCAGGAGACACTCTCAGGTCGAGATTCTTGTTCGAAATCGGACAATTCTGAAGATGGAACAAAGCGCAACAAAAGTGACATGACAAATATGAGAAAAAGACGAGGGGGAGGGCCATAAGCCGCATGGTATTATAAGAAAAATCAAAGTCCAACCCTCAAACGCCATGCTGATCCGCCGTGCGAACGGGGACAAAGGAGACCAAGAAGCCAGAAGACAAGGATGGATCGAGCGGGTAAGCACCAGAATGCGTGATCCAGGGAGGGATAGCGAGATCCAACCACCGCCCCATTAACACCAGCCCGCCATAATACGCAAGGAAACTGGAATGCGAATGTGTGAGTGTGTCTGTGCATATGTGTTTCTGTTTGTGTTTGTCGCCAGGGAGAACAAGGTCTAACGAGAGCAGACCCAGAGATGAGAGGATACTTGAAAAATCACAAGACATGAGGGAAGCGCCATGTCAACAAAAGTGCCGACGTCACCACTAGGAGCCGGTAAAAGCGCCCCCGTAGAGATACTTGTAGTTGTCCAGTTTGAACGAGACAACCTTGCCCATGTATTCGGGGCCGATGATCATTCGACCGTCCTTGTTGGGCCCGTCCGCCAGCTCTCTGAAGCGTGCTTCGGGACGGGCGGCCTGGAGAGTCCTGACGATGCTGTCGCTCCAAACACCCTCAACCCAGCCGTCGCGGTTGAGAATGAAGTAAGGGTTCAGGGATGGGATCGGCGAATCTGCAAAGGGGGGCCGTAAGCAATCCTGTGACAGACATACAGAGGCGATCATCGTGGTGGGTTTGGAGAGGATGGGTGGGAGACTTACCAAGATCCACATATCGGATCCGCAGGTACTCGAGCGCGCGCAGCCTTTTCAGTGCGCGAATGCCAGCAAGCACCAAGGCCTCAAAGGCCTGGATAAACTTCATGTCGGTGATGCCCGAGCCAGACTCGTTCCAGTGAGTCACCTGGCGGCAGCAGTTCTTGACCGTCAGGTCGATGCTCTTAAGGCGCGTGAGCCTGGGGTCGGCGTTGGCGGCAAGGGTGTCAAAGAAGACCCGACAGACACGGCCAGTGTACGAGATGTGCTCCAAGCCTGGTGCCGCAAGACCTAGCCGCTGGCAAAAGTGCAGCCGGCTGGACACCTTGATGAAGTAAGGTGGGAACGAAAGTTCGCGCCGGTAGTCGGCCTCGAGACACAGATGCACCTTCTTCAACCCATTAGGCAAATGGGGTAGAATGGCCGCCATAGTGAGGTAGCTCTTTGACTTGGGCTTGTTGTAGGACCCATGCCATTCTTCCAGGTTGGGAAGTGCCGAAGCGATGGCGGCAAAGTCGTCCTCGCTCCGGATGAGGTTCCACTGGCCCTTGCACACCAAAGTCCTGATGGTGGGAACCTTGGGCATCTCCCTGGCGATGTCCAGAGACGACGGGATGTATGGGCTTGACGAGGGAGAGGGGCCAGACTGCGGCGAGCTGTGGTGCGGAACAAAGAACTTGGCGTCTCCAATAAAGTGCCTGACCTTTGGCGCCTTCTTGCGCTCGCCACCTTCGAGCGTGAGTACCCTGACCTTGGGGAATGTGGCGCCGACAAAGTAAAAAGCCTCCTCCAGGGAGCAATTGTCTGCCGGCAGCACGTAGGACGCGGCCGTGAGGCCGTCGACGGTCACAGTGGGGAGCACCGATGTCGCGAAGAGGACCGAGGGCCCGTGCTTCGGCTGGAAGACGGGGAACCAGACCTCGATGTGTCTGACGTAGGACCGCAGGTGTGGGTGCTGGGCAAAGTAGGCCACGGCGTCGTTGACAGAGCCCACCGTCGCCTTGAGCTTGATGTGTCGATAGAGACGCTCCTGGATCAGCACCCGCCAGACGCGGCTGACAAGGGCCAGCTCCGACAGCTCGCGTCGTCTCGAGTGTCTCAACGCAGTGCCCCAACTCCGCGTAACACTATTCATGCCCATGGAGCTCTTGGAGGCAGCCGACACGCGGTAGCCAAAAAGATGGTCGAGTATGCACTCATGGATCTCGGGTGGGAGGTCGTTCAGGTCGATGCCCTGAGGCTGGACAGGCTGCGCAAAGGGCGAGAAGCCAGACCCGTCGTCGTGGTCGTGGTCGTGGTCGTGGTCGTGGTCGTGGTCGTGGTCGTGCTCCATGTCCATCCCATCGCCGATCCTCGCAGGACAACTGGTGCATGTTATTTCCGAGTTTCGGGGCTCGGGCTGAGGAAACGGGGTGCTGCTTGGGCGAGCGGGCGGCACGAAGTCCTGACTTCGTGTCGGGTCCAAGAGCGGAGGGCTCGCAGGGCCAGGCGACACAGGGTTGGAGGCAGCCGTCATTATGGAGGCCAACTCGGCGGTGGCGGCCACCTTGGCCTCGTCTCCGTGGAGTGATGGCGGTCGGTCAACCACGCGAGGCGACCGCGGGTCGACGGGGATCGGGCTGGCTGGCTGGACATCGTCGCCGCCGCTGGCGGGGATGGCGGCGACAGACGGCCGACGTGAAAGAGTAGCAGAGTCCATCGGAATCGGATCGGAGTCGGAGTCGGATTTTTCGTCCAAGGGATCAATCGGGCGCCTCGAAGGTCATGGCAGGGGCGATGGAGAGGAAGAAGTCAGTCCCGTCGCAGTCTCTGTTCGTTTTCTCTTCGGTATCAATCTCTGTGGCGAATGCCAGCGAGCCCGAGGACTGGCTGTTCGGACCGCAGTGCGGGCGGGGGAGTGTGCAGCCGAGGGAGGCAGGACACGAGTCGACGAGAGGGGCCCGGCTGGATTTAGGTTAGGTCGACAGCGAGAGGAGGGATTGAAGCCCGAGCGGACGGCCAGGGCGGTTCGGATCTTGGTTGACTGGAGGGGTGGCAGCGATAGAGAGAGGAGAAAAAAAGGGTTCAAGCCGGCCCAGCAGACGGCCTGGCCCCTCTGGTTGGGGGTAAATTTTGCAGGTGATAGACAATCTCGTCGCTCTGACTGGGTCTCGACTCCGTCAAGTCGGGCTCCAAAGTGGGCGTGTGTTGATGCAAGCCGGCAGGATGGGCCTTAGGCTGTCGCGTGAGACTTGGCCGGCGAGGATTGGCTGGGCTTGTGGGGGTGGTTTGCAGCGGCAGCGACACGGTCAGGCCTATTGGAGCGTGGACATGGCTCAAGAAGCACCAAAATCAAGAGCGGGGGGATGGCTGCTGGCCGTTATTTTGGTGCTCGTTCAGTGCTCGTTCAGTGCTTTGTCGGCGGCAGAGTGAATGGGACCAGCATCGAGCAGCTCGACAAACAGGAGGGAAATTTTTTGTCGTGTTTGCGTGTCGCACAGTTGGCCGAGATTTGCTGTGCTGTTGCTGCGTGCATTGACTGCGACTCAAGAGTCTGCGGTGCGGGCGGCAGCGGACTGATGGTGGCACAGGTCCCAGGGATACGAACGTGAAAAGGAGAAAAAGACAGGAAAAAGCACAAAATAAAAACAGGTAGGTAAATGCACATCAATTTTAAACTACAAATTGAACCGGCGAAAGTGACCACGGATTAGCAGTCCTGCTCCTAGGAACGTGTCAGCGGCTGGCTGAACAGCACGAGGCTTTCGATTGGGTTAGGAGCTGAAGTGAGATAACCCTCGTTTCCGCGACAGGGCGCAGCAGGAGAGACATTCAATTAGAAAACACCGCAGCCACCGCCTTGGGACAGGCAGGCAGTTGATATGCTACCAGGCAGCTTTTCTCATCATGCCGTGGCTCTCCCTCCTCATCATCCCGCGTAAAATCCCGCGTAAATTGAATGCATGAGCCCTAGAGCCCATGCCCCGACTTTCGCTGCAGCCAGACCCCCAGTCGCTGCAATAGTGGAGCCTCCCATTTCAAGCTACCCAATGCAGGCCCGCAAGGTCACTGCTATCGGCTTATCGGTCAGTGTGGCGGTCGTCTGATTGGCCCGCCGTCGGCCTGTTTCTGTTTCCCACCCTGTCTCCCATTTGCAGCGGTCCAGCCCGACCGGTAGTCATGGGCTTCCAATTGAGGCCAACAAGATCTGAGATTCAGTGGTCCAACCCGAAAGCGGGCGATAGCCTCACTTTTGCTTTCTTCTGTCGTCGCTGACTCCTTGTTCCCTGCTCCCGCCGTCCTCGTGTCCCATCCCGCCTTGTCTGCTAACAGATAATAGCCACTACTCAACGTCATATCGAGCAAGCAATCTGATGTCGAGCGCACTCAACAAAACCGTCGCAACCAGCAAAGTCCGGTCCGACTCTCACTGCCGGTTGATTCGTGTCGCGTGCCATTTTTTTCGCTCTCTTCTTTTTTTCTCGTGCTCTCTCCTGTCAGACAACCCCTCCGTCGGCACACCGTCATGACAGAGCGACCGCCGAGGCCCGCCGCGAAAACTCTCGCGCCACGGAAAGCGATTTTGGGGCGGGCCCTGAGCGCATCTCACTGCATAGTTCATTTGCAGATTAATGCACCTGGCTGCCCACCTCGCGCATGAGGGGCGGAGGGGCTTAGGTCATCCCCGATTCACGGTTTCGAAGGTGGGATGGCGAAGACGGGTCGGTGGGCTGCTCTCACAGGCCGGCACGTACAGAGACCGGGGCCCCCGCCCTTTTGCCGGCCAGATGGCCGGCATGATCGGTCTCGCGCGATGAGGACGATTCGCGGTCATATGACTTCCATGACGCGACGGCAAGCCTCACCCCCCTTGGGCAGAAATTGACAGCCGGGCGATCGCGACGGGAGGCCTAAGCACGTCGAGACTAACAAGTATGCAAACACTTCTTTGCACATGGACACGCCGACTGGGTGAGAAAACAACAGAGAACGACCTGAGAAGAGCCAAAGGGGCTGAGTGGGCGTAGGTATGTATTATATATGCGGCACTCTGCATGCTCAAGTATATTAGCGGCATGGCACACGCGTATGACGAGCGCAGGCCTGGTTTGACGCGCACATATTGGACACATGGACGTTTCGTTTCCCCCCCTCCGCGCATGGCTGGCTAGATTACACCTCCGTCATCCTGCCGCCGGCCTCAGGCCGGTGCACCACTACGTCCAACCACTTGCGCCCTGCAACCACGCGTCCTGGAGAGTCTTTGCAACGTTTTAAAGTGAAGTTTCGATGATCCATCTATTAGATAGGCGGGGAGGTGGGGAATGGCAGCTGGTTTGGCAGGTGGCGGCGGGTCAATTTGTCAAACTCTCGCACATGCAGTCTTCCTTCCCCCGCTCACATGGTGTTGAAGCACGCCACCGGTGTGGTTTGAGTGCTTCTCCCGGGGCTTTGATTGCAGCGGGCGAGCATGCAGCATGCGGCCTGCAGGAGGCTGCAACCTCGGACCGGTCTCTGCGCCTGTCCAAGACAGGATGGGAGACGTGGCCCCCACCGCCAGCTACATGTGCCACGAATCAAAGAGAGAAGAAAGGTAAAGTGCGGAGGGTTAGGGCAGGAGATGTGATGCTTGCGTGTTTCTTTCTACCTGTGTCGAGGCGATGTCTCCGTCATGTATGGGGTCGTTGACAATCGTGCTATGAAACGGGCGCATGCTTACCTCACGCTAGTCTAGCCCCCAGAGAAGGATTACGCCAGCACGGGAGCTGCGGCTGGAGGATCTGGCTGTGCCTCCGCCACCGCGATCTTGGGGCGGCAGGGTTTGGTTGGCTGGCAGGCGACGAAAATGGTAGCCGCCGCCATTCCCACCAGGCGCCAGCTAGCTGGGAACCAACCGATACTCGATCGATGCTGGAGCTGAGGGCAGGGGAGCTGAGGACTGAGGATTAGAGGAAGAGAAAAGCCACGTTCCAGTCTGGTGCGTGACGCCACATGCGCCGCGCGGGAGCAAGAGAGAAAAAAAAGTCGGCGTGGTTGACAACAGACTCAAGCCCCGTTGTCGTGGCGTCCTTTCGTCCGGATTTCAGCTGCCACTCGCGATAAGTTTGGCGCGGTTCGTCCTTTTTTTTTTTTTTTCATTAGCACACCCGCCGCCTCTCCTTCTACGACAAGCTGGCGCCGGGTTGGACCAAGAAAAAAGGGGGCAGCACAGCATCGTGGGCTGGGCGGCAAACTGCAGTTCGGAGTGCACCTACCAAACCGACCACGCCGTCGACGCCGTGACGCAGCGTAGAGCCAGCGCGAGGCTTCCTGCAGAGTGCACCTGGTGGATGTAAAGGATGGGGATCGCGACCGTATCTGGGTAGTACCTATAGGTGATTGGACAGGTCCGAGGTAGGTGGTAAGGATAGGAGAGTGGGTTGGTCACGGCGGTGCTTTGGTCCTTTTGACGCCGCTCCAGTGCGTTCTCCATCAATACTCGCTCAATATTCGGAGCTGGGCGAGGTCAAAGCCCCAGGTCGGGCTCCATAGCTCAATATAGCCTCAGCGGGTTTGGACCCAGTAGGCGGTGTAAGGGGTATGCGAAGGATTGGAAGAACGGAGGGACCAGGAGGAAATCAACCTTAACTCATACCGGGTAGGCTCGCTGTTCCCGAGAGAGCCAAGATGTATTAGAGGGGAGGCCTAGCTTCGACAGCAATGCGCATCGTTCAGAGAGACTGTCTTCGCCTACCCCTTGAGGCCCATGGCCACGGTCTAAACATAGACCCCGAAGGGGGTGTTCTGCCCTTGGCCATTTCAACCAGGAGTCTTTGCCGACAAAGCCTAGGTCTTGGAAGAACATGCAGAGGCTGGACCAGGCCTGAAGCGCTGCGCCTAGGTTTTCTCTCCTTGACGTGTGGGTATCATTGGCGTGTCTTGCCTTCTAGGTAGAACCCCCCGGCACTGGTTTCTCGTGTCTCCTGCTCTGTCTCTGGTTTCGTGGCATCGTCATGGGAAAGGTAAACAAACGGGGTGCGTGCTTCAAGCCAGAGAATAGCCTTACCCGGGGTTGAAAGTTGGCAGTAGAAATGCGGAAACGAAGTGCCTCGATATGATCGCCAGCAGGGAAGTGTCACGCTCTATTATGGGCCATCCCTTGTTTGATCGATAAACCCAATGTGAACAAATCACAGCTATCAGGCATGCAGGCGAGTAAAGGAAAAATGTCCGCGACACACTTTCAAGTCTTGGCAGTCAATGACGGCCGCCCGCCCAGTTTCGCGTGCCTCCCCGACTCCCACATGCTGACGCAGGGTCCCACCTCTCCCAACGGTGTCGGCGGAATATGTTTTCAAGTGGCGGTGGAGGGCGACGGCCTTTGCTTTCATTCCCCATCCAGCGGGGCAGTGGAAATAAAGAATTAAGGTGTATTGCGGCTGATTTCTCATGCAAGGCGGGGTTGGCCAATTCCACGCAGGCCTGGCCTGTCGTCCGGTCAATCCCTTTTCTGCCGACGCTCCTCGAATTTCCCAGGTCGCTGGGCGATCGTGTTGTTTTTAGTTGGGGTCTGCTGGGAGAATCGGGTGGCTCTCATCGGCTGGGTAGGATTGGGAGCTGCTACCTAGGTAGTATGCAACAAATGATGGCTCACGACTGTGCCCCCTGCGTTTCTGATCCGCTGAATCCAGAAATGCCAGTGTACCCCACAGCCTTGGCCGTCCGACAGTCGGAATGATAAATTAAATAAATAAATAAAACAAAAGTCACAAAAGAAAGGGGGACGCACTTCGTTTCACACCCCCTGGACCCACATCCACACAAAGCTTCCGTGCTTCAATGGGACGGGTTTCTTGAAGGTGGGGCCCATGCCACCGCAGCACCGCAGACACTCCTGCGATGCGCCAGATGCGGAAGGATTTAACGCGCTCACGGCGTACTGTCTCTTTCGGCGTGGTGGGGAGCAAAAGGGATGTGGGAGTGGACTGGGGGTTTCGTCTTCCGCATGGGGAAAGGCTCGTCCGCTGTCGTCGGGCTGTCAAAACGAGGACGGAGTCGCAATGGTTTCGCCGCCCTGCTAGGCGGGCGGGCTGACCACCGCACGCAGGGTCGGCTCCAGGTGGTGCGTCGCCTTGAGGCCGCCTCACCGTAATATGGCGCCGTCTTGGGGCGGGATCTCGTCTGGTAGGTATGGTCTTTTGTTTTCTTCTCTTCCCCAGAGGCAGCTTCTGCCGAAGGGCCACTCCGCTTCGTTGCCAAACATCTAGATCGAACGGATGGCGGAGTGTTGCCGAGCATCAAGAGAGGATCCTCCAATCTCGCAGGCGCTAGCCTCGACGAGATGGCCAGCTCCGCACATCAACGCGGCACACCCAGTCGACGGACTCAGGCCTGGCTCTTACAAGGACCTGGGCGTCGGCACCCGGCAGACACGTACTTTTGATAAGACCAAGAAAAGCCGGAGGGTGAACCATCAGAGTTGGCGCCGGTGCTTTGCTTAGTACGACGCGGCCAGGCGTCGGCGACGATGGTGGATCGTCGGAACATTAGGAATACCCGAAGCCATTACGTGCAGCATTCGATCGGCTGCATTGATGTCTCCTTCGGGCCAAGGCATCGGGAATAGGAAGCCGTTTCGATAAACTCTGACTGCAGACACGTTTGCTGTCGATCCGACAGATTGTGACGGCTGGCGTGCTCTTCCCCTTGCTCCCTACCCCTGCCAGATTGTTGGTGTGAGCTCTCTGTCGCTACTGTTACACGTGCCACCAAGGACAGCTCCAGATCCCAATATACCGTAGATAAACCATTCAAATTTGGGCTGTTGAAAAACTCAAAGCCCGATTCCTTTATCATTTTTTCTGTGTCGAAACCATCCAATGGCTAAAACTTTCGAAAACCTTCCAAATTGGTGGAGATAATCGTGATGGTCACTTACGGTGATAGCTTGGCCGGGGTTTAGGTGTGCACGAAGCACAAACACATGACCGGGGATCTAAGGGTTGTTCCTTACCGCCGATAAAGTTGCCGCCTCGCCTTTGCCATGGACTAGGTAGGGGGACCTAAGCGCCATGTTGCAGGTGATGGGATGACGGATGAGAGGCGGAGGCGGCCGCCTGCCTGGCGCTGAACAAGCATCGTAGCCTATTCCGCTGACGTGGTACCGACGCTTTCTGAAGACGGGGAAACGCGGCGCAAGTGCAGTGCCTACTGTATGCGTGGCACCGCACCGGCCCTGCAGCATAGCTTCTATCTACGTACCCAAAAGCCTAGTCAGTGGCACATGCGCTCCACGCAAAGTCTTCCCCGTCGGCTCGCATCCGTCTGTGTGTGTATGTGACGCTTGCTCTCAGTCTTTCTGAATATCGTTCGTGGGCGTTCCCGAGAGCCAAGACGGGTGGGGAGAGCGTGCCGGTGCGTCTGAACCTTGAAGGTAGTGTCGAAGCTTGTAAGTGTTATTGTTATTTTTGCCCCCTACTTACCCGCACGAGGCTGTTTCTCATGCGGTTGCGACCTTCTTGAGTCGGCGGCACCCACACCGGATCAGGACAGCTCTTGGCGCAGGGGGGGGGAGGTGATGTGAACCCGGCTCTAGTATGGGGTATGTGTGACCATTATTGATGGCTGTGATGTCCTCTTGGGCTGTGTTCTTTGCTTTCTTTTTTACTGCAGCGCCACTGAGGGGCATTATTCATTATCTTGGTAAACAAAACGGTGAGCAGGAAACAAAAGAGGATATCACAGTCCGGGCTGCCTTTTACCGCCGACCAGGATTGATCGGCCAATGTACATGTGCGGCTTCGCGGCAGACCCTAAAACCCCACGCTCATCCCATGAGCTGCAAATCCTGATGCTCCTGCGGGAATTGACGACTGCCAGAGTCCGAGCTTGGTTGACTGCGAATACTACGGTTGTCACGTCGCGGACAGAGACAGGGGGCCACGAAGGCGTCGCCATCATGTAGCCGGCTATTATTGGGACCAGGGATGGCCAAGGTGCTCGCCACTTGGGTGTTCCTGCTTGCGTGCACACCGCATTGAGGCTCACACACACAGTAGACTCGAGTGACCATCCGCACAGGCCTGTCGACCGGTCTCGGCTCGTTAATGGCTGGTGGCTGGCTCGCGCCCAGGTGTGTCGCAGGGCCGATCCTTCATGCGCGGGGCGGGCTTTTTTAGGTTGCCACCAGCCAGAGCCGAGAGACGGGCTCTGGATCAGCATGGTCAATATGGCGGTGCCTGCGTCGGCCGGCGGTAGGCGCCCTGACAGGCTGACGGGGAGATGACGAGCACACGATGCAGCGAGCTAACCAAAGCTAACCAGCCGACTCGAAATCGCTCCAAATCACCACGGAAGGGTCCGAAACAATCGCAATTTGAAATGCAATACCGCTCTGGTGACGGAAGCTGCGAATAAGCGGCCTACAATCGCAGATCGGACTGCATCAGACTGCACCAGACTGGCGGGCTTTTTGCATGGCCCCGAACCCTATTTCCAGCGCGGCCCCATCTGCTTTGTTCCATCATCCTTGCGGCCGCCCCGCTCTCGGCCAGGGGGATGAGGAGCCCCACATGGAACTGCTACCTGATCGGGGCTAGTGGCCCGCCCGCCGCCAGGACCGGGAAGGCCCAGAGGCTGCTGCAAGGGCCGTGGTGTTTGACTTGGCACCATCGATGGACCCACTACCCTAACATCGCCAGCGAGGAGCGTGGGCGGCGTGCCACAGCGCTGCCGGAGCCCCCCCTGCAATAGCCACAAGGCACTTGGCTGGGCTGGCGCTATGCCTACCACCTCATGGCCAGTACTATACCGAGTGTCACAGTACAGTAGGTAGGGAGCTCCAACCAGCAGCCGCCGCACCTGCCGAACCCGACACTGCATGGATGGCTCAAGCTCAAGCTCCTCTCTCCCACTCCTCATCCACCACCCACCCCTGTGGCCCGACTCCCCGATTCAGGCCTCTCTCTGGCCCAGTCGGTCCACACCCCACCCCTTCCAGATGCCTGATCATGCCGGCCCTGTTCCCTATCCGCGGCACCACGACTGGCCTGTGTGGCGTAGGTACCTACGTTCCGTCGGTCTGCCCGGGGTCCTGCTGTGAAGCATCCACCCCCCCTGACCCCCTGGTCCTCGTCTTCCGTTTGGCCCGCTGGTTTATGAGCCGCCGCTCCTCTTTATTTACTGCCGCCTCGCCCATCCCTTAGGACCAGATATGATCCCATTATCCCAAGTCCGGTTCATGCAGGCGCAGCAAGCTTAGACAGCCGTCCTTCCTTCTTTTTTTTCTCTTCCTTCTATTCTTCCTTCTCGGTTTCTTTAGCTCCTGCGGTCCAAGTGATCTGCTTTTACGCACTAGCCACCCTCCTTCCCGCCTGGTCGTGTTGGGTTTACAGTTAACAAACCTCTTTATTTTATTTTCACAAATATCACATATAAAGACAATATCCCCATCCGTCCTTTTCACTCTTTGACCTTTAGCCCACCTAGTTGAGCTGGCAGGCGGATTCGTTTAGACTTCTCACTTGCTGCTGTCTCGGACCTCCCACACTCCGTCCCCGGAATCTTAAAAGCAGACCGCGTCTCTTTTCTTCTCTTCTTCACTCCTCCTTATTCACCCTTGTTCCGGTAACAAAAACTAAAGCAAGATGGCTCCCATAACTTCCATCTTCGCCCCCTTCGTCGCCGCGGTTGCCCTCCTGGCGCCGTTGGCCAGCGCCGCCCCTCAGCTCTTCAGGGATGGCAAGTTCATTGGCCTGCCCATCGCCAATGCTGAGGCCTTGAACCTTATCCCCAGCAGCTACATCGTCGTCTACAACAGCAGCATGGACACCGCCGACATTGACGCCTCGCAGGCCTCGATCATGTCCACCATCGCCAAGCGCAATGTCTACAAGCGCTCGCTCGACGGCCGCCAGCTGTCGACCCGTGTCCAGACTTGCCAGATCAACAAGTGGAGGGCACTGATGCTGGATGCCGACGACAAGACCATCCTGGACATCATGAAGGACCCCACGGTTGCATATGTTGAGGGTGACGCCAAGGTCCAGCTCAACATCCCCGAGACCCCTGTCCTCGAGGAGGACAGCGACATGCATGCCCTGCCTGTCGATGCCTCTGGGCCGCTCACCAAGCGTGCCTCTACCTCTCAGACTGGTGCCCCCAGCGGCCTGTTTCGCCTCAGCGCCACAGCGCCCAATGGCGCCACCACGGGTACCTACACCTTTGACGAGACTGCCGGTCAGAACATCACCGTTTACGTCGTCGACACTGGTGTCCGCATCACCCACACCGAGTTCGAGGGCCGTGCTGAATTTCCTGTGGAGGCCAACTTCATCAACCCCGGGACGGTAAGTAGTCCTGCCATTTGTTCACATTAAGCGCAGCTAATTAATGTGCTCTCGCAATAGGAAGTTGATGAGAATGGTCACGGCTCTCACTGCGCCGGTACCATCGCCGGCAAGACCTTTGGTGTCGCCAAGAATGCCAAGATCGTTGGTGTCAAGGTCCTTGATGCCCAAGGCGGTGGCCAAAACTCCGGTGTCATCGCGGGCATGAACTTTGTTGCCAAGAACGTCGCGGAGAACGGTCGGGGTCGCAAGTCCGTCATGAACATGTCGCTTGGTGGTGCTTCTTCCAGGGCCGTCAACGAGGCCATCAACAACATCCGCGCTGCCGGCGTCGTCCCCGTCGTCGCTGCTGGCAACGAGAACCAGAATGCCGCCAACTCGTCTCCCGCATCGGCTGCTGGTGCCATCACCGTTGGCGCCATTGACCAGCGCACCGACGCGAAGGCTAGCTTCTCCAACTTCGGCGAGGTTGTCGACATCTTCGCTCCTGGAGTCCAAGTGGTGAGCGTCGACGCCAAGTCCAACACTGGCTCCAAAGCCCTGTCGGGTACCTCGATGGCCTCCCCCCACGTCGCCGGCCTGGCTGCGTACCTCATGGCCCTCGACCCTACCCTCACTGCCGGTGGCGCTCTCAGCAGCGCCGCGGACAAGGTCGATGCTAGGATGAAGGCCCTCGCTGACGCCATGGGCGCCACGGTCAAGAACAACACTCGCGGCACCACCAACCGCATCGCCAACAACGGCAACGTTTAAAAATCTTCGCATATCAAATTCTTGGATTTTTGTACATACACCATTTCAGGCGTCGAGGGGATCTCATTGGGCGCAACGGGACCATTCTCTTGCTACCGCGAAGGGCCCAAAGAAAACGGCAAGGGAGACCAAAAAAAATAAACAGATATCTGCTCACGTCATAGAAGCATATTCCCCTACGACGTTTTTGCACTTATCGGTTATATTGCGACAAGCAGTTCGTCTTTTGGCAATTGGATTTCCCTTTCATTCGGTTCCTCTTCCCACACGACCCTCCGGCCGGCACTCTCGCCCAGGCATTTGCCTCCCAATGGTTTGACGGAGAGTGGATATGGCTTGCTCCGTTTTCTGGGTGGCTTGAGTGGGACCTTCAGATCTAGCATCGTCGGCTTGGCGACCATTGGACACTGGCGTTTTTCTGCGAGCATACGAGTTATTTGATTTGGCGGCTTTGTATTTACACATCTTGGTTATTCACTCATCCTCACTTTTGAGATGAGCCTCCTGATAAAGGGTAGGAACTTAATGCTAGCCTCGAGGTTATTCACCGCCCCCTTTTGTTGCTGGCCCTAGTGCCTTGACCTCGTTCGGCGGCCAAGACCAGACAGGTCGCGCCCACTTCGAATTGAACCCGAGCACGGACCCCGCTCTCCGCGCTCGGCCCGCCCAAGAGATGCGGCGAACATTTTGGCCTTGCTAGGCAGGGGATGGGATCACCTGCTCCTGTTCTTGGGAGAGCGCCCAGATGGCCAAGGACGAGGAAGCCAAGCGTTCCGACACGCCCAGGACTTTGGTAGCCGCGCGAGCCTTTACTCGTGTCTTGGGGCTCTGTGAACAAAACGGACCCCCCTGCGGAAAAAAAGACGCGAGGATCTCATGCATGCCCTTAGCCGTTTTGGGTTGTTCCGCCATCCGCGGGAAAAGAGCGTCCACTCTCTCCTTTCCGAGATCTCGAGCTGTGCAGAAGATCCCCCACTCCCCTGCCTTTTGTCTCTTATGCTGTGGTTCTCTTATCTTTGCCATCATGGCGTCCATGTTATTGCACTAGGAGGGGCTAGTATAGACACGCAACCAATTTTTTGCAACGTGCTGCACTTGGAGCTACAAAAAGAGGGACACCCACACACACACACCTGTCCCGATTCGCACATGACCAAACCGATGCACGACACGCCACACAGTCAAACGGACAGCGAAGAAGAGGTCGAGACGAAACGCAAAAGGGGGTCTGCCTGCTTTTGCGGGTTACACACCCCCGTCGTTCGTGTTGCACCTTTATCCGAGGTCGGGCTGTTTTTTTTCATTGGTGAATAAGTGTGTTTAGGGATCCATGCCTGACCTCCTGCCCGTTTTATTTTTTTATTATTATTTTTATTTTTTATTCTAAAGCAGACGGTCAGGCATGCCCGGCTGAGGAATCAACAGGCCGACGACGACCCACAAATCACAGCCCATACACCACATCACCTTCTCGCATTCGGCTCAGCCAACCGAATCGACCTTTTGTTCGCTGCCACTCGTTTTTTGTTGGATGGACTGATCAATTGGCAGAGGATCCCAACGCCAGCGGTAAGGCGGGCGTACAGGCGCTTGTTTCAAGCCCGCCCGCCTCCAATCGACGAACGCCTGGCTGTTTCAATCGCCCCTGTTTTGCCGTCTTGTCGTCACCTAGGGTGCGGTGGGAGGAATTTGTCATATTTTCAACTGGGGATTACAACCTGGAGTTGATAAAATAAGAATATTTGGACAAAATACATAATAGACATCTAATCAAAATAAATAGAAACACTTCAAGAGCGTCGAGTCGAGCTGGCTGGCGCTACCAGCCAACCCCATGTCTCGCTGTCCTTGGCGGCAAGTGAATGCGCCTCCTCGCCATGCCCAGGCGTGCTAATGGCGCCGGGCGCGGACGGGAGCGGGGGCTGGAGCGGGAAGAAGCTTTGACCGCCATCAGCGGTCTCCCCGAGTTTGTGCCCTATACAAGCCCCGATATGTCCCTCGTTCATTCAGCGGGGCGACACCGTCGAGAGATAAACAGAGCCCGGCGGGGCGCACGAGGTGAATCTTGTCCAAGCTCAGCAGCATGTGCTTAGGTAGTAATACACCAGAGACATGACTGATAGTCATAACGCAAGACACACACGCCAGAGCAGGTCAGCTAGTCAGGCTCGGGCCCCCAGGTCAGATTGCGCATGAGCCTGTCTACAGATTAGAGACGCAGCGCCGATCTGTGATTTCACTGTGAACACACCCCGAGCGGTGGTGCGGATCGACGAGACACCGTCTCGCGCTTCCTCCCGCAGTTCTGTCTCTCTTGCCCTCATAAAGCTTGTCTTGAGAGTCTAGAAACGGTGTGTTTACAGCAGGGATAAAACCAAACACAAGGGAGAGGAACAAGAACAAATAGACAAGACAAATGAGTCTGAAAGGGAAAAAAAAAACAAGGCAAGGGGAGGTGTAAGAAATGAAGAAACAAGGAATATCAAGTGGCGAGGGGGGAAGAAAAGCGTTCATATCTAGACGCACGAGTCGGGCGGTCGAGTGAGTCGAGTAGCCGCCGGGGTCGGGACGACCCGGAGCAAGATTTGCCTACAAACATAATTTCGACTTCAGACGAACGCAGTCTCTGTAATGCAATGTGCTTACAAATACACGGAGAATGACACACACAGAGAGAGAGAGAGAGGATGCGGAGCTGAGTATTCTAGGTAGCCATGGCAGCCATCTTCAGTGCCAGGCAAAGCTGTGCGGACCAGCAGGCTCCCCAACGCGGCGAGGGCACGGAAAGCCGGACTTGTTTCCTACTGGAGTCCCGTCCTCGTTTGAGGACCGTCCCGCCATATCCCCATCTCGCCTCGTTGCCGTCCGCGAGCCGCAAAGACGCGGACGAGACGATTCTTCTTCTTCTCATCGTATCTCGTACGGCTCCGAGTCGCCTCCCAAACGCCAAGCCAACACCTTGGGGCCCAACGGGAGCAAGCCATCGGCGCCTCTACTTGTCTTGGCGGATTGGCAGACACGGACAGCCACCATGAGATGACAGTCCCGACAGCGTGCCCCGCCGACGCTTGGCGTCTCGCGTGGAGGATAAGATGGGTTACAGGCGGCCACTCCCTCCTACACAGCAAACGACTTGGAGTCCGAATCACACAAAACCGGCAGTCATATTCATCATCTACCTAGTCAAGAGACAACAGCTGGACAGTATAAATGTTTGCAATCCATGTCGACAGACCCCCCTTATACAAGAGTGAGAAAAAGGGGGCCCAAGTCGCCACGTGCCCGTTTCCAGGCTGCTTGCCAAAATAAGGGTTCGATATCAGCACATCTTCGGCACAACCAACAGTCATTGAAGAGTAGACTGGATTGCAATTTGACATCCGTGCTAGAGCCATCCCATCTGGCTCTCATGAGGCTCTCCCTCCTCGGGATCCCCTTGGCCCATTATCGGCCGACAGGCAGCTGCCTTGTCGCCTTCTTGCAGAGGAGGAACCGGGCCCATAAAATCTGTTCACTGTGGCATTCAACAAGAGGAGCGAATTGCATAAGCACGGTCGTGAGCGACATTAGATAGTTAGTAATAATGAGGGCATCGCGCCCTCTGGCGCCCTCGGCGCTCGGCTGTAGACAAGTATATACCAAATCCAGCGGTTTGTGCTGTGTTCCATCTTGAGAGAGAACTGACGCAGAGCCCCAACAAGCATGCGCAAACCGGTGCAGTGACAGGTCATGGCTGAAAAGAGAAAAGAACTTTGGCGGAACGAAGAGCGGCGGTATGGCGCCTCACAACTCGTCGTGCCCCGTAATAGTTGGCGCGGCGCCCCTTGCCCGGGCATCGATTTCCCTGAAGTAGTTGTCGAACTTCGCGCCAAAGAAATAGGCGAGAAGTACCATGGATCCTCCAATGAGGAACAGGGTACCGACAACGGCGGCGAGGAGCCAGAACGCCTCGGTGGCATCCATTGACGGCTGTTTGTCCATCGACTTGCCCGTCTTCTTCTCCAGGGCAATAGCCTTGGGGTCCTGGGACGGGAAGATGGACTCGATGAACTGCTCGATCTGTTCAGGGGTGCGGGTGTGAAGTCAGTCAGCTGTTCAACTTTTATCAAACCCCTCCCAGTCGAGGCCTACCTTGGCACACTGCATGCTGATCTTGGCATAGTTGGGGTCGCGCGGGTCGTTCTTCTTGTGTATCCTCCTCGCGTATGTGCGGTAGACGTCGCAGAGGACACGGAGGTTCTGGGTCGAGCTGAGCATGATGGAGCAGGCGTCGCCCTTTGTGATCTTGATATTGCGGTCGAAGACGGCGGGGTTCTGGAAGACGAGCTCCAGGGTCGCGATGGCCATGCCCTGGGGGATGGCGACAAAGTTGAAACACGACTGGTCGCGCATGCCGGCCATGTAGTAGATGCAGTCCTCGACGTGCTTGAGCGCGTTGAGCACCATGTCGGAGCACAGGTAGACGGCCTGCTGGCGGTTCTCGGGCTTGAAGATGTCGTCGTAGTTCTCAAAGTACTTGCTCCAGATCTCCCTGGGCCACCAACTGCGCTTGTCGTCGTAGTCCTCCCTCACGTCGCGGATGATGTTGGTCTTTTGCAGGAACTGGCCCATGGATTCGGTCAGCTCCATGCGCTCCCCCAGCTTGGGGTTGCACAGGTTGCCCTCGAGGAACAGGCGGGTAAGGCCCTCGCCGACGATGCCGGCGACGTAGTGGCAGTACAGCTCGTACTCTTCGATGGTGTTGATGCAGTTGGCCGTGTCCTGGGTCTTGATGGCGTAGTCGGCCATGCCGTTGCCCATCTTGACCGTGATGTCCCTGATGACGTCGTAGTACTTCTTGTCGATCAGCTTCAGCTCGTCCTCGACCACGGTGAAGTTCACCAGCAGCTCGCGGTCCTTCTCGTTGGGCCCGTTCTCGGTGAAGACCCAGCCGTCCTTCTCCATGTTGTCGGCGAAGCCGCGTAAGAGCGGCTCCTTCTTGTCCAGGTCGATGGTCATGTCATCCTCGATGGTGTCGAGGCCCCTCAGCACCAGGTAGAAGAGGCAGATGGGCATGAGGAGCTCTGGGTTGAGCTCCTTGATGACAGCCGCGAAGCTGCGCGACGTCAGGTCCAGGTATTCGAAGCATTTCTTTTGCGTCGGCGTGTCCTTTGCGGGGTCGCGGTGGTGAACTGGCTCGTGCCACAGCTTCCTGAGAGGCATGTCTGGGTTAATTGGCCGTCTGTCTCGCCCGCCGGCCTCGGCGTTGTCTTGGGAAAAGGGGGGGAGGACCAACCACTGGACAATGTTGCGAAGCTGGACCGGGTGGAACGCCAGATACGCAACGTCTTTGAGGCCGCCCATCGTGACTGTTTCTGCTGTTTCTAGCGGGATCAATCACGTACGGGGCTGTGTCGGTTGTCGGTAGTGGAGATGGGAGGAGAGAAGACGGAGGCTGTCTGCGGCCACTCGTCTGGCTTTCTCTTTCCCTCTACTCGCTCGCTCGACAGCACGGTCAGGGCCGCAGGCGCACAGAAGTATGCGCGGACCGATAAACCTTCTTCCCGGCAGCTAACGGCACGTTCAAGATGGGATTTGCAAACCTAGCGCGGCAGCACAACCCAAGCAAGAGCTGACGTGAATTCGAGGCCGTAGACGGGCGTCGGTGGGTGCGACGAGGCAACGAGAGGGATAAAATGTGGTTTAGGAGGCCGTTGTCGATCTGAATCCCGTTGGCATCGTCGCTGGGCGCTGCCCAGCTAGTCTCGCCTTATTGGTGCTTTTGGGACAGGACATGATTGGAGGACAGGTCGAGCAGCAGCAAGGACCATCTGGTTGGGTTTTTTCTCTTTTTTTTTTTCTCCATCGGTGTGGCAGGCACAGTGCAACGTCCCCACTTGTGCCTGAGGGGTGGCATCCGTGCCTGCCTCCCCAAATGCAATCCCACCTCCACGTTCGGATAAATGGAAAAGTTGACACAATTTCCGCCAGCTCCAGGTGATGCGAACACAAGAAGGCACACCTCATAGCTCGATGTGTGCCAGTCATACACCGTCTCCATCGCAGTTTTGAGTGACTGGCTCGGTGCATTTCGAACTCCGAACCCCGACCCGGGTTGACCTGCGGACACACCGATTGCTTGGCTTATGTGAATGAATACCGCCAGCCAGTCCTTGTATATAAAATGCATAGTCCGGGTTCGTGACAAAAGCAAGCATTTGACGTCGGGGACTTCCAAGATTCCCCGATTTCCGGGACGAGATTAGCAACTGCCCCTGAACCAGATCTAGCCGAAGCTTGGGCCGCCCCATCGCTAGCCCTCGACAACTGACATTCAGGGGCATGGCATTCATCCATTACGCAGAGCTGCTCTCGTTGCGTATCATGTTTGCGACACCGCCTTGTTCAACAAATCGTCTTGATTCCCTCTCTACGGTTTATCTGGCAGCCCGAGGACCGGCGTCCCCTGGCGCAAGCAGCAAGACCTTTGTTGCTTTCCCCTCCCTATGTTGTGGGTATCTATTGGTGCAAAAAGCTGGCTGGTTTTATAAAGACGAGTAAACAAACGAGATCTCAGTGGGGTTTATAGGGGGGTTGCCTGGTAGTCAGGCAGCTGTGAATAGGGGCCGCGGCGGGCGGATGGTCATATCTGTGGTGTCTGGTGGAGGAAGGGTGGATGAAGTAGGGGGTGGGCGGGCGGAGAACGTGTTCGAGATGTCGGAAGAGGGTTTGGCTTGGTGGACAAAAAGAGGCCGTCATGATAAAATGCTATATCCTGCTCTCGTCGCTTCCATGAAACCCCTTTTCCGGGTGCAATAATGATTAAAACGCCCACCCGTGAATCCAAGATGTACGAAGTCCATAACGATGCAGTGTGTATCAGAAACAAAAAGGGACAATCCATAGGCAATGCGTACAAAGGAATAGGCAAGAAAAGCAACAACGACGACGGGGAAACAAATGAGTGCGAAGTAATGGAGCGCAACGCAGCGACCGCCGGTAAAGATGTGCATGATTATTCCCGTCGATGGCAGCAGCAGTCATGGAACCACGGTCGGGCCGGCAGGTGGGAGCTGGGGTTAGCCCCCATCAGAAGGCAGCTCCACGCCGCTATCACGGTCCTGCGATCCCTTGCCGGACTCGCCGTCGGCGAACCCGCGCTCGCCGTGGCCAAAGTCGACGACGACGGCGGGCATGGTCTCGCCCTCGTCGTCCTCGTCCTCGTCCTCGTCCTCGTCCCTGAGCGCATTGCCGTTGATGTCGACCTCGCTGATGCGGACCTGGTACTTGAGCGCGCGCTGGCCCTCCTTGATCAGCTCCTCGGTCCAGTTCATGCACCGCTTGATGCTCTGGTTGATCTTTTGGCTGTCCACCAGGAGCTGTTGGTGCTTGGACAGGTCCACCAGCAGCCGCTTCTCGTCCCCCTTGCGGTGCCGCGTATCGCGTTCGGCCGCCGTGGCGGGGCTGAGCTGGCTGGACCCGGACCCATCCTCCTCCTCGATGTCCGACATTTCCTCTTCCTCTTCCGGTGACTCCACTTCGTCTGCCAGGCCGGACAGGTCCTCCTCGCTCAGGTCCTCCAGGCCCAGCGCAGACGGGTCGCGAAGGGGGCCCTCCATAGTGGCGTCCGACGCTGACCCGCTGTTAACAGTGGCTATGGAGAGTCGCCCGGCACGGGAGAGCCTCTTGTACCGCCTCAGCTCCGCCGTCTGCTTGCGTAACTGACGTTCTAGGGTCCGGTTGATGGCCTCGAGGCTGGCGTTGGTGATCTGGAGGTCCTGGACCTTCCGCTCGCGTCTAGCATTGATCACCAGCTCGTCCACCGGGCTTTTGCTCTTGCTGGCGCTGTTGTCGCTGACGTCGGATTCGTTGTCGTCGACGTCATCATCATCCCCATCATCCACATCATCCCCATCATCAGCCTCGCTCCCCTCCGACAGCTCCTCTGCAGCTTGTAAAAGGCCAGTAAAGCCGGCGGGGAATCCTAGACCGGTAGGCGAGGACATGTCTAGAGAGGGAGGGCGCGATGGCACCATACGAGGCGTGGGAGCCACGCGAGCAAATGTTGCGGCCGCATTGTCGACCGAGGTCGCCGAGCTCTTATTGCGCTTGTGGTTGGAGCCGCCACCGGCAACATGAAGAGGGTATTCGTTGCTGATTCTCCTCCCCTGGGCCGGGCCTGTTGGGGCAGTAAACGGAAGGCTGCCGGCGGGTGGTGTGAGCCGCTTCGAAGGGAGATTCGGTGTGCCCACGCCCGGCCTGGGCACGGGGTGGAAGGGCTGTTTAAGGGGGGACACTGGCCGCGATGAGCCATAAGGGGCGGCGGGAGGGCCGCTGCCCGAGACACCGCGGCCTTGGGCTATCTTGGAGGTCGCAGACATGGAGGAGCCCGGCCTCGAGCCCGAGAAGGCGGATCTGGGCGAGGGCAGGACGTCGGGCACGCCATTGGCGTAGACAAACTTGTTGGAGAATGCGTCACCAGGCGTTGATATCGGCGGGCCCAGGGCCGGGCTGAAGGGAGCCGGGGCAATGGCCGAGGGCGCATTGGGCTTGGGCGGCAGCGAGGCGCCGTTGGCGTAGTAAAAGGAGGATGCTTTCTGCTGTTGCTGCTGTGGCGCTTGGAACAGCTTCTGGGGGGCGCCCGAGACGGACTGCGGCCTGGCGCTGCTGGCATAGAAAAACTTGGAGTCGGCCGGGGCCGAGAGGGGGGCGGCGGCGACCTTGGCGAGATCGGACGGGGCCGAGCTGAAGGACACCATGGGCCTCCTCGGCGGTGCGCCCTCGGTATCAGCCGAGTGTGTGGGGCCCAGGCCGGGCGACGGTCCCGCGTCCCATGACTCGATGGACTCGGGCTGTGGGGTGCCGGTGGGCGTCGAGCTGGTGCTGTCGACGCGGTGCTGCCTCGTGCCGGAGCGTGGCGTGATGTTTGCATGCTGGAGAAGGGTCGAGACGGGCGTGCCGACGTCGCCCCTAGGGGTCTCGGCGGCGTTGCCCGTGAGGGAGTCGGACCTGGTCGGGCGTCGGGCCAGCGGAGTGGCGGTCTGGGGACGGGGCTTCTGGGGCTGCTGCTGCTGCTGTGGGGTCGTGGTGGCTGCGACAGCCGTGGCGGATGCAGATGCCGACGACGCTATCACGGACGGCGGTCTGGTCCCGGCAACCTTGGGCGTCAGGGGCGGGCGCGTGGTGGCCGGACGCGACAGGGAGGGCACCTGCGGCTGCCTCGCCGTGGGCGCCGTGGCGGGAGTCTTCGTCGTCGACGACGAGGAAGGGGCGGTGAGCCGCATGGCTCTCGTGGCCGTGGAGAGGACGGGGCTTCGCGACGCGACGGCTAGGGTGGCGGGCGGTGGGATATTTCCATCTTTTGGCTGGGGAGGCTGGGGGCGGCGGCGGGAGGGTGGTTGCGAGAGCGTGAGCGGCAGCGGTTGTTGTGGTGCGGGCGGTGGTGAGGGCCTTGTGCTGCGGGTGCTGGAGGTGGTGCTGCCGCTGGAGCGTCTTATCGAGGCGGTCGTCCGGGTTGCATAGGTCGCCGTGTGAGCAGTCACGGTCGCTGTGATGCGGGTGCTGGTGCTGGTGGGCCGTGTCGGGGCGGCCCTGCTGTTTAGGCTCAATCGCGGGACTGACGGCTTGCGCTTGATGGCGGTGACGGCCGTGTGCGTGTTCTCGTCGGCGCTGCCCCCGCGGCTGCTCGCTCTAGAAATTGTCGAGCCAGTAGGCCGCGATGCTGGATTGGCGGTGCTGTCGAAGGCGTGCATCGTGCAGATGCGATACTGCTGGAGGGCATTGCCGGGCAGCAGATGCGCTTTAGGGGGTTTCACCCAGGCGGGTGGGTGCCTGTTTGGATGCCTGTTTCGGGCCTGCAAACGCTGTGTCCCAGGCGTGCACGTCGATTCAGGAGGCCTCGACACATGCGCTTGCTGCAAGGTGCAGGCGGATTTCCACGCCAATTGTCCCCTTTTGAGCGGGAGACGTGCGATTGATCAATTGATGGTTCCAAGACTCGCAGACACCACTGAGATGCATTTGTTTACCAGAGCCCACCTCCTGAGCCAAACCGCGTGTGCATGAGCACCGACAGGCACGCACAAATGGCCTGTCCGGTTTATTTATTCCGGCCCCATCCCAATCTCATTCCCCTTTATTTGTCCAGCTTGTTTACACCGTCTGTGTTGTTTGTTATGCGTTACCCGGCGCCCCTCATTTGCCGTCATTCGAGGGGAAGCAAGCCTGACCCGCCGTGCAGGTGGCCTGGACCTTGTCTGAGGCCCTGGCATGCGCACCACTAAAAGATGGGCAGGGTGGCAGGCAGTCTTGCAGTCGGTGCCGTGAGTTCGATTTCCATGTGTGTTTTCCTATGTTCGGTTTCCTATGTATGCGTTCCTATATTCGATTTTCTATGTAGTTTTCCTAAATGAATTTTCCCCTGTTCCTTTCGTATATAAGCCTTCCTATGTGAGATTTCCTGTGTAGCTTTTCTGTATGAGATTTCCGTTGTAACTTTCTCATTGAGATTTGCGTTGTAGCATTCTCATGAGATTCTTGTTCTTATTTTTCTTATTCTTTTTATTCCTGTTCCCGTTCCCGCAAGTGATGGATGGGAAGGAACTGCCCACCGCAGTGCCATTTCTAATCCCCTGCCATCTTCATTGTGGTGGGTGCCGGAATGCAGCCATCCCTGTCATTAGCGTGCCGTGATTATGGTGGGGTTCGCCCGCCGTGTCGGGAGAATCCGAGGAGCCGGTGGCCGGAGAGCACATTTGAGTCCTTTGGCAGGCGACAGGCAGCCGCGCTTGCGATAAAAAAAAAAAGCCTTGACAGCTACGCAGCAAACAAACACAACACCACACCCTCAAACTTGAACCCGCCCAGGCTCTGGAACTGCCCATTTCCTCCCGGCATGGGGGTCGTCGGGGCGACCCTCATCTTTGGTGCCGTCGTCTATTTTGTCATACGCCCACCGCACGCCTTCCTGCTCTACTTCCAGTCAATATGGCGCGGAATCTTCCTCTCGCCCCGGCTCGCCGACAACGTCCCTGCAGGTGACGACGACGATGGGCGCGGAAAGCAGCAGGCCGCTGTGGCGCCTCCGACCTCGCAGCCGGTCGGCGATGCGGCGCCAGCAGCACAAGCAGCACCAGCGCCTGCCATCAGGGTGCCGTCACCGAGCGAAGATGACACAAACGACGCCGACGAGCATCAAACAACCCCCAAGGCCACCAAGGCCTCACCCAGCTTCTCCCTGTCCGGCCCAAACGACGACGACCAAGACAACCACAACGATTTCCCTCTCGTAACCCCGCATCCGCCAACACCGCCATCACTTTCCATGCCCGTCCCAGAGCCCTCGCTCCCACAACCCCCGATGCTCATGGCGCCCCCGCCGCGCCCCGGCCCCATGGCACCGCTCCCGCGCCCGGGAAGCAGCAGCAGCAGCAGTGCTAGCAGTAGCGGCCGCGGCCTCATGGCCCCGCCCTCGGGCCCGCCGCGCCTCCCGCCGCTCTCGCAGCAGCAGTCCCCCTACGCGCAGTCCCAGCTATCGCGCTCCACGCTCCCGATCCCCAGCCGCGGCGGCGGCGCGCCCTCGTCGTCCTCGCTCGCCCCGCCGCCGACCCACACGGGCAAGCCCGCGCCGCGCGTGCCGCCGGCCCAGAACGCCCGGTCGCGCCTCGTGCCGCTGGCCCCGGGCCACTCGCCGCTCGACTGGGCCCGCCTCTCGTCGGGCCCTGCGGCCGACCTGCGCGGCCTTCCCCCCGGGACCCCCTACCTGCGCGTCAGCCCGTCCATGCTGAAGCGCCGCGACGGCCGCAAGGGCCGCGACGCCTGGAGCGCCTACGGCGGCCGCGTCTATAACGTGTCCCCCTACGTGCCCTTCCACCCGGGCGGCAAGGGCGAGCTGCTACGCGGCGCCGGCAAGGACGCCACCAGGCTGTTCGGCGAGGTCCACCCCTGGGTCAACTACGAGACCATGCTGGCCGCCTGCCTGGTAGGCATCCTGGTCGATGAGGGCGAAGGCCACGAGGACGAGAAGTCGGAGCAAAAGGACGGTGGCGGCGTCGGTAACATGGAAGAGATGGACTAGAGTGTGCGCGGTTTGTGGTAATGCAGCGCTTGCTTTGATAAATGTTGACCCTGTAGTATACCCACCCCCTGCTTATAGGCAGCCTTCCCCTCCTACCAAACACCATCTGAGCAAGGCAGATCATCAGAGATACCCCCCTCCTTCAATACCATAGAAATACAGTCGGACCCTTTGGTCAGTGAATCGAAGCGGCTACTTGATTTCCCTCTATCTCTTCCCGAAGCGAAACTTCCCACCGCCGCCGTCGCTGCTATCGTCGCTGTCCGCAACCTCAACCTCCCTCCCGGCCCGCGCCTTCTTCGCCGGCCTCGCACTAGGAGGCGGCGCCTGCGCGGCTCGCTTGCTGGCGGTGCTGGCGGTGCTACCCCCGCTGGCCGTCCGCGTGGCCCGCCGCCCCTGCGACTGCACGGCCGCCTGGCTGGCGCCGTTGTTACTGCTGCTGCCGCTGTTGGTCTGCGTCGCCGCCACCCGCTGGGACAGGCGCGTGTTTGCCTTCTCGGCCGCCTTGCCCTTCCTCGTGCGCGGGAGCATCCGCACCTCCTCGGCGTCCGAGTCGTCGTCCACCACCACCACCACCGCGTGATTGTCCGCGTCGCCCGTGCCGCTGCCGCTCCGGCCCGAAGGTGCGGCGGCAACCTCGAGCGCGTTGGGGAGTGACTCGTCGTCGTCGCCATCGCGGGCTTCTTCGAGCCCTTCGTCGTCGCTGCTGTCGTCGCCCAAGGCCGGCCTCCGACCTGGCCGTCGCTCCGCCGCGCCCGACTCCCTCTGTTGGCCCTGCGTCATGACACCACCCGGCTTCTTGGCCGCCGCCCTCGGCTGCGTAGGCTCGTCTGCCCAGTACGAGTCCCCGATGCCGTACTCCTTATTCTTCTCCTCGACACACTCCACCATGATCCGCTGTGGCGCCTGCCGCGGCGCGGCCGGCCCGCCGGCCTTGCGGAACTTCTTGAAGTTCTGGCGCCCGTTCCAGTGAGGATCCCACCTCCCATCCGCGATGTCCTGCTCGCGTGTCCTCGCCGACGGCCCGCGAGATATGACCGGCATGTCCTCCACGATGGTCAGCCGACGAACCTCGGCCGCATCAATGCCGTCCTCAGGGAGCGCCACCAGCCGCTCCGCCTCCTCGCGGGCCTTGGCCTCAGTTTCTTCCAGATTCCGTCTCGCGAGGGTCAGCACGTCCGCATCAATCGCGTTCTTCTTCAGGCCTTTGGTGCCTCTGACTCCTGGGGCCGCCGCCGCCGGTTCCGGTTTGACCTTGGGCGATTCGGGCACGGCTTCTACTTCGTCTTCACTTTCCGAAGGCGGTATCTCCACACGCCCAATGCGCCCCCTGCCGTTGTTATAAACCCGCTGACGTTTGCTCGCGGTCGTGACGGACGTGCCGCCGCCCATCTCGACCTCCATTTCTTCTGGAATAGGCGAGTGGGCTCTCTTGCGGGTTGATCGGGCAGCCCCAGCAGTTCCGGATTCTGGTTCATCGAAGCCTTGGACTTGCGAGACAAACATCGACTGTGAGGGCGGTTCTGTTTGGGAAGGAGGTCCTGCTTCTGGTCCTGACTCTCGGATAGGTCTGGGTGAAGGCTCTGGCGATGGGGCTTTCTTTTCCTCATCTTCATCTGAGTCGTCGAACCCCTTGAATCGTCTCTTCTTCCGTGCCGGCCGTGGCGGACTTGGATCCGGCTCCAGTGTTGGCGTGGGGTTCCGAACAGTTCCCCTGGTAGGTTCCTTTTCAGCCGACGGGGCCACCGGTTGATCTATCTCCATACCAGCGTCAGGGGCCCCATTCCTAGCCCGGGTTCGAGGGGCCGGCGCCGCGTCAACGTCTATGGGGCCAGTCTCGGTCTCCAAGGGACGTCTCAGCATGCTCGCGTCCACGGCCAGGATGGCGTCGAGAAACTCCCTCTGGTCGATCATGCGATGGTCCAGACGCAGAGAGACGGTGTTGATGAAACCTGTGTACCACTCGATCAGGTCAGGCCTGCTCATTGGGGGAGCGTACCGCACGACGACCACGCCCTTTCCCTCGCTGCCGCCTTCGAACTCGCCCAGCCCCTTCTCACCCGCGACCCCCTTGACGTATCCGATGAAGTCGTCTATCTCTGTCTCGTGCGGCACAACCTCCCTGAGCAGGGCCTTCCCCTTGCCGTCTGCAATGACGGGCATCAGGTTGTCGTGCTGCGCCTTTTCGAAGAAGATGAATGTGTAACCATCAAAAACTTCACGCCGCCGCTCGTTTGGCTCGTAAGCGTCCCCGGGTCGGTCGGTCGGTTCGTCGCCGCGAGGCGGGATGTGGTTGAGCGGATTGGGCCAGTTGACGTCAAAGTCCTGCTCTAGCGCGCTTGCCCCTGTGCCCTCAGACGGTAGTACTGCGGCATCCGTCACAGCGTCGAGGAAGGTGTCGGTGACAATGTAGCGGCCGCCTATCAGGGCCTGCAAGCCCTTGGGTGTATTCCTCTTTTTAGTCACAACATGGGTCGTGAGGCGCCGGTCATAGTCGGCGATGAACTTGATGTCGAGCTGCTCATATCTCTGGCGTAGGTTCAGCCAGGCATCGGCAGCCAGCTCCCGCTTGGTGAACGAGACGCTGCAGACCACGGGGTGCCACGACAGACGGAAGATATGGTTGCAGCTGCCAAGCTTGAGGGCGTTGGACTCTTGCGTTAAGACACAGGTGGTCCCCTTGATCTGGGTACCATTGACCTGTGTGCCCATCTTCGTCTTGAGGTCCTCGACGGTGACTGTCGATCTGCTCTTTCGGTTCTGGGCGTCGCCCTCCTTAACCTTGCCGACCGTGATGGTAAGGTGCTTGCGCGATATGGACTTGTCGGCAACGACCAGGATGCCCGCTAAATTATGAGTGTTGTGTCAGCGCGGGCACGCGACTAGGGCGGGGGCATACGGCATCTTTGGGCCATGGATCGGGCATGAGGTTTCTGACGTACGCTCTGTGCTTGTCCGACCAAAGAGATAGGTCTTCCCGGGACGGAGCCATAGTCGGCGTCCTGTTGATTTTAGGTGTTAGCTTACTCCATCTGATCTACGGCATCACTTCAATTTGCGACGCGATGCGCCGCGCTGGCGACGATGCCTAATGTCATTGCTACTTGCCTTGGAAGATGTCGCCATCATTCTCGAGCAGCCACATATTAGCCGAATTAACACGCCGACAGCTGCATGAGAGTCTCTCCTCGGCTAGATGCCTGCCTCGAGTCGTCTGCTTGGGTCGAATGGGTGGTTATGGAATGAGGTCATCCCATCCAGAACTTGAGATCGCTCTGGTGGGTCATGGGCTGCTGTAGGAGAAGCGCGTTCAGTTCACAGCTCCCTGTCGCGTCAGCAGGTGACCTGCATCTCTGGCATTGAGGATCCGCTGTGGATCCACTGTTGGCCGATTTGGGGTGGGCGGGGTCGTCAAGCCGAAATGGCCGATGAGGAGGGCAAAGTGAGGCACGAATTGTCCGGTTGGAGAAAGAAGAGAGTAAAAGAATTAAACCTGAAGAATGGAAGTACAAATATTATTGGTGGGAATACCGAAACAAGGGTGCGGACGTCAGGTCCTACACAACACATCAGACGGCACAAAGGAACAGACCATGAATATGAGCATCATAATACCAAGATCACTTTTCTTTATTTTGCCGTCCTTAACTACCGTCTGTCTATTTGAGAGACTACTTTTCAGACCGCAAACATTGACTTTTCTACTGGACGCCAGCAGCCTTCATGCGCTCGAAGCAGCCCCTGTAGGCGTCGTGGATTTCCGGGATCTCGATGCCATACTCCTTGAGCTTGGTGGTCAGCTTGGTGGTGTCAAGCTTGCAGTTGCTGCGGCCGGCCTTGATGACCTTGGCCTGCTCCTCGAGGCTGAAGTTCTTCCAGGCGAAGCCCGGGCGGACGATGTCCCTGAAGAGGGTCAGGACCTCGTTGTGCGAGATGGCGCCGGGGTTGGTGAAGTTGTACACGCCCGTGTCCTTGTGCTCGGCCATGGCGATGGAGGCGGGGAGCAGGTCGTGCAGGATGGTGTTGCTGTTGGGGATGTCGACGACGCGCTCGTACTTGGAGATCTTGGTCACGAAGTTGCGCGAGTGCAGGTCGTCGCTGACGGGCATGCGGAGGCGGAGGATCAGGCAGTTGCTGTAGTACTTCATGACCTGGTTTGTTGCAGGCGTGTCAGCTACAACTTGTTCTCTGGGGCACGCTCGGACAGAGTATAAAGTCACCAACCTCCTCAACGTGGGCCTTGGTCTCCGAGTAGAAGCTGCCGGCAAAGTTGGCCTTGTCGGTCTCGAGGAAGCCCGGGCCGTCCCACGGGTGGGCGTCATCGTACTGGTAGATGCAGCCGGTGGCGAAGACGGTGATGTGGACGCCCTTGAGGAAGCAGGCGTCGGTCAGGTTGATGGTACCGGCGACGTTGGAGCGGACCGTGGCCTCCTTGTTGTCCTCGCACCAGTCGACGTTGGGGCGGCCGGTGCAGCCGGCACAGTTGAGGACGTGGGTGGGCTTGACGCGCTCCAGCTCGGCGATGACGCTCTCGCGGTTCTCCATGCGGATCGTGGTAGTGTGAACCTCCTTGCCCTGCGACTCGAGAATGGCCTTGAGGTGGCCGGCGACCCAGCCCTCGCCACCCCAGATCAGGAAACGGTTGGCCATTGTGACGACTGTTGGGTGTTTGTGTGTGGAGGGTTCAAGGTGCGCAGAAGGCCTTGTGTGATGGAGAGAATGGAGTTGGTGGTTCGAGGAGAAGGCCAGCTGGGCTACTAAAGAAAAGAGAGACGGCAGCGGTGTGTAATTGCAAGATGGAACCACCGCGTACCAACCACTCAATGCCTCCCTCCAGCTCTCGCCCCCGCCCGATACTAGCAATCCAGGCCCGGCCGTCCCGCCCAAAGGAGGGGCAACCTGACCTCAGCTGTCACAGTGGGCCCCTGACTGCCAGGGGTCGAAAGGTGGCAAGGCTCATTGCTTGTGGCACAGATTTATCAATGTGGCGGAACACGAGTGAAGTTTGGTAATCCCGTCTTCAAGATGCCCGCATATGATATTCGTCAGATTCTCCAGCTCGAGTCCGTAATCATTTCCGTGTCTTCCCACGTATTTCAACTGCGTTCGCCATATTTCTTTTCTCTCTCTCTCTCTTCTTTTTCTAAATGCTCCGTATATTTTCACTTGATCTCGACCTCTTTCCAAGCACAGCCCCCCGTTTTAAATCCAGGCTGCTCTGCAAACTCATATTTTCATCTTCCATGTTTAGTCAACTTGCATCGTGCAGCAGCACAAAATTGAGACATTGTTGTCCGGCCGAAAATACGGGGTGCTCAACAGACCATTGGACCCGGCTTGGTTCAGGGGTATAGATCAGTGCAACAACCATGGATCTGGACTGAGACCTTGCTGGGAGACCAGGGCAACCGCTGATATTGCGGGATTCAATCATGCCGCTTTGAGCGAGCGAGGAAGCGATCCGTTCGCCTCCACAAAAGCAAATCGGCTTCGGATACCATCTTTCGTCTAGCCTAGGGACCAAGCGTGTTGGCGGCGTGCAATATCTAGTTCGGCCCGGCGGTAACTAACAGCCGCATAATTTCCTTGTGCCTGAGCGTTGGCTGCTGCAGTAGTGAAAATGACACGCTGGATGAGTGCATTGCATCCGTTGGCTCAGCGTGGCGGCAGAGATGTGACGACGATGGCCGTGGGTGGTTGAGGTCAGCTGTCGAGTAACCCTTGCCTTGCCCCGCCATGCATGAAAACCGCAGCGGTGGTGTCATTTTTTTTTTCGCTCTCTTTTTTTCTTGCTCGAGCTCCAAGGTGGGTTGGGCTGAGGTGGGCAGCTACGTAATTTGTCGGGGCTGAGGCATGGATTCGTCCCCGGCTGGGCCGACACCTGGGGAAGGAGGCTTCCCAACCCTCGAACTGCATTCATAATTCTCGACCTGAATGTGTTTGCTAAGCGCAGTGAGCCCCTCCCCTCGCCTTGTCTCAGTCCATTCTACAGCGCTAGCTGGTACCCCAAATTTGCACCCCTGCCATCCAGACTGCCGGAGACGAGCAAAAGTATCAGCGTGATCCTCACAAGCAAATGATTTTCCATCCTAGCAAGGTCCGCCTGACAACTCCCACCGCCACCCCACCTCGAGTAAACAACAACCTGCACACGTTGCGGCAAATCGCTAGCCAGCCCACGGCCAGACCTTGATTCCGTCACTTCGAACACCCGGTTTATAGGAGAGGGCCAGCCGCCGACCAGCACCACGCAGCACCCGACAGCCGAGGCAGCGCACACGGACAGCGGCAAAATGGTGGTCGATACCAGCTACTACGACCAGCTGGGCGTCAAGCCCACGGCGACAGAGCTGGAGATCAAGAAGGCCTACAGGAAATTGGCCATCATCCACCACCCCGACAAGAACCCCAACGACCCGACCGCCCACGAGAAGTTCCAGGCCATCGGCGAGGCCTACCAGGTCCTTTCCGATGAGGACCTGCGAAAAGCCTACGACAAGTACGGCAAGGACCACGCGAAGCCGTCCGAAGGGTTTGCCGACCCGGCCGAATTTTTCACCAGCATCTTTGGCGGCGATGCCTTCATCGACTGGATCGGCGAGATCAGCCTTATGAAGGACCTGACTGCCACCATGGACATTACACTATCTGCCGAGGAGGAGGCCGCAGCCGCGGAGGCCGAGGCAGCCGCGGCGGCTGGGGGCGCTGACGCGAAGAAGGACGACACCGCAGAAAAGCCGGCTGCGGCTGGTACTCCGACTGCTGGCTCTACCCCGGCCCCTGCCGCCACCACCGCCGATCACTCCGCTGGCGCTCCCGCTCCCGCTCCCCCGCCGCCATCAGTCGTCGTCGAGGATGAGAAGCAGGCTCCTGTGCCCGGCAAGCCAGAGCCCGCCAGCGCCCCTGGCCTGGCACCCTCCCCCGGCCAGACCCGGACGTCATCCCCCGTCCCTACCCCGTCGGGGCGATCAACCCCCAGCAGGCACGCCATCCCTCTGCGACCGGCACTCATGGACCGGCCATCCGACGACACAGCAGCAGCAAGCGGGGCCGAGGACGACAGGTTGGGCGGGAGCGGCGGCAAGAAGGGCAAGGGGACGCTCAGCAAGGAGCAGCGGGAACAACTGGCGGCGCTCGAGAAGGAGCGGGCGCGGGTGCGTCAGGAGCGCGTCGACACGTTGGCGCGAAAACTCGTGGACCGCATCAGCGTGTGGACCGAGACGGACAAGGACCCCTCCATCACGGCGGCGTTCCGCGAGAAGACGCGGCTCGAGGTCGAGAACATGAAGATGGAGTCGTTTGGGCTCGACATCCTGCACGCCATCGGGCAGACGTACGTGGCCAAGGCGACGGCGCTGCTGCGGAGCCAAAAGTTCTTTGGCATCTCGGGCTTCTTCTCGCGCGTCAAGGACAAGGGCACGCTGGTCAAGGACACGTGGAACACCATCTCGTCGGCCATCGACGCCCAGCAGACCATGGAGGAGATGGCGCGCATGGAGGAGAAGGGCGGCGAGGAGTGGACGGACGAGCGCAAGATGGAGTACGAGCGTCGGGTCACTGGCAAGATCCTGACGGCGGCTTGGCGCGGGTCCAAGTTTGAGATCCAGTCGGTGCTGCGCGAGGTCTGCGATGCGGTGCTTAATGACAAGAAGGTACCACTGAGCAAGAGGCTGGAGCGGGCTCAGGCGCTGGTTTACATTGGCGAGATCTGCGCGAGTGTGAGTTTTCCTTGTTTTGCATGGCTCTGCTCTCAAACCCAGATGGCTAACGCGATACATGGCGACTTTAGGCCTCACGCACACCCGAGGAGGAGGGCGACTACATGGCGTTTGAGCAGCTGGTTGCCGAGGCCGCCATCAAGAAGGAGAAGGACAACAAGAAGAAGGGCAAGGGCGGCAAGGAAGACGCGGCCGCGGCTGCTGCTGACGTTCCCAACGTGCCCAAGCAGTAGTGTGATCTTGCCCCAAAGCAGCCCAAATATCATTATCCACCGCCTTCTTTATAGTCAGAGGTCCTGGGGGAAGATGCCAGAGCCGATATTTCTCTATTCACCAGTTCTCGTGCCTGATGGTTGGCAACGTGCCGTCGACCGGGCCCGAGGCTTTTGTTTTTCTTTCGAGATGGATATGCTGTTTCTGTTTCCCTCTGTTCTAGCCCTCCATCTGCATTTTCTCGAATATTCCCCTCCCAATACCAATACCTCCTCGTCCATAGATGCAAAGACTCGATTGATATACCCATCAGACTGTGCTTGGCCGTGATGGGAGACGATGGGTCCGTGATAAAAATCCCACGGGCTTTTTGGGCAGTTGACGTCTTGTGCCACCTCGACTGCCGCCATCCGATCGATATTCGACTTTTGCCTACAGTCTTGTCCTGCCGTTTGAGCACAATGAAAAGAAAAAAACCAATCTCAATCTTGCGCAAATGCGAACGAGCAGCGAGCCACCTTCACTCTCGGGCATTCGTCGTTTTCTCTTCCCACCAGTTTCCATCGTTCAAACCCGTCTTGTTGTCTTTTGATTTGCAGACCGGCAACCCGAATCCGCGCACTCTCAGCGGCAGCATACAAAGCACCAGCCGTGACTTGGTCCATACCATCACCTACCGCGCTCTCATAAACGAACGCCCGGATACGGCAGTCTTGTCGTTGCGGACCTTGACAACCGGCCCAATGGCGTCTCCGCAATCCGATCGCGATCCCAAAAAGCAACCCCACCACCAAACCCCCCCAGCGCCACCACCGCATTTGGGGCTCCCCATGCACAAAATCCAAAATCGCATGGGGGTGTGGGCGCCATCATCATTGCGGGTGAGCTGTGACGACCACCACGAGGTGCGAGTCAGACGCTTGCGTGTGAACTTGGCTGGTTCCCACCGGAGCCCGCAAACAAGTGTCCCACACCGCACTTTTGGCCCCCAAACGAACAGCTATGGGTCCCACCAGCCGAGACGTAGACATCAGCGAGTACAACATCCGATATGGTGTAGGGGTTAGCATACCACGTTTTCACCGTGGCGACTCGGGTTCGATTCCCGGTATCGGAGATTCATTCACAGGATCAACAAGTTCATCAACATCTTCTTTTTTGCTTGCATCCCTTTTTTCCTTGATTTTACCGTTAAGCCAAGGCAGTTAATATGGTTTGTTTTCTTAGCAAACGTGCTTTCCCAACTGTAAACACATCTTACACAGCCGTCGTAATTTGCTTGTGCCACTTCGGCCTCACGCACCGGCGACTTCGAACCAAGTGCTCGGGGCGCAGGATGTTGTCGTTGATGAAAGCGCACACGGCGTCAGCGCCCTGGGCCAGCGACACCGTCTGCGGGCCCAGCGGCACTCCAGCTGCGGTTTCCTGTAGGTTTGTAAATATGCTAAATCCCGACAGCAGAAACAGGCATCGCCTAGTTTTCGCCGTTGTATTCCTGCCTCTCGACTGTCGTTTTTCAGATACCCGCCCATCCTGTTGTGCCCTTTAAATGCCAAAACTGCCAAAAGACACAGCCATTAAATACGTACCCCCGCTACTTAATATACATAACGGACCGTACATTGTTTAATACCGTCCTAAAATGCATAGTGTTAAGTGCACTATCTAAAGGGAAGCGGGAGTAGGGTTATGCCCGTTAACGGAAGGAAACATGGCTGCTTTGCACCGAAGAACGGAACCTCCTTATATTGACAATAAGTAAATCCTGTACTCCTCCTTCGCACGTGCGGGTATGGCGTCTTCGGGCTTGTAGCGTAGCAACTTGGCGGGGAGCAAAAATTTATGCTGTGGCCTGTTTTCATATCAAACAACTGATGAAGCCGCCGCCAAGCCGGCAAAAGATTGGGATCGGTGAGGCTCGAACTCACGACCTTAGGATTGCCCTTGTTCAGGTCATACGGTGCATTTCGGGTTGAAATAACCTATATGAGACCTACGCGCTAGCCAACTGCGCCACGATCCCTGTGGAACTCTTTTTGTTGGGGTGCGGCCACGGTGGGGAGGAATATATCGGACGGAAGCTTGTGGGCGGTAGAGATGGCGTGTGGGGTGAGCCGTGTTGGTGCACTGGTGGGGGAGGGTAACGGGTGCGGGACCATGCGTCATCGCGCCTCGGCCCGGGTGTCGACATTATATTGGGAAGCGAATAGCGAATAAACAAACTAGATAAGGAGGAGCCAGACGGGGAGGAACCAGGCAGAGATGCTATCGACTCCTCGGCCGGACGTTTATGCCATCGTGTGGTATCTCGCGTCGCTATGGGCTCCAGTTGCCAATGTTGCGGCCCACCCGGTTCCGCATTGCTGCTGGAAGCAGGCTATCCACGTTATGTGCGACTGAATTCGGTGTACCGGCAGCATTTTTTTGGGGCTGGCTAGGCGGGCGGCGGAGTCGATGGCGAACAGCTAGCCTGAGTTCGTCTCGCTGTAGTAGCTGGATATGGTGGCAGCGTCATTAACGGTGCGAGGCCCTTGCCCGAAGATGTCTCCGAGGGTAACATGTTGTCTAAAAGGGGCATTTATGGCTAGCAACGCTAGCAAATGGAAGCTGAAGGGGAGGTAATATGCTCGGGTGTCTGGAATACACGGGACACATGCTCGCCACATGCCAATGGGGGAGCCCAGTCAGCCGGTAGCTTGTCAGTAAAGTACAGCTCGTCGGGATCGACGCCGTCAATTTCGTCTCTGATGTCTGGTTGAAGCTTGCGAATCGGCAGTTGCATGGAAAAAAGGTGGTCTTGGTCGGGATACTCGCTCGTACTCTCTAGGTCTGGGAATGGGAATTCAAGACGACCGGTGGAGAGTCATGTTGTTGATTTGGTGATGAGGTTAGGGAGCGAGAAACGGCTCTCGGTGGGAATCTGGAGAAGGTGGCCTGTCGTCAGACCCGCATTCTCGTCTTCGATTGATCATATTTCTAAGCCTGGGGACAAGAGCTCAGCAGAGGCTTGCAGAGGCTAGCTGACCGATCCTCTTTTCCCCTTGCTTGGACGGGGACTGTGGAAGGGCATGATACCGGAGATGGCTAGGAGGTTGTTGCCCTTTGTGCTGACGACGCCGTAAATGTCGAGGGCCGGCTGGCCGGCGGTACCCCATGACCACGATACGTCTGATGACACCCAAGGGCGCGATGGTCGCAGCCATCTCTGTCACGGTAAGGAGTAGAACGGAGATGGCCACGAGAAAAGCAGGATAGTGTTTTGCGCTGCTCGGCCTCCTCCATGTCCCCAGCGTCGGATTGTACTTTGGATCGCGTTGACGGCCGTCTCCAGCGTGAAGATGAGAAGGGCGGTGTCGCCGACGACGTCCGGACATCACCGGGATAAAGGGTTAGAACGTACCCTGCAAACGGTAGATATATCTAGGCTTCCGTGTTGCAGAACTCCTTTTTGTTTGACAGATCCGTAGGTGGGTGATGAAGTTCATCTGCAGAAAGGAGGGCCACCGTAAGATTTTATATACTTTATTTCTGCGTTTAACTGTTGCCAGGTAGCGGGCTTTGGACAAAGACAGATGCCCCAACCCCAAAACCGGGAAGGATGAGCGGAAGGAGCTGAACAAGCAGCTCTCCAAGGCCAAGGGGAGGGGCGAAAGCCCACGCCGTGATTCACCACGGCATCTGATGCGATCCCTTGGACCACAAGGCCCCTACCTAGCTCACTACCCAGCCGTCTACACACCTCACACAACCTGCCTGACCTTGCCCGTCTCGACCTCGTATACCCAACCCGTGATGGGTATGCCGTCGAGCACGGCCGCGTTCCCCTTGAGGAAGGCCACGTCGTCCCGGACGGCCTGCTCGAGGTCGGCAAAGTCGAGAAAGTCGAGCCCCTCGACGGCGGCGGCGGCGTCCCCGCCGCGCTGGTCCCTCAGCAGGGCGCGGGCGGCGTCGCCGGTAAAGGTCAGCATGCCGCAGCCCGTGTGCTTGACGACCAGGACCTCGCGCGTGCCCAGCAGCAGCTGCGATATGACGACGGACCGCAGCGCGTCGCGGGCCGACCCGCCGGCGTTGCGCACCACGTGCGCGTCGCCGAGCGAGATGCCGAAGGCGGCATGGCTGTCGATGCGGGCGTCCATGCAGGTCACTGTTTTGCAAGGGGGGATGTTTAGTTGGTGCTTGGTGGGTGGTGTTGATGGAGGCCTTGGTAGGGAGGGGATATTTACCGATGAGGTATTTCTTTGCAGGAGGGAGGGCGAGGTCGCCTTGGGTAAAGTCCTTGGCGTAGGCTTCATTCTTCTCGACGAGGTTCTGCTGGATGGGGGTAGCCATGATGCTGGGGCTTAGACTTTGCTGCGTGGGGGTTTGGCGTGTGGTGATTTCAGGGGCTTCTGTAGGGAATGCCAGGGATGGTACTGATGGCAAAGTTGGAATTGTGCAGCAGAAAAGATGGCATTCTGCGACTTATATACACGACCAAAGCCACCCAGGGCTGAAACGAGCTGTCTGAGGCTCCAACTCCGAGTTCCAAGGTGGAAACGAGCGGCCTTAAGCGTTGTTATCGTGCCAAGACCGATGATGATGGGTTACGGGGTTCGAGTCCCGCACAGGGGTTCGCTCGGCGTTCGATCAGCAGCCAGGGATTAGCAGCTAGGGATTATTCGACAGCGAGCGAACACCCCAAACCCCGTATCGCCATCTTACACGCAAAGCACGCCACAGGCAGCCAGTCCCGATGCTGCGGGATCTGAGGGCCGTGGGTTTCTGTGCCGTCGCAGCCTCCTTTGCAGCTAGCCGCTCTTCTCTTTATTGACAGGCCCCTTCTCAAGCACGGCGAGGGCGTCCACCGAGTGACCGCAATGCCTCAGTCAGCGGCAAGAGTCGCGTCGATGCGCTCGTGTGGGGACTCAAAGCCCTGCTCCCTCAAGGTGCGGCGGCGGGGGATCACGGGAGCTTTGACCTTGGCGACGACCCCTTTCTGCGAGCGCAAATTGGTAGAGGCAATTGTTTGTCGGGTGGTTTTGATGTGATTGGTGAAGCATCATGAGGTGATGGCAGCGGCCAATTGTCGGCTGAGGTTACAGGGGATTTGGTGGGCGAGTGGCGTGATGGGTGCATTATAGTTTGACGGGAAACTGAACTGACAGTTCCAGCGAATAAATGATAAATGCCACCAAGCTAAGTGCACCTACTATCGCACTTTACTACAACGCTTTACTACCCTCATCGCCTCGACCACTACTCTAGGAGCTCCCAAGAGGCAAGCCATGCCAAGCAGGCGCCTCATCGCCAGAGCAGTGACAGCAATCCTCACCTTCATCGTCTTGCCCTTTGCCGCCGTCCACTACTACCACCAGACATACGCCCCCCAGACAGGCATGATGAGCGCCGTCCCCAAGCCCGCCGCCCAGCACCAGATCGTCGTGGTCGGCGCGGGGCTGGCCGGCCTGGCTGCCGCCCACGCCGCGCTGACGGCGAGCCCGACGGCGTCGGTGCTGCTGCTCGAGCGCGCCGCCAAGCCAGGCGGCAACAGCATTAAGGCCTCGAGCGGCATCAACGGCGTGCCCACGCGCTTCCAGAAGCCTGGCCTGGACTCGGCCGACCGCTTCCGCGACGACACGACCCGCTCCGCCGGCGCCCGCCTCCTCGCCTCCTCGGCCACCACCGCCGAGGCCGGTCTCGCCCGCCCCGCCCGCGAGGCCCTGATCGCCCGCCTGGCCGACCGGTCCGCCGACGCCGTGCACTGGCTGCACGACACGGTCGGCGTCGACCTGTCCGTCGTCGCGCAGCTAGGCGGCCACTCGGCCGCTCGCACCCACCGCGGCGCCGGCAAAACACCGCCCGGCTTTGCCATTATCAGCGCCCTGTTGGCCCAGCTCAACGACGGCCTTGGCAAGGGCCGGTTTGAGCTGCGGACTGGCTGCGAGGTAACCAGGCTCCTGACCCCGTCCGAGGGACCCCGCCGCGTGGGCGGCGTCGAGTTCTCGTGCGCCGCCGCCGACGGCGACGGCGACAGCAAAAGCAGCGGCAGCAGCACCGCCGAGGCCGCCGGCCCCGTCGTCTTCGCGACGGGCGGGTTCGCGGGGGATGCGGGAGGGCTGCTGGCGCGGCACCGGCCGGACCTGGGCCCGCTGCCGTCGACCAACGACGCGGCGGCGGCCGTCGGGCTCGCCGTGCTGGCGCGCGACGCGGCCGCGGCCATGGTGGACATGGACAGCGTCCAGGTGCACCCGACGGGCTTCGTCGACCCCGCGCGCCCGGCGGCGCCCGTCAAGATCCTGGCCGCCGAGCTGCTGCGCGGCGAGGGCGGCATCCTGCTCCGGGGCGGGGCGCGCTTCGTCAACGAGATGGAGACGCGCGAGCACGTCAGCGCCGCCGTCATGGCAGCCCCGGCTGCCGTGGACGAGCGGGCGGCGGCCGCGGACGGGGGAGAGGCGCCGCCGAGGCAGTGGGACGTGCAGCTGCTGCTGGACCCGGGCGCGTGCGAGGCCTCGGCCAGCCATATCGGCTTCTACGTGTTTAAAGGGCTGATGAGGAAGCAAAAGGTGCGGGACCTCGACGAAGCCACGCGCCGGGCCGTCCGCGACTACGGCGACGTCGTGGCCGGGCGGAAGGCCGACCCGTTCGGGCGGACCGCGTTTGGGCACTGGAGGCTCGGGGCGGGCGGCGAGGGGGAGAGCGATTACGAGGACGCCGAGGTGTGCGTCGGGAGGGTCACGCCCATCACGCACTTCACCATGGGCGGAGCGGCCATCAACGACAGGGCGCAGGTGCTCGGGGCCGCCGGGGCGCCCGTCGAGGGCCTCTGGGCCGCCGGCGAGGTCACGGGCGGGCTACACGGGGACAACCGGCTGGGAGGGTCGTCGCTGCTGGAGTGTGTGGTATTTGGACGCGTCGCCGGCGAGGAGGCGGCTCGCTATGTGCAGTCTATCTAGGAGGGACGTTAGATTTATAGCAGAAGCTTGAGATGATACCTGACCGAAGTACCCTGCCTTCTTTTACTGGCTGCCATCCTGTATTTGCTGCACACCCTGCACCATAATGCCCTATAAGAAATATGTGTTCCTAACAGCCCGCGGCTGAGCTTTTTATAGCATATTACATCTGGCAGTTCCCAGGTGACGGACCCCCAATTCATGCGTTTTCCCGATCCGTCTTGTGCGCCGCAGCGTGCGCCGCCCTCGCGCTCCGACCCTTTTCGGACCAGGGGAAGTGGAAGACGGGGATGAGGAAGAGCGAGTTGCTGAAGACATTCGCGTGTTAGTGAATGGACATGGGACGAAAGGCAACAAGGGGAGAAAACAAAAAAAAAAAAACACACCTGTGGTCCGCAATACCAGCAAACGCGTTGTACCACGCTAGGAACGCCGCCAGCATGCCAAACGCCCCGCCGGCCCTCTCGAGCGAGCGGCCGAGGCCGGCGCTGCCTGCGCCGAGGGCGTACTGCTCGCAGGCCAGCAGCAGAAAGGCCATGTCGAGCGTGAAGAAGAGCAGGAAGAACATGACGGTCGAGCGGAGCGTGCATAGCAGCAGCACCGTCGTGAAGACGAACCAGCCCGTCAGGAAGATGCCCAGGGCGTCGTGCCCGCCCCCCGCCCCGCCCCCGCCTCCGCGTACGGCCCGCCTTCGCCGACCGTGTTCCAGGCCGGCGTCAGCATGACGCCGTAGGCGATCCAGAAGCCGCCGTACGACGACAGCGCCGTGGCGCCAAAGGTGTTGCCGACCGCCATCTCCCACATGCCCGCCAGCAGCTGCACGAGCCCGCCGTAGCCGAGCGCGAGCGGCACCACGATGTCGGGCGCGCTCAGCCCCCTGGCGCCCAGGTGCACGGCCGAGAGCACAAAGGTGGTCAGCGCGAACGCCGACAGGCCCAGGGGCGCCGGGTTGCCGAAGCGGCGGTCGTCGACGGCCCGGAACAGGCCCGGCTGGAACTCGCCGCCAAAGGCGGGCAGGCGCCCGTCCGCCGCGTGGCGGTGGACGTGGGCATTGGGGTTGTGGCCGTACTCGAACTGCGTCGTGTTGCCAGAGGACGAGCTGGGCCGGTGTCGTTGGGCGTAGCCGGCCGGGTCCAGGCTTGGACGCTGCTGGGACGGGCCGGCGCCGTAGCTGGGGTACTGCTGCTGCTGCTGCTGCTGCTGCTGCTGCTGCTGCTGGGGATGCATCAGGGGGTTGGGCGGATCGGCTGGTGAGGCGTGCGCCACGGCGGGCTTGTCCTCGTTCACAGAAGGGTCTCTTTGGAGAGGATTGGGCTCCATGGTGCTTGTTCTGATATATGCCTCTGACTTGTTTTCTGCCCTGTCGGAGATGGGTCGTATACCCGAACCGCTAGTCAAGACGATGCGGGGATGAGAAGATGGGGAGACGAGTCACAAGGTGCAGGGAAGTGATACACGGGGCTGAGGAAGAGGGACAGAAGACTTTTTTGCAGAATAACCACACGGAAAAAGTGACAGGGGAAAATGGCTGGATGTGCGAGGTGTATTTTAAGCTCGTTGGGGTCGAGCCGAGCAGCCTTGGTATATGGAGATGGATGACGCCACCAAGACGGCGTTGCATGTTGTAAACAACACCATGGACGGAGTCAGAACAGGGCTCGGTCATGTCCGTCGGCCGGTTGGGCCTGGACGCTCAACTCACTCGTGGGCTGTTGCGGCTCACCCGTCACCTGACGGCATCCCGAATCGGCATCTCTCGCCTCGGTACTTTCCACTTATCTCCTCGCTAAGAGTTTTTTCTCTTCTCCGTCGTTCAACTTGTCACGCCTTCTCCATACCGAGCGCTAGCGTAGAACCTGCTGTGACCGGAGAAACCAAGCCGTTTAGCCTGTTCCCGATAGATTCAACCTTCCCAAGACGACATGCCGTCCTAGCAGCCGGACCCTGGACAAGGAATCGTGAACATGACGAACAGAACATTGTTGACGCAACCGATAAAAATGACTGCGATTCCTGTGACCAAAAGCATGCATCCTCATGCAAGCAAGACGAAGATGCTGCTCATCCATCTTCAAACACAAAACTCCAATGGCATACATTGGATGATATGAGCCCCAGTGCCAGAGCACGATCCCTCTCACCCAACTTCCCAATTCAGGATCCGGCGAAGAAATCATCTAATGTTCCCCACAATGACCGCGACTCGGTGGCCCTGGCCCTAGCACCTATCTGGCTTGTTCGTTTTCCCCAAATACGAAGGACACAAGAAAGAAAAAGGGCGGTTAAAAATCTCGCGCAAACACGTCACAGTCACACTCACCCACACACCCCTGGCCTGCTCAGGAAATGCTTACGTCGAGCCGCAGTGGATCCTCCCGAGGGCCGCACACACAACTACCAGAGAGGTGCCGGGCAGCCGAAGCCGATCATGCTTGGCATGCAAGCCCCCAGCCACTCCTGATCCAGGGACGGGGGTGGTTGGCTGGTCGTGTTGCTTCTGTGGACCTCCCCTATTTTACATCATGTCATGATGGATTATTTGCCCATTCGTCTCTGCCTGTCCCCATTGGCGTCTCTCATTCTACTATGTAGTAGAAACATTCCATCATGTTGGGGCGGCAGTCGGCTGAAAAGGCCGTGGTGTCCATCTCTTTGTAACAGACGACACCCATGTCTTGCTCCTCGCATTTTTGCACCCTTAGTCGCCTGGCCTCCGCCTCTTCTTGCTACATACAGATCGGCCCGAGCATGCGAGAATCAGCTGATAGTGAAAATCTGGCCGTGCATTGGCAATGTCTATATCGTCGCCTATCTCACTTCTATCTATGCCACCCCTCTTCCACATTACGTGCCCAGACCGCGTTGAGTGACGTCGTGAGCGCTTGGCTGGGTATACGCACCATTCATCCTCACCCCTTTCTCCCCTATCCCTCAAACGAGTGTGTCAAAAAGGCTCAGTGGCCTCAGTAAGCCCATATCATGACTATGACATATCCTATGACCGTCCAATAAAAAGCAGAAACTAAACAGGCCCTAGCTAAAAATCATTGAGCAAACACTCTTCCTCAAAGCTCTGTAAATACTCGTCCTTCATCAAGATATCATGGGCGATGGGGCCTAACAGACGAAAGGCTGCTGTGCGCATCCGAAAATGGGCAATGTAAACGAAAAAGAGCAAAGGCAGAGGCTCATGATTTGAGAGCGCTGACCGGGCAGTGTTGTTCCGTCAAGGCTGTGCATCCGCGTTGGTCGACTCGCTACGTCGGCGCGGAAGTCTCCTCCTGCGAGCCCCCGGTCGATCGACCGGGTCAGAGCTATGCGCGCTCTCCTCGTCAACCGCCGAACTATCGCTTTCTTGGCCTCCGCCCTTGGGCTGGTCCGGGTTCTCGTTGGATCCGTCGACATCTCCTTTGCTCGTGCGACCATAGAACGGAGTGCCCAGGAAAGGAAGGACTTGAGGATTTCCTGGAAGAGCGCCGCCCGAGACAGGCCCTGAAGGCGGATTGTTGACAATCGGAGGATTGCCGATGACAACAACGCCGCCGCCGGCTGGTGCACCAGAGGTCGTCACCGCTGGCAGTGCCGGTCCTGGCATGGTGGGAAGAACAGGGAGAGCAGTGGCCACAGCAGAGACAAATGACCTGATATCGCTCGTCAGGCTCATGAGTCCATTGTCGACGATGGAAGCAGAACCGGCGAGGCCTGCTGGGACACGAGACAAGATGTCCGACTCGATAGCGGCCGCCTTTGAGACAACCACCTCCACCATCGAGGCAACCGTCGAGATGAGAGCGGCCGTGTCGATAGAGACGGGCAACGAAGGAGCAGGCGGCGGCCAAGCGAAGACGGGCACCGTCATGGGGATCACCGTCTGCCGGAGACCGCCAATGTGAACCGACGTCTCTGGCGTTCCCGGAGGGGGGTCTGTGAGCACAAACTCGGGCTGTCTCACTTCGACGTTACCGTCCGAAGTATAGACGGCAAGGGCCCATGATCCGCCGCAGCTATCATGACCGTCGCCTGTGCAGGGCGTCTTGCAGGCCGAATCGTCAATCAAGTACGTGTTGAACAACCAGTTGTCGCACCAGCACTCGGCTCCGTTCTCAGTACCAGCCACCTTGAAACCAGCCTCGAGGCAGAAGTCAAGGCAGATGGAATTTGTCATGGTATGGTCCGGTGGCACAGCAGTGAAATTGAAGCCGCCAAGTGCTCGCTCGGGTGTGTCGAGGTAGCAGCCAGCATACCTGCCGTTGGGTAGGGCCAAGGTCGGTTGCACCGACGGTGCTGCCGACGAGGACGTCGACGAGCCACGAGGGACAGACGATGCAGGGCAGACGTTGATGATCTGGGCGCTCGAGGTCTGCACCGGTGCACAGAACCAACCGCCAGTGCAATCCTCGCAAGGCCAGCCAAAGCCGCACGGGCAGGCTTGCGCCGGCACCTGCTTGGGGGGACAAAACCAGCCGTCTTTGCAGGAAGAGCACGTGTAGCCCTGGCCCGGACACGGGCCAAGGGCAGGGTCGAAAGGCGGCAGCTCAGGGGGACAGTTGCAGGCGGCGGCCGGGCAGGACGGACACGGCGGCGGGTCCGGGCACCCAACAGGAGTTGAAGATCTGATGCTTTGTTAGTACTCTATGTGCGGCAACCGGGACAAGAAGGACAGGCTGCTTACATGGTTGCAGGGCATGATGTGACCACCTGTGTCACTGTGACCGCGCTGGCTGGTGCCGAAGGAGCCAGTGGCCGAGTCGGGATGATGGGCAATGGAAGTGAAGTCGACAGCGGTGCCGCGGCGGAAACAACAGCCAGCGGTGGAGTGCCAGCAACGGGGGCACTTGGTGCAGAGGACGAACCCGGAGCTGCTACAGACGGAAGTAATGCAGCTCCATTGGTAGGGAGGGCCATGCCTGCGCTGGATGCCATGCTTTTGAGACTGTTCGCCGCAGCCAGTGTTGGGAGCAGGGCCGAGCCGGCCGAATCAGTGAGAGTCGCCAGGAGGTTGACAGGCGTGGTGACGACAACTGCAAGTGCTCCCTGTGTCGCCAGAGAGGCATCCGAGTTGGAAAATGTTACCTGCGAGCAGGGGATTTGCAGAATGCCAGAAACTGCCCCAATCTGCTCAACCGTGCAGACCAGGTTGTCGACAACCTGGGCGACACCGCTCAGTGTGTCTTCAAGCGCGTCCACGACACCATTGATGGCGTTCGGGAGGACCGCGTCTAGGGGAAGGGCACCGAGGCTGCCATGGACAGCCTCAACTGTGTCCAGAATCTCCCCAGGCAATGCCTTGACAAGGTTGGTGATGTTGCTGAGAATGCTGAGGTCCGGCAGGGGCACACCAAGACCCGCCAGGGCGCCGTCCGCGAGGTTCTCAACAACACCGTCAACTGTGTTGGCCACACCGCCGACCACGCCATTGAGCTCTTTCCCGACGTTCTCCACGACGCTGCCGACCTCGTCTAGGATAGCCGTGACAACCTTGAGCGGGTCCTCGAGCTGGAGGGCTTCGGATGCGGCATTCAAAATACCATCCACGCCTGGAATGGGAATGGCCACATCTGCTGGGATGGGCAAGATATTGTTGACGGCTCCGATAACTCCAGCCACGATCCCGGTCTGAGGGTTGAGAATGTCGTCCACCAAGCCGCCGAGTCCGCCGAGGAGACCGAGCTTAGGCCGTGAGCCCCCAGTGGAAGCACCAGCTCCAGCAGAACCCGCAGCAGGAGCAGGAACCGGCAAGGCGGCTGGAAGGCCAGGCAGGGGAGCTGGAAGAGGCAGAGGCGCACCCACGAGGCCGCCACTGCCATCTGAGCCAGGGACCGGGGCCACAGGCGGCAAGACTGGGAGTGGGGCAGGAAGAGCAGGCAGCCCTGGCACAAGTCCACCAAGAATGCCTCCCGAGGCCGGGGCGGCAGGCGCTGGAGCCACAGGAGGCAGGGCGGCAACAGGAGGCGCAGCAGTGGCAACGGCAGGCTTGGGAGCGCCGCCGCCGAGGATGGTCTTGAGGATGCCGCCGAGGGGAGGGATGGCGTCTGCGTCGACAACCGCCACGTCAACCTGCGGCTTGGGATTCGGACCAGTAGCCGAGCGGGCGTCAACCGAAGGCCGATTCTCAGAGGGAATATGCGGTGTCTGAGGCTGCGGCTTGTGCTGCTGCTCTTGAGCTGCCACGAGTTGACCGATGCTGACCGTCTCGAGGAAGACGCCTGCGAGCAGAGCCACTACGCAGACCACGACGGCCAGCGCCGGTCTCTTGAAGGACTGAAACTTGTCCCGCCCGCGCATCTTGGCGTGCTTGGGATGCAGAGGCCCTGGAGGTTTGGCGACTGGCTCGTGTCTAACCGACAGGGGCAGGCTCAAGGGACAGTGGAGAGGGATGGCGGTTAGATGAGATTCCCTCGAGCGGCTCTTGGAACGGTCCTAAAAAGAAGAGGCTATGTAGAGCAGCCAAAAGGGCTTCCAAAAATAAGGCAAGATGGACTGGAAGGCGACTATGAAGTCGGGTGAGGTGGAGGAGACGAGGGGAGAGAAGAGAGGATGGATGGGTGAAGAGACAGAAGAAAGGTCGGAGCCGCGAGCGAGGTATTTAAAGGTGCCTTGTTCCAGAGCTCGTGGCTCCTGCACGCCTTCCCCAAGAGACAGAACCGAGTCGGCCGCGGTTGCATCGTGAATGCTTAAACAACCAGAAGCTCCCCATGCTCCTGCCGCGGGACATCAGTCAGCCCGCTATCGCCAGCTTCAGGAAGGCACTGGGGCTGAAGGAAGGAGGCGAGGAGGACCCATGCGTCTTGAGACCCTGCTCTATCGTGGATGTTTTAATCCTCTCTCCTGGAAGGCGCAGAATTATGACGCCAACGGCCGAAGCCCACGTCCGGGAATTAGCAACCACCCCGCTGGCTCTATCCCGCACTATGCGAGCCCAAGACTCGGCGTGTCTGCATTGCTTGAGTTATGATTCCATAGCAATCAGCACCCGGGCTAGCCGACCTGACCTCCCAACGGGCCGCTTCGGCAAACAGTTCCGTCATTCCAGAGCCTTTATCGAACCGCTCCATCATGTCACAGTGTGTTTCATTCAGGCCATAACTGCTAGTATTTTCCATGACCCTGGGTAAATGCCCATCCGTAACCCATGCAGAAAGAAATCAAAGTTCAAGACGCCCCGACGACCGCAAGCCTCAACCCATCGTCAAAGAAACATCCTAGTAGCGCTTGCCGTCCCTCAGACTGTCGGCAAACTCCTCCAGAGGGCTCCGGATGAGCTTGGTCTCCTTCCACAGCTCGGGGGTCAGGAAACCGTAAGTGTTGGAAACGGCGGCGAAAGTAGCCTTGAGGGTGTTCTCGAGGGTCTTGGTCGAGCCGGACGACGAGGTGTAGGCATCCTCGATACCGGCAAGCTGGAGGAGACGCTTGACGGCGGGCGAGGCGACCAGGGAGGTACCACGGGGAGCGGGAATGAGCTGTGGCGGTCGAGCGACAAGGTCAGCAAACACTCCCTCCCAAAGTAACCACAGCTGGAACAGACGGAGCCCAAAACTTACGCGGACGGTGACGGAACCGCACTTGCCGCTCTCCTTGATGGGAAGCGAGTGCGGAAGACCAAGGTTGGTACCCCAGAAACCACGACGGACGGGGATGACGCTGAGCTTGGCGATGATGATGGCGGCACGGATGGCAGTGGCGACCTCCTTGGAGGTCTTGATGCCCAGTCCAACGTGGCCCTCCGAGTCACCAATGATGACGATGGCCTTGAAGCGCGTGCGCTGACCGGCACGGGTCTGCTTCTGGACGGGCTTGATCTGTATTTGGGACAAAACGGGGCTTGTCAGCGACGCTGTCTGAAAATGGAGTCTGCTCGCCGAACGGCAGCAGCCCCGTCGCAGCCACCACGGCAGCTCCCACTGCGCATGGCGCCTCCCACAAACAAACGCACCTTCATGACCTCGTCCTTGAGTTTGGGCAGGAAGAAGTCGACAATCTGGTACTCCTTGATGGGCAGCGAGTGCAGGTAGATCTCCTCCATGCTCTTGATCTTGCCGGCCTTGACCAGACGGCCCAGCTTGGTGACGGGCTGCCACTCCTTCTCGTCGTTCTTACCGCCGCGACGGCCGCGGCCACGTCCACGTCCACGGCCGCGGTCACCACGTCCGCGGTCGCCGCCACGGTCGCCACGCGAGGCGAAACCACCGCCACGGGGTGCTGCGTCAGCCATTGTCGGGTAGGATCTGGTCTGGGGGATGCGAGTCGGCGCTGGTGGTGCTGTCGCGGGCGGGAGGGTGTCGTGTCGGCCGGTTGGTCGAAATGGATGTGCTGTGCTCTTTTGGTGGTGGTGAGGAAGTCGTCCAACGCCCAATATCTCCTTCCACTTTTTTGCGCCGGGTGGGGTTTCGTGGTGCCCTCTACAAAATTCTGGTGGTAAAGGGTGGGCTGCTCCCCTACCCAGCGAAGCCCTAAAAGTTGCGGCCTTTCATGTCAGGCATCAAGGCAAAGCGACCCCCACTTTATGGAGACTGTGGGGGGAGACATGGGTTTGATCACATGACACCTCAACGGCGTTGGAACCCATGGAGTTCTCTCAAGACAATTTCCTGCCGTCGCCGCGTGCTTTTCCAATGTCATATCTGCTCCCAAGACAGTCGCATCCAACCCAACCTGTTGCATAACGGTGTTATAGAAAGGACTAATAATGATCCTCAATCGCCAGAGTCCCTATCTTGGTGATGAGGAACTCGTCCACGGCCACATCCTTGCCGCTCTCCTTCCCGTGCCCGCTGTCCTTGATGCCTCCGAATGGCGCCTCGGTGGCGGAGCTGTTGCCCGCGTTCTGCACGAAATGTCAACCACAAATCTGACTGGCTCCGTGAATGCAGGGGATGCTTACCAGGCCGATCATGCCGGCCTCTAGCCGCTCAAACATTCTCCACAGGCGGTCGACGTTCTTTGTGAAGACGTAGCTGGCCAGACCCATGCTCGTGTCGTTTGCGCGCCTCACGACCTCGTCCTCAGTCTCGAACCGACACAGGCCGAGCACCGGCGAGAAGACCTCGTCGCGGCACATGGCCATGCCGTCCGTCAGGCCCGTCATGATCGTGGGCGACATGAAGTAGCCGCCCCCATCGCTGGCGCGCCTGCCGTTGCCCAGCACGGCCTTGGCCCCTTTGGAGACGGCGTCGTCGAAGAGCTCCTCGGCCTTGTCGAGCCCCCTGGGCGTCGTTACAGGCCCCAGCGTGCAGCCTTCCTCCATGCCGTGGTCCATCTTGAGCGCCAAGGTACGCTCGACGAGCGCCTTGACGAAGGCGTCGTGGATGCCGCTCTGGACGTAGACCCTGTTGGCGGACACGCACGCCTGGCCCGCGTGCCGCCACTTGAGCGCCATAAGCTGTGAAAGTGCCTGGTCCAGACTCGCGTCATCGAACACGATAAAGGGGCAGTTGCCGCCTAGCTCCAGCGTCGTCTTCTTGAGGTTGCGCGCGCACAGCCCGGCTATTATCTTGCCGACGCGCGTGCTCCCCGTAAAAGTGACCTTCTTGACCAGCGGGTGCAGGCAGAGCGATTCGGCGACAGCGGGCGTGTTCTCAAGGCTGGTGCTCAGCACGTTGAGCGCCCCAGGCGGGAAACCGGCCTTGGAGGCCAAGCGGGCGATGCAGACGGCCGTGACGGGCGTCTCGGGCGATGTCTTGACGACCATGGTGCAGCCCGCCGCAAGCGCGGCGCTCGCCTTTCGCAGGACCAGCGCGACCGGGAAGTTCCACGGCACGAGGGCCGCGCAAGTGCCGATGGGCTGCTTGATGAGCAGGCCCCGGCGGCCCGGGACGGCCGAGGTGAAGGTCGTGCCCTGCACGCGGTCCGCCTCGCCCGTGAACCACCACGTGAACGAGGTCGCATAGTCCAGCTCGCCGTAGGCCTCGGCCAACGGCTTCCCGGTCTCGTGGACCAGTATCTTGGCGAGATCGTCGCGGGCGCCAACGATCAGCGAGTGCCACCTCGAGAGGGCCTGGGCTCGCTGTCGGGGCGTCCACTTTGAGTAGGCCTGGAAGGCGATGTTCGCGGTGGCCACGGCTTGGTCGACATCGTCGGGAATGCTGTCCGGGCACGAGGCCCAGGACCTCCCAGTGCCGGGGTCTATAACATCGAACCGCTTGTTGGATACAGATGGCACTAACTCGCCATTGATGTAATTCCCGAATTGGATGAGGTCAGGGTCGGAGAGGGCGAAGGGAAGGCCTGCATGCTTGCCTGTCGACGCCATGCCGAGGAGTTGTGTCCGCTGAACAAACTACACCAAGGTACCCAGTGTAAGTTGATTAAGTCTGAAATATAGACATTAGTCTGCTCTAATATGTTGCGTTTGGTCCTGACGGGAACCTGAACCCCCAGTCTCGAGTTTGGGGAGCCCCAGGGGCAGCCATTCACCCCGAAATCGGAACGCTGGACAGAGCTTGAGTCCCACCCCCGCACTTTTCACTCCTGACAGGGGCTATTATGCAGCATGGAGGGATCAAAACGAAGAGCTACAGCAGGAGTACGGATGCTTGGTCATCTTCTACCCAAACCCTGGCCCGGCTGCCTCACAGGCCGTTGAGAGGACTGTGGTGAGGGCATTCCAGGTGACCAACTCCCTACCGCGTCGGGGAAGCCCGTTGGACCGGCCGGACGATGACCCTGCCAGGAATATGTTGGGTTCTCAAGCTACTTTCCAGCGAAACTGGCGTCTAGGATGTTTTGTCGACCCTCCGCGCTAGGCGGCGTGGTTTGCGCCTTATGGGCCGTTCCATAGGGGATGCCTGGCATAGCGCTAGGCGCCCACTGTAGGGGCTGCTCTCAATGTTGTGAGCCCTCCAGCCAGCGTACGCACCCACATTCTACATAGGTGGGTTCCTAGCGGGCCAATGCGGGATGAATAACATGTGGAAGCACCAACCCTAGAGGAATCAATGGTGGAGGCAATGACCAAACAGCACTGACGCACTCGCGTCATTTCGTGACCTCAATTACACATATCATTGATGCATACCATAACACAATCTCATTACTGCGCCGTCTGCAGCGACTTCCGCAGGGCGGCGCAGATGGCATCGCCAACCTCGTTCGTCCGCGCCCTTCCACCCAGATCTCCGGTCCGGATCTCCAACCCTCCCGCCTCCTTGGAGTCCAGCACGTGGCCGACGGCCTTCTCTACAGCCGCGGCCTCGTCGGCGAGCAGGAACGAGTAGCGAAGCATCATGGCCAGACTGAGGATCTGGGCGACGGGGTTGACGACGCCCCTGCCCGAGATGTCGGGCGCGCTGCCGTGCACGGGCTCGTAGATGCCGTTGCACCGGCCCTCGCCCGGGACCGCCGAGATGCTCGCGCTCGGCAGGACGCCCAGCGTGCCCGTGATGCCGCCCGAGATGTCGGACAGCACGTCGCCGAAGGTGTTGTCGGTGTGCACGACGCCGTTGAAGCGCGTCGGGTCGCGCACCATGAGCATGGCCATGCTGTCGGCGAGCTGGTGCCGCAGCTCGACGTCGGGGAACTCCCTGTCCATGGTCTCCTGCGTGACCCGCCTCCACAGCCGCCCGCTGGCCAGCACGTTGGCCTTGTCGGCGCTCCACACCACGGCCGGCCCGCCGCCGCCGCTGCCGTCGCGGCCCATCAGCCGCGCGACCGCGGCGCTCACGCGCGCCAGCCGCTCGACCTCGGACGAGCTGTACACCCACAGGTCCGACGCCGTCGTCTCCTCCTCCACCTTGGCGCCGAAGTAGGCGCCGCCGCAGTTCTCCCGCACCACCACGAACTTGGTCCCCCTCACCAGCTCGGGCTTGATCGGGGAGGCGTCCACCAGGGACGGGACGAAGATCTCGCATGGCCGGAGGTTGGCAAAGGCGTCCAGGCGCTGCCGCAGCCTCAGCAACCCAGACTCGGGAGTCGGGTTCGCGGCCGCCCACTCCGGGCCGCCGATGCTACCGAAGAGCACGGCATCGCTCGATGCTGCCAGGTCAAGCACGGCGTTGGTGATGGGAACCCCGTGCTTGTTGATACTCGCCCCACCCACTAGGTCAAAGGTGCGCGTAAACTTGAGGCCCGGCCGGCACTCCTCGATCACGTCGAGAACCTTGAGCGCCTCGGCCATCACCTCGGGGCCGACGTGGTCGCCCGGCAGGACGAGGATCTTGTATGTGCTCGGCTGTGCCATGGTGCTTGTCTTGTGTGATGTGCTCGGAAATACAGCTCTTTCGCAGCGTTCTCAGAGGGCGGCCGGTGCACCAAACAAGTAAAACGAGATGGCAGGGGGCTACATGTAGTAGGTGGCACTGTAATTCCATGGCGGGGTGCAGTGGAGGCGTGCCCGAATTGCGCCCGGTTTCGGCGTGTCCCACCCCCGCCGCTCCGACTGCCAAGGCCCGTAGAAAGGAATTGCACTCCTCAGAGCTCGGCTGCCTTGCATCTTGAGGGGTAGGTACCTGAACTAGGTGCATGGGTACCTAGGTAGCTAGGTTAGATGGTCATGCCGAAGCACGAAACTCACAACACGCTCCTCTGCTGGATCCCTTCCGGGACTCATGACAAGCAGGGTTAAGGTCATTCATTACCACTTTGCTGCTTCGACGCACGTTGTACCATAGCGTAAAGTGTCATATCATTTGTACAGCCCGCCAGACAACCCCCATCCTCCTCACTCTCGCGAACACTAGTCCCCATCCCGATCCGCCGCCAGCAACACCATGTCTCCCCGGCTCCAAGGCAAGGTCGCCATCGTCACCGGTGGTGCCTCAGGCTTCGGGAAGGGAATCGCCGCCAAGTTTGTGCAGGAGGGGGCAAAGGTCATCATCGCCGACCTCTCGGCGGAGTCGGGCCGAGCCGCGGCGGACGAGCTGGGCTGCGCGTTCGCCGCGGGCGACGTGACCAAAGCGGCCGACTGGGAGGCACTCCTGAAGCAGGCCGTCGACGCCTTTGGCGGCCTGGACGTCGTCGTCAACAACGCGGGGGCGACGTACGTCAACAAGCCAACCGAGGACGTCACCGAGCGGGACTTTGACCTCGTCATGAACGTCAACGTCAAGTCCATCTTCCTCTCGACCAGCGTGCTGCTGCCCTACTTCCTCGGCAGCGGCCGGCCCGGGTGCTTCATCCAGGTGGCCTCGACCGCGGGGGTCAGGCCGCGACCGCGGCTGACGTGGTACAACGCGTCAAAGGCGGCCGTCATCAACGCCACCAAGACCATGGCGGTCGAGTACGGCCCCAAGCAGATCCGGTTCAACGCCGTCTCGCCCGTAGTCGGGAGCACGGGAATGTAGGTTGCCAACCCCGAGACTCGGGAAACGGGCCCAGAGCTGAACCCTTTTACAAAAATAACAGGACCCATCTGTTCCTCGGGAAGCCTGACACCGAGGAGAACCGGGCCGGGTTCGTCTCGACGATCCCTCTGGGGCGAGCCTCGACGCCGGCCGACGTGGCCAACGCGTGCTGCTACCTTGCCAGCGACGAGGCTGAATTCATCACGGGTGTGAACATTGAGGTGGACGGAGGCCGATGCGTTTAGAGAGAGTATTTATGTTACAGCAGGCTGGGATGATGAATTATATACACCAATATATGCACCTATATCTGAGATAGACAACCCGGGTCCAGGGTGCGGGGCCGTTAACCCGAGGTCTCACTCATCATCACAATGAAGCAGCACCAGTCACAAAATCAAGAACTTCCAATCCGTGTGGAAGTAGGGGGCTTATAGCTTCCCCCGCGTGGGTAAAGATTAGCACTAGCAGAACGGATCCACTGTTCCAGGCCCAGAATTAGTTGGCAGAGCACTACAACGGTATCTGCCTTCACTACCCCGCCTTGGAATAGATGGCTTGGCTGCGGATTTCCGAGCGACCGGATTTTACCCTGGGCAGCTTGATCTCTTCTACCGTACTGAACTGCTCTTGATCTTCCTACCAAGACAAGCGACCACGCCACGCCCAAGAAGCAAAATCGCCTTTTTGTCTTAGGTGCGAGGCATCCTCAACCGTGATCGTCCTGGACGTTTCCTGCCCTTTTGCTCGCCGGGATGCTGTCGTCGGGTCACACGCTCTGCCAGAGTTAGCAAAACACACAGAAAATCGTGGCCGGCAAACACGAGCAAACCCCCCATTATCGACCCACGATCCCCATATCTTCCCCCGGTGAACTGTCCGGGGGGCTCGGGGTAATATCGCGCCCATAACCCATAATCGACAAGGCCGAAGGCGCGCGAGACGCTGCCGGCCAGTGGATCTGCGGGGATTGCATCGTTGCATTTCTCCAAAGAATGCGGGGTCGACTCCAACCGCACCTCTCAACATCGAATTGACGATCCGTCATGGCAACACTGCCAGGGTTCCGCGTCTTTTGGTCGTGCTGTCGGCCCAGGGCACCGGGGCAACACGCATTTCTCTCGCCCACCCGGCCTGGGCCCCCGGCAGTCTCAAGGTGAGCGACCGGGCCGAGGCTAACAATCTGCTTGACCAGCGTCAGTCATGCCATCTCAAGTATAAATCAGCTACACGCTCCCCGCGAGTGTTGGCTCCCAAGCTGGTCCTCTTTAGCACCTTTGAAAAGGCTTTGACTCCCGCCGCCCGCGTACGACTCGAACACCCGACAAGATGGCGAGGTCACTGGCACTGGGCATGCTTTACGGCCTGTCCTCCCTTCTGGGGACGGCCCAAGGCCAGACGTTCGACCCGAACAAGGCCGGGCAGCAGCACTGGGACCCGGCCCTGGTCGGGACGGACAAGACCACCAACGCCACCTTCAGGAACCCCGTCATGACGACCAACATCGGCGACCCCTGGATGACGAGGTACTCGGCCGGCGGCGAGGACTGGTACCTGTTCACCTACACCACCAACGACAACATCACGCTGAAGCGGTCCAGGTCCTTGACGGACAACTGGGACAAGGCCGAGTCGCGCGTCATCTTCAACCCGGACCCCAACAGCGGCGAGCCCTGGTCGACCGACATCTGGGCGCCCGAGATCCACAACATCTCGGACAGGTGGTACGTCCTGTTCACGGCGACGCCAGACCGCGACAACCCGCCGCCCATGCAGGACGCCCTGTGCCCCATCAACTGCCCGGCCGTGAACCACCGCATGTTTGCGCTCGAGAGCAGCGGGCCGGACCCCTGGACGGCCAACTTTACGCTCAAGCCCGAGATCAACTCGTTTGACCAGTTCGCCATCGACGGGACCTACTTCCACTACAAGGACCAGCTCTACCACATTTATTCGTGCTGGGAGCACGCCTACTCGGCGTGGCCGGCCAACCTCTGCATCACGCACATGTCGAACCCCTGGACCGTCGACTCGAACCTGACGGACCGGCGCATCATCTCGGTGCCGGACCAGGCGTGGGAGAAGACGCCGTACGGGCGGCCCGACATCCGGCTGGCCAGCAACGAGGGCCCGCAGCAGCTCGTGAACCCCAAAACGGGCCAGAACTTTGTGATATACTCGGCCGCGCGCGTCAACACGCCCTACTACTGCCTGGGAATGCTGGAGCTTGTCGGCAACGACCCGATGGAGCACTCGTCGTGGCGCAAGCACACGCAGGGGTGCCTCTTCCACCTCAACACGGCCGAGGGCGTCTACGGCACGGGCCACGCGAGCTTCACGACGAGCCCAGACGGGTCCGAGGACTACCTGGTCTACCACGCGCAGACGACGCCGAACCCAAAGGGCGACATCTACCGCACGGCGCGCATACAAAAGTTCACGTGGAACGAAGACGGCACGCCAAAGTTCCCCCTCGCCGGCAACGGGCCGTTCCCCGTGCCCTCGGGCCAGAACGGCCAGAGGCCCGCGGCCGCACAGGCGCAGCCGAGGGGGTTTGGTGATAGCTGGAACTTTTGAAAGGGGGGGTCAAAATGGGCGCGGGGATAACGCGGGTTATGTTTTACGCGTCTTAATATGATTAGGTTCATGTCCAGATGGTGCTTGACGCCTTCGGGCTCTACGTGACGATACGAGTGACGACTCTATGCCGTAGAAGATTTCAGCTTCAGACGACATTGAGAACGTGGGAAATCCCAGGAACTAGGTTGACCTCGACAGTTGGAGCATTACTGACCGCCCCGAATCGAAGGGGAAATCTCATGCAGGTTGCCCCGGGGCAGGGGTTGGGGTACGTGCGGGGGAATGGGGAGACGGAGGTTTGCTGACATGGGTCACTGCCGAGGGTATCGCGATCCGTCAACAACGGTCATGGCCATGTCCTGCCTTGGCCCCGTGGGGAGTCGAGCGCCTGGGATGGCCATGTTTGATCAAGGTGTGGTGCTGAGCGGCGTGCACCAAGGCAAGCAAGGTTATTACCCGGGGATCTCAGGAACAGCCGCTGACCGCTACTGTGTATGTGCTCCGCGACGGCCGTCGCGAGGCCGCCTTGACCGCCATTACACCACCACGTGTACGTACGTACCTTGCATGCAGAACAGCGGGGCGCCCGGCCCGGACCCGGGGGTCTCGTACCGATCCTGGGAAGCTCCATCTTCCCACCCTCCCCGGCGCGAGAGGATCGATGACGGCCACGAGAGCGGGTGGCACAACGGCGTTGATGGAACGATGGGGATCGAGGGGGTGGGTGTATGGTTCGGGTGGCCGTAGCAAAACAGATAGGGATGGAGAGGGAGGACTTGTCATGGCTACCGATCAATGTCTTGACTTGTTTTGTTTCTGACGTCTGGGGCGAATCAGAAGACGGGCCGGTGTAGCTAGAACTGCGGCAGCACCCCCACGTCACCTGCTGGTGCATGTAGCTGACGGACGCGAGGGTCTAGGGTCAAGGGTCATGAGCCGCGTTGCTGATTGATCCGTATCTGCATCTGGTCTTTCTCTTTTTCCCCCTCTCTTTCGATGGTTCAATTGCAGCTGGTTTTGTCTTGTCGTCATCATGTTGTATCTTTTATTTCGTCGTCCGAGTTGGGATGGCACAAGCACCCACCAGCGCACACCGTCATGGAGCCGCAGATGGCGTCGCACGGAATGCGTGCAGCCCCAAAACCGAACCGACTGGACGACAATGGCCGACGCCGTTTGGGCGGGGAAGCCGTTCTGCTGCACAGCGATCGCCGTGCGTCCAACATGATGCTAGGGCCATTGCACGGACGGTGTGGTGGAATTGGCTTCCTGTTAAACCCCTGGCTTCCGCGGGATTCGTTCCATTTGTTCTTCGTACGGGCTAGCAACGGCTAGCAAGGGCTAGCAAGGTCTCTGCCAGGCACCTAGACCTAGAACAGGCAAATGGACCAGCAAGGGAGTAAACTGCACCGTCTGGTTGGCTAGCCATCTAGAGACCCTGCCGGCTGCCTGCCTTTTGGTCGGGAGCACGACTTGGAGCTGTGCAGTGATGGCGCCGCGGCAGGCTGCCTGTCCCGACTGACGTCTTGCCTGCCTGCTGCTCGACCAGGGTGAGAGGCAGGCAGATCATTGATCAAGTGAGGCTTGCACAAACTTTTCCCTTCTTTCTTTCGTCGTTGCCACCTCGTTCTATTCTTTTTTCCTTCTTTTTTCCTCTTTTCATCTGTTTCCCCAACAGACTGCTGCCTTCTCCCATCAAAAACCAACCACGAGAGATTGACCCAGAATTGAGCCACCATATTGGTTGCCTTACGCCCGCATCTCAACACAGTGGGAAGGTGCTCCCACGCAGCCACAAAAAGCTACCCGTAGGCAGCCCAAGGTTCATTGAAAATAAAATAAGAATAAAAAAAAAGAATAAAAAAAAGGCAAGGTTCCAGAGCCGCCTTTCTCTAGCGTCAGGTCTGCGACATCTGGAAGCATCTTGGGACGATCAACACCCCGCTTCCTCTCAAACCCTCTTCCTTCTCACCAACGTCATTTTTAGCCTTAGACTTTTTTTTCCCTTATCCTTTTGCTCACTGTGTCACCGTGGCTGGCCACCTGGCGCACTCTCTTCAAAAGCCTGTTGGTCCCCATCCACGGCCCCGACACCGGTCTGGCAAGCCCTACCCTCCTGAACGCACACTCTAGTCGACAGCCATCGCAGTGCATCGTGTGCTGCCGCCGCCGCTGTCCCGGCCTCTCAGGTGTGCTTGACGGCTCCGGCGTGACCAACCTGGCGTGCGTGTTTCTCAGATCGCCTCGAGCTGCCTCGCGTGGACTCACGCCGCGTCGCGTTGGCACCAACCCACACCAGCAGTTGCTCGCAATGGAATCAAGGTTACCGAGGAGGATGGGTAATACTCGACTTTCGGCTTGAATAAGACCCCAAAAACAAGCAGCTAACACGTTTCCCCTTCCCTACGCAGCTTCGTTCAGCCGCCCTTCGTCACATGTGTTGGCCTGGTCCGAGAAAAACACCACAGAAATGGATCGTGAGCCGAAACCCAAAGATCCCGAGGCAACATTTCCACCTCGGAGGCAGCTTCCGGAGGACGGTGGCGGCACCAGGCGCAAATTCAACACCCGCCAAACCAAGCACTCCCAGAAGCCACCTCCCCTCGACCGCGGCTACGCCGACGCCCCGCTCGAGAAGACGAGGAGCAGCGAGACGGTGGAGAGCTACGACATGCTGGATGACGACTTTGTCGACGAGCTCCGCCAGGGCTGGGATGATCTGGGCGACAGGTCGGCCCTGAGCAGGGACGAGGAGTCGGCTCGGCGGGCCTCGTCGCAGGCGCTGCTCGCCCGGGAGGGCTTCGTGGTCTCGACGTACAGCCTGGCCAGAGAGTTCTTCATGCGTCTGGTTGGGGGCGGCGGAGTGGGTGTCCTCGCGCCACGATACGGGGCAACATCATACTCGAGGAGGGGGTAGGGTATCGGTGGGCTGGGGTGTGGGCGAGCTGCGTGGTGGCAGGGTCAGTCCATCGACGGCGTCTCCTTGCCAAAGCTAATCAGGGAGGGATAAAGGGTTCCTGGCGGCCTGGGGGCTACCCAAGGAAGCGACTGGGCAGCTTCCCCAAGCGGGACGACCCAATCAGGAGAATCTCCCTCTCTCAGACAGCAGCGTACCAGGCCCCAGCGAAAAGAAATAAACAACCGTACCTTGCATCACACGCTAGTGGTTTTTGAAAATAACCTTCTCTTTTTCATGGCCCAAGCTGCTCCTGCCCTCTCCTAGTCTCCAGTCCTATGGTACCCTGGGGGGTGACAAACCTCATCCCCAACAGTCATATCTGTGTTGGAGTCTATAACTGCGGGCCTGGCTCTGTTCTGATTCTACCCCGGGGCAGCCAGGCCGTCACGATCACGGGACGCGGGAGGGAAGGGGTGGGGGAACCTTGTTTCCAAGCCAAAGGAGCAGAATTTTCAAGGGCATGACGAACAGCTCTCCAGCTTTCTCCGTTAGTAATTCCCGCGTGCGGTTCTTGTGAGGCATTGGGTCGCCTGTGTGATTCTCCGAAAGGGCACCGCCCAGGTTTGCCAAACGAGTATAAAACCCTCGCCCCCGCCATCCCTAACACCTATTCTGCACTTCACACTGGTGAATACACAGTAACAGCTCAACCACGGTAACGATATCTCCAACCTGACCACATTCGAAACCCTCATAAACCTTCACACAGAATACCTAGTAAGCAAATAAACCAGCCCATCCATTTCTTCAGGAAGGCGGTTCTGACCTTGTAGCCAAGGCGCCATGCCTTTTTACGCTCCCGACCCCTGGTTCCACATTCAGCAGGACCAGGGATATCAATACCAGCCACATCAGCACCACCAGCACCAGTACCAGCACCACCAGCAACAACCACAGCAACGGCAGCAACTGGACCAACAGGGGCAGGAGCTACAGCTCCAGGAGCTCCAGTACCACCACCACCACCGCCATCAAGAGCCCCACCAGCAGCCGCTTCAACAGCAGGAGCAGCAGCAGCAGCTCCAACAGCAGGAGGAGCTGCTGCTGCTGCTATTTCAAGAGTCCCAGCAGCAGCTGTTTCAACAGCAACAACAGCAGGGCCAGCAATACGACCTGCGACCACAGGGGCCCCGAGCGCGGGGAGCGCGGCCCCCGTCAGGGTACGTGTTGGACGGCCAGTACCCCGGCCTCCCCGGCCAGCCGCCCTACCGGCCCATGTACGATTTGCCTCGTGCGGGATCCCGGATGGCGGCTCAGGGGATGCCGGTGACGAGGCCGGGCACTCTCTCGCCCGGGCAGGGGCCAGCGGCGCATGCTGGACTCGCTGGTGCTCCTCATCAGCCGGTCCCAGGCAGCCAAGATCTGCCAGCCCTGCCAGGAGGCTACGCCTCGCAGATGCTGGCCAGCCAGTACATGATCTTGCCTGGCCAGCAGCAGCACCAGCAGCAGCAGCAGCATCACCACCACCACCACGAGCAGTTGCCGCCGCCCTGGCACTACCCCCGGTCGCAGCCCCCGACCCAACAGCCCGCCATGCCGGCCAGCCCCGTCCCCCAGCAGCACCCACCGATGATGGGTTTCCCGGCGCCGCGGCCGCAGCAGCAGCCCATCGCCGGGCCGGCGGGCGGCATGTGGGGGGCCAGCGACATGGTGGTAGGCAGCTACACGCTCGCGCCGCTCCCGGTCGGGGGTGGTAGCGGCGGAGGCGGGGTGGCATGCGCTCCTGCCCATGCCTGGGCTGCGGCACCGCAGGGCAGGGGAAAACGCAAGCGGCCGTGCCCCGCGAGCGCCGGCGCCGGCGCCGGCGACCCTCGGCCCGTTCGCAAGATCCGGACCTCGGCCGCCTCGTCGTCGTCGGCCACCATAGCGGCGACGAGTCCCGACGCCCCGGCCACCATGCCCGCCACCGCCACCGCCACCACCACCGTCGCCCCCGCCGTGGGCGCCGAGCCCTCCCCGACCACCATCCCCGCTCCCGCGCCCGCGCCCGCCCTAATTGCCGGCCAGGGTGACACCGGCGTGACCTCCCCGCCCCTGTCGGAGGAGGAGATTAGGGTCTTGGAGGCGCTCGGGCCTGCGGTGGCAGCGACCCCGCCGCCCCAGGGGCCCGCCGCGGTGCCCGACGACCCGGCCGCTGCGGACGGGCAGGGCGATGTGCCGGCTGCCGCCGCGGGCGAGGCGGCGGGGGAGCAGGAGGAGGCGGTGGTGATGCCGGCTGCCGCGGACGAGGCGGCAGGGGAGCAGGAGGAGGAGGCTGTGGTGGCTCCGGCACCCGCCGGCAACCCCCGGGACCTCTTTGGGGTGGACCCGGTGGACTGTTTCGCCGGGTTCGCGCCCGAGCTCAACGGCGAGCTCCCAGAGTGGCTCACAGAGGGGTGGGAGCCCGTCAACCTTGACGATCTCTTCTCGGGCCCCTCCTTGGTCGAGTAGGCCGACCCCTTTTACCTCTGGTCTGCTCGTCCTCGTCCCGTCGGTTTCCTTCAGTGTTCTTGTTCCTTTTGCTGTCTTTCCTATTCCTTCTCCTTTTTTTCCTTTTCTTCTCTGTCGGCGTTCAGCGGCGTTCAGCAAGGTGTAGCCCGGCCATCAGGAAGGCACGGCCGGTCACCTACCTATATACCCAGGGTAGCGATAGTGTTGGGGTGGTTTTCTTTTTTCTTTTTGCACTTTAGCATTTCATTCTGACCGATCCAGTCGACAAGATTTTCTCGGTCATGTCTCATCATCTGCATTGTAGGCAAGGTCTTGTATCTGGCCGGCAGGCGGCGTCTATGCGGTTTATGTGTAGCAGGAAAACATGCATCCCCGACCAGTCATCCAGCCCAGGCTTCAAGTGAAAAAAAAAAAGTGAAAAGCGGCTCCGGGTGTGGCAAAGGGCAGTCAGGAGCGAAGGCGGAAAGCTAGGGCGTATAGAAGGAGGTCAACCGCGGACGCCGGGTGGGTTTGGCGCCCGGCACAGCGGGCGCATGACACTTGATAAGCCCTTCAGGGGGCGTAGAGTTGTATCTGTGGCTACCGAGGGAGGGAAAAGAGAGGATGTTTGACGACGAGATTTTTCAGCGCCGAGTGACCAGCCCAAGAAAAAAAAGGTATCCCCCTCCTCCCCAGATGGTGTTGTACTTTATCAAGCGCCCAATGACAAGCCTTACCTCAACGACTGCTAGAACGGCGTCGGGAATGGTTGGTTTTACGTATACATGTGGCTATAAAAGCGTCGTGGCTTGTAAGGAGGCCCAAATACGAACGAGGTGAAATAAAATCCCCCTCTTTGAGTGGTGCTGTGTTTCATCAAGCCTCCAGTAGCAAGCCTCGCCTCTATGGTTGCTCGAATGGGATTGGAAGTGGCAGCTTTCACTCAATAACATGCGACTCCAAAGTGCAATGGCTTGATCGGGACGTGATTGGGAGCATCATCAAGGTCGATTGCGATATTCTCCAGCAAAAGGTTGTCAGTCAGAGTTCAGGTGACAAGCCAGCCCTCATGAGTTCAGCAGGTGTGCTAGGGACTAAGAGATTTATTTACTGCTATCAAATGCGCAATGCAAGCCCCAAAACCCGGACCGTGAAAAAGTAAATCATTGCATGAGTGAAGCGTGGTTGGCCGATGCCCCAAAGCTGGGAGGAAGGAGACGGAAGGGAAATGAAGAAACAGAACAAAAATATAAGCCCCAGCCCAAAAAGAAAAACTTGCACACAAAAAACACATGATACATGCTTCGGGATCATGATTCGTCCATCAACCCACAGGCTTGTACTCTCACTTTTCCGAATCAGTCTCCTGCTCCCTCTTCCCTTCATCACCCACCCAAACCAAGCCCCCTTGAAGCTCAGCCCCGACGGTAGCTGCTCCTGTCACGATCTCCCGACCGCTCGCCGCCGCCGCCACCGCCTCCGCGCCTGCTCTTGCGCTTGTCGTCCTGGTAGGCAAAGTCGTTGGTGGCGATGCCGCTGCCGCTCAGGCTGCTGCCCGTGAGCTCGGGGATGGGGTGGTGGTACGTCTTGGTGCCGACTTCGCTGCTGGTGCCCACCTCGCTGCCCTCGACCCACGAGCCCGGCACGCTGGCCGACTGCCTGGCGGCGGCGGGGTCGGTGGGCGGTCGGCTCTTGGATCGCGTGCGGCTCTTTGAGCGGTTGCGGCGCTCGTCGGCGGCCGACGCCACCGACGACTCGGCCTCCTCGATGCGCCGCATCGCGAATCCACGCCTCTCGTCGGGCCCGCGCTGGAAGCTGTAGTCGCGCCGGGGCGGGGCAGCGGCGGCCGACGAGGCCTGCGACGACGAGGCCGCCGACGAAGACGCCACCGTCGACGCCGCCATGGCCGACCGTCCCTTCTCCTGCAGCCGGCGGGCCTCGGCGCGGATGCGCTCCTGCTCGCGGCTGTGTACCTTGTCGGCCGTCGAGTAGACCTTGCGGATGCCGCCCGTGTTGCCGCCGCCGCTGGACTTCTTGGGCGCCGACGTCGCCGACGTGCGCTGCTTGTCGCCGCCCAGTAGCTCCGACGTGACGCCGCTGCCCTCGTCGTCCTCGTCCTGGCGGCTGCGTTGGTGGCGGTGGCTGCGGTGACGACTGGGCATGGGCTCCGAGACCTCGGTGCGGGTGCCAGCGCTACTGCCACTCGGGTTCGAGCCGTCCCACTGGCTGCCCTCCGACTCCTTGTTGAGGCCGCCGACGCGCGCAGGCTTCTCGTGGCGGTAGTTGCGCAGCTGCTCAGCGGCCTCGGCCTCGGCCTCGGCGTCGATGAGCGCGCCGTCGGCCCCGACCTTCCTGCGGCTCTTGTTGCCCGCCTTGGCGTCCTTCTCCTCCTGCTTGCGCCTCGCCTTCTCCTCGCGCTGCCGCTCGCGCTCGCGGTCGCGCGCCTCCTTCTTCTTGCGCCTCTTCTCGCGCGCGCCAATGTCGGACACGCCGGCCGTGATGCCCGTCATGTACGTGTCGTCCGTGATCTCGGTGCGCGCGTCGTCGTCGTGGTACCTGCTCCTGTGGCCGCGGAGGAGGCCCTCGGAGCCGCCCGAGACCGTGGTGCCGTCGTCGACGTCCTTGTAGACGCTGCCGCCGCCGAGTTTGGTCGACTTTGTCACATTTGACAAGATGGTGCCGTTGGGGCCGGTGCGGCGCAGCACCGTCGACTTGTAGTCGTCCCAGTCGTTCTCCTTGAAGTAGAAGCCGCCGTTCTTGGCCCAGAAGAAGAACCAGATGCCGCCGATGACGAACCCCGCGCCTATCAGGCCGAATAGCGCGAACACGGCGTTGTTGTTGATGTCGTGCGGGTTCACCGCGCCCCGCGAAGGGTCCGGCCGCTCGCCGCTGTCCTTTCGCGGCACCAGGTTGCGCGCCGTCAGCACCGCCCGGGCCGCCAGCGGACCGAGCGACGACGCGTCTGCGGCGCCCGTGGCCCGGCCGATGAGGCTCTGGATGATGGCTGGGGCCATCTTGTCGCCGGCGTCGGCTGCCAGCCGTCGATGGAATGTGTGTCGGGTCCCAGCCGGAAGAGGCGGTGTGGCTCAGAATGCTTGTCAACTGCTTTGTTTGGCTGGAAAACCAACGGGAAGAATGTCCAAGATGTCTCAATCAGACGTCGGGAATCGAAATAGGCACCCGACCTTGTGTCTGTGAGTGTGTGCGATGCTGGTTGTGGTCCTCGAGGCTAGAGTGCTCTCCCTCTAGACCAGAAGAGTTTGATAGTCTTCACCGCCGTTGAGCGTGTGATTGCCCTCCACCTGCAATCTGCCGTTGGAATTTGGAATCTGCAAGAACAAGCAGCAGCCGTCAGACCGAGCAGCGCTTGCTCTGTTGTCGTGATGGCAGTCCGTCTCCACAGAAACCGCCTCGCCTCGTCTGCCTTGGATTTTGACAAAGATGGGGGGGTTGGGTGTGTTTGGAAATGGAGGTTGGGCGAATGACGTCGCGAGTAAACACAAATTCGGCCACGGCCAATTGCTGTCCCAGCAACCGCCATTCCCCCAGCCAACGCACGCCACAACTCCACTCCTGCTGTGCCACATCACATTAATCCTGCTAAGCCGCAAAAGATGCGTGATGCGCTGGAACGTCCACGCCCCTTGGCAAAAAAGAGAGCCTCCCGCATCGCCTCGTCCATCCATGCTACCTGAAACTGCGTTTCGCGTTGCATTCACACTCACACGCCCCCTCCTCGCGCCAAGGCCTGCTCACCAATCCAAGCCAGGAAGCTAGGGGCGTCTATTCAAGGCGATGAAATAATCACCCAGCAACAGCTAACCCTCTTGGCCATCTCCCTTGTGCCGGGCGTCTAAATGGCAATGCCATATTACGGAACAGTGTCTCAGGACATCCGAGCTATCTACGGCTGCTAAATCCCCTTTCGGATTGCAATTAGCTTTGTCTTGCAGCCTTTTTCGTGTCTGGGACTGATGTATCCATCCACCGGAGCTCCAAATCTGACAGGTACCAAGCACGCCCATCTCTAGCCTCTGACGCCGGCTGGGAGCTGTGCCAGCAACCATCCCTGGAGCTAAAGAATGGACCCCCCGCTGAGAAGCCCGCCGTGTTTGACCAGAAACGCGATCCGTAATCTGAACGGGTCCTCTTCCATGTTGGTTTGCTTGCAAATCAAAGCAAAGCGGCGGGAGTGGAAAACCTTCCTGGCAGGGAGAATCCTTCTGGAACACGGGGATTTGAGAAAAGGAGGCGAGAGGCCTGGAGGGAAGAAAAAAAACTGTCTCTACCCCCAGTCGTTCATCAATCTGTATCCATCGCATTGACGCGAGCCGAAGGAGGCGATCGACACTGGCAGCGGACCTGTTCCGTCCACGGCTCCTTGCCTGATTCGCGGCGTGGAGAAACGACGCATAAACGCCAATCCTTCCATCCCGTTCCTTGGCTCCATATATTGTTCAAATCCGGTTCCAGCTACCGCCCACATGCCACATCAAATCACCAGAGCAACCGACACCTTTGCACTCCCGCCCGTCCGGAGGAACGTCGTCACGAGAGAAACAAACGGCAAAGGAGACATGTGCAGGAACTGTTGAATATCATGCACTTTTTGTTAAGATATCAGATAGGGGGCACCTATACGAAGGACGAGCTGCCTGCCTGCTTTTAACGCCCTATCCTAGACAGTCCGGTGTGCTAAAAAGGAAACCTGTTTTGTTCCACAAAGCATCCCCTCGTCCAAACATGATGAGACCAATAGCCTTTTCGCCCATTAAACTAGAGTATAAGACAAGCCATCCATAGGCCCATCCACAGCAAGTAAATGAAGTCCAGTGGTGGACGACAGCGTGCTGTAGAATGCCAACAAGCGCCAGTACAGTATCCAATACATATCAAAAAGTCCGACAGGCTCACCAACCAGGGCTACCGACCACGCTAGGAAACAACAACCAAGATTTTCAAAAAGATGAAGAAAAAGGACGACTATATAGAATCAAGCCATCGTGTCCGGTTGCCCTTCTCGCTCCACACAGACGTCTATACAAAGCTGCGGGGGTAGTGAACAAACGAAAGGGAAACAATGGGGTAAAAGTCGTAGTTTGTGCACACGCGAATGCGCAAGCTTCCATTACACGTAGCGGTCGCAGCAAGACGCCGTTACATCGCGCAAGCACAACTCTGTTCCGACAGGGAACAAGTCAAAGAAACATAGCCAACGACAGGGTAAGATGGATAAGGAGTAGATGAAAACAAAAAGAGTATGAGATTGAAGGTTTTGCCCGAGCCAGAGGGCGGAGGGAAACATGATGTGAAACTGGTGCACCCTCGACCACCCGACAGCGCCATGGCTCCTGGCAAGGAGGGGGAGTGCGCATGACAGGAGGCCCGAGGGACGGCACATGTACATGGATTAAGTAAAGAAAACGAACCGAGAGGGAATGGTGGTGGCTTGCTTTGGGTTCAGGCTTGCAAATTGCTGGGAAGCTAAGCAGAATAGAAGCCGCGGTATGCTGGCCAAAACAGTGTTGATCAAATGGAAGAAGATGGGCAGAGGTTCGGATTCGGCCGGTCGCTCGTCGTCATGGTCGTCATAAGGTCGTTGGAAGGTCAAAGAACGGTTGTAGTCGATTCGTCGTGTTCAACGCGGCGCCGTTTGGTCGCATCCACCGGCACGCCAAGGACAAGCCAAGGCAGCAAGCGTGCGCGTGGGTGTGTTCACAGCACTTTAGCCAAAGTAGGAGTGGTGTTGGTCCCTGTAGGAGCCCGACGAGAATGGGCTCGGGTTCAGGGGCGGCGGTGGCAGAGGCGGCGCGTGGTAACCATAGCTTGGGGACGAGCCGTAGAGATCAGCACCGCCGCCGTACCGCTCACGCTCACTGTAGCGCTCGGTGGCATATCGCTCTATTGGCGTGCCGCGGGTGTAGGATCCGGCCTGCGATGAAGCGGCCCTGATCCTGGCAGGCTGGCGCTCGCCCCTGGACCTGCGCTCGTCTCTGCGCTCGTCGCGCTCATCTGGATCGACGTAGCTGGACCGATCGCTGCCGCGGTCACCAGGCCCACCGCCGGCCCTTATGAAGTTGATCTCGGCGCCGTCGGTGCACTGCAGCTCTGCGCCACCCCCGAGCTTGAGCGTTGCATTGCCCCTCACCCGGATGGTGACGTCGTCCTCAACGCTGGTCCTAGTCGTGGCGGTGGTCGCCTGTCGAAAGTCACTCTCGTCATGGCTCGCCGTGCTGTGGGTCGACTTGCTGCTCCTGCTGTTCTTGCTCTTGCTTGCCCTGCGAAGAGCGTCATGAGTGAGCTGCTGGATGGGAGGCTCTGGGTCCTGGTGCGCAAGAGCCCTGCGAAGCTTGTCATCGACGGCCTGCGAGGACGTAAAGTTTGGCCCGTACTGCGAATTCCGGTGGGGAGCAACCTCGGTCTTGTATCCGGCTTGGTCGTAGCCGATGGACTGCTGGCTGACGCTGGGGCGTCTGGCCCTGGGAACGGGAGGAGGCATTTCGTACTCGTAAGCCACGGGCGAAAGGTCGTACGAGGTTTCCTCCTGGTACGGGTTGTGGTCGTCGTACACTGGAGTGCGTCCCCTCGGTGGTGGCGCAGCAAAAGGGCTTGTGCGGATGGTCAGAGGCATTGCGGAGCTCGGCCTCTGGGGAGGGGCGGGTGGAGGCATGCGCATCCTGTCATGTTCGTCTTCGCGCTTCTTCGGTGCCTTGACCGACGGCCGGCGGGTGACAGTCATTGGGCGGTTCTCCTGTTCATATTCATCAGGATAGCGCAAGGGCCTGTGGGCTAAGGCCGACACGGGCCTGTCCACGCCACGATCAAAACGGCTCGACAGGGAATGCGAGTTGGGAAAGTAATCCTGGGATGGAGGCGGCGGCCCCAAGGGAGGCGGCGGCCCAGGGGGCATATGCATAGAGGGCGGCCCTGCCGATATGGCCCATTGTGGCGGCGGATATGACTGCGGCGGAAGCCCGCCCGTCATGATGGCGGGCGGCATTTGCTGGTGGTACCTTTGATTAGCCAGGGGCGGCTTCGACACGGGAACGTGGTAACTCGAATGCCGGTGGTTTGGGTTGATGGAAGTCCGGGAGCGGGGCCGTGTCACACCCGGCGTGATGACGGGGCCCGAATCATGGCCGTAGTTGACCCGCCCGTAGTAGGTCGGCTCCTCGCGATGAGACATTCTGCGGGTGGCGTGGGTGTGGGTGATCGGGGTCGTCTTAGTGTGCCTGGGGGCAGGAGGCCGAGTGGTCTGGGTGTCAGTGTAGGACACCCTCTTCTGGGCCTTGGTAGGATCGGGTCTCCTTGAGCTCGAGGGCTCTGGCCTGCGAGGTACGAGCTCGGCGCCCGTCCCCTCCGAGGACACAGATGAGGAATCGTCAGAGAGGGCCAAAGGGGACTGCGGCGTCCTCCTCGACTTGCGCGTGTTCGGCTTCTCCTTGCGGGGGCTGCTCGGCGCGATCGAGGCGGCCGTCTTGAGGCCATCTTGGAGAGCATTTCCGTCGTCGTCGGCCTCCTCCATGTAGGCTACCCTGTCCGGCATTTGCCGAGACCGGCGTCTGTCGCGGTCCGACATTGTGGCAGCGACGTCACCGGGGTTGCAGCGCTGGCCAGCAGAGTAGAGGGATGCGTGACTTGGTGTCAATGAGGGATTAGACTCAGGGCGGCGGCGGCGACGCAGTCAGCGCCGAATCCGAGACAACGGCGTCAGTGGCCGTCGAGTTTGTTTGCTGGAGAGGAGACAGCGTCTTTTTTTTTTCTTGGGGAGCGAAACCCTCGGACTAATTGGGTTCGCGGGCGTCAGAGCGAGACTTTGGGCGGCCCTGGATAGCGAGTGGGGAGATGCCGGTGGCCTGGGAGCTGCCAGCGACTGGACCTGACGTAGAGCGCGGAAAGACGCCAGCCGGAGATGTAGGGCGTCGTCGACAGAGGGTGAATGATCTAATGGAAGGCTGCGATGTCGTTTGGATGGGTGAACGAAATCGGAGGAAGTGGGAGAAGGAGAAAGCGCTGGGACCCAGAAAGGCTTTTTTTTTTCTTAATGCAAGTGCAGGCAATCGGGGCCCGCCAACTCACACAGTCGAGGGGCGAGCGAGGAGGGCCAGACTTGGGGCAGCAGGCGGCTGATGGAACAGAGGGGGGTGTGGGCGGAGGAAGAAACAGCTGGCAGTTGAGCCAAAAGGAAAGAAAGCGAAACGAGAGAGAAGCAGAAAAGGGGGGGCAGCGCTGGCAAATGAAGCTCGCCTTTTCTCTGCAGGCCAGACAGGACGGCAGCTCGGGTTGGACAGAGGCGGTGGGAATTGTGGGCTGCGTGGTCTCTCTGGTCTGGAGGGGAAAGAGCGACGCGGGCGGGTGATGAGGGGGTGTGTTGTACGAAATCGGTTGCCAGGAGGAGCCCACTCTGCCTGCACGCTGCACACTGCACACTGGTGCCCCAAAAACCGTCCAGTCGCAGCCGCCCCTCGCGTGCAGGGCCTCCCCTGCCCGTGCGTGTGCGTGCGTGCCCTCGTCTCTGCTCCAGCTTCTACCCACGCCGCCCTCGTCGCCCTCCTGCTCGGTCGCCATCCCGCCCGTGCCATCCTGGTCGGGGGACCCTGTTGTATCGTGCTGCATCGTGTTGTATCGATAACACCAAAGGGCAGGTGGGCAGCAGAGCAAGCCCGATTCCCGGGAGTGCCTCTCCATCGCCCCAGTGCCGGCCATGGAATGTGAGCGGCTCGATCCACCTAGGGGAGCACCGCAGAAGGAGGGACTAGACGTAATGCGGTCCCACGTTAGGCAGGCTTGATCGAGCAGTGCGCGGCCGGCGCTGGCACTGAAGTGCTACAGAAGGATGATGTCGGCATCTGTGGGAACGCTGAAAACGGTCGGAACAGTCGTGTCGTGCCGTGACAGTCCCGTCGCCCTGTCTGTTCCGACCGTCGCTCTGTCTCCCGGATATTGGCAATCCCTGGCCGATATTCCAGCCCTAACTGGCGTTCAATCGGGGTTTTGCGGCCAAAAAGCAAGCAAACCCTGCCCCCTTCCCCACGTTTGCGAAGCCCTGGCCTGTTCTGGGATGAAATGATCTGCCAAGGGCCCCCCAGGGAAAGCCAACTGGGTCCCGTAGCAAGGAAATGCCTCGGCGAGCCTCGAATCAACTAAAAAGACGAAGCGAGGTTTTGAGGCTGGCTTTGCTTTGCAATCGCTTGATGAGAGCCCACAAAGAGATTAGACTCGTCGTTCCACCAGCTTTTCCGTATTTTTGTTATCATTGCAGATCCATCGTCCAGGCGCCACGCACCGGGCAAAGGACGACATGGTGCTTGGCTCTTAGGGACGCAATGGCGTGCCGAATCCCTGTGCTGTGTATGCTGTGCTGTGCTACTCGACCGCATGGTCAGCTTCGAAGCTGGACGGTACAAGCTTGCTGTAGCTCCAGCCCAGGTCAAGATAAGACTCGGGCCTAAAAGAAACTGCTCGCAGCTGGCACATGCTGCTAGCGGCCAAGCAGGACTGCTGAAACTGCAAGGGACCAAGGACAAGCTCGAAACGGGGTCTGGGAGCTGATAGCGTGCCGTCGCACTGTCTTCTTCCTCCTCTGATTTCCTCCTCTGTTTTCCTTTTTTTTCTTCTACGCAGCTGGGGAACTATCGACCCCCACCGTCAAGCATTTGCTGTGCGCACGGTACACGTACTGCTGAAAACACCGGAGCCGGAGCCGGCGCCATGGGTTCCCTGACCGTCTTCTGCAGCCCGTCACCGCTTTCTGCAGGGGCAGCGTTTTTGGAAGGCGGCGATGGTGCGAGTCACTTGCCTGTGTGCCTGTGCAACTCTGAGGTATTATCCATCTTATATGCTGGGCGCACTAGGATGTAAGCGATAGGCGCGGTTGAGGGGGGTGGATGAATGCCAGGTCAGGCCGGGAGGGCCCTGCGGTGTTTTGATATCTCGCGCGCCCGATGATCTCACTGCCCGTTCGAAACGCGAGCGGACAAACACCTGTCAAAACCGAATGGTCAATTTCAGGCAATCATCTACGTCATTGGCTCGCACCAGAGCGAGCAAGGGCCTCCCCAGAGCTGCCAGCAGCGTCGCTCGACTAAGGAATTCCTCGCAGCGCGGCGAGCTCTTGTCCGCCATTCTTAGTGCCCGAAGGCCCGAGACCCCACTCCGTCCCTCTCTTGGGTATCAACGTCTGCTGCGTGCTGGCGAATGACTTGAGGGGCGTGTGTGTAGAGGTGGGCTAGTGATGGTGGGTTGGTGGTGGTAGTGGCATCAATTGTGGTGGCATTGTAGTGGCTCGTTGCTTTTTTTGTCTCTGGGGAATCTATCAAACCCCTCCATCAACCGAAGCCGTCGGCAGACAACGTCACTCGTTTCCATGCACTTTTTACCTTTTTTTTTTTGGGGTGGTAACGGCAGAAATGGACAAGGAGGGGTGACACGGCCGATTGCGCAGAGATGCAATTGTGTGTCTGTCTCTTGCCTGCTCAAATGCGCGCACGTGTTTGCCTGACTGTATGCATGGCCGTCGCAATGCTCTGTGCAATCCACGCTGTGCGCAATTGAGCGATGGAGCCAACGGGGCCCAACTGCTGGAACCACCTGCTGGAACCATCTAGACCTAGGCAGGCCGGACATGCACATGCTCCATACTGGCCCCGTCATAATATCAAGACTGTTGTTGTGTCGTCGTCGTCGCCGTCGTTATCGCCGTTTACTGTGTACTGTGTAAAGGCTACACTTCCATCGTTCCCACAAGCACGGTGCGGGGAACCCCAGCAATGTGTGTGGATAATAACGGAGAATGGGCTCAGACGACGCTGACCGTTCGCCTCATTCCGAACCATGGAAAGCAAACGGGAACCCTTCATCGAACTGCCTCCCAGTGTCTCACTCGCACCAGTCCCATCACCGACCGTCCTGTCTTCCGCTCCGTTTCGTCCGAGGAAACAGCGAGAGACAGACTGAGAAACAAAAGGCGGGTGCGTGCTACAAAAGCGCACCCACAACGGGTGGCGATCCGTCCGCCGCCCTCTGCCCACCCCCGGCCTCCCCAATAAGATACCCCTGCACATGCGTCAATGCCTTGTATGTAAGCGGTCAGGCGGGCCAACTCCCACCACTCATCTTCGCGTCCCCCTCCAGTGGGATGAGGGGGGAAGGGAATGGAAGCGTGAAGCGGGCTGGGACCGGCCAAGAGACTGGCAGGAGCCGTCAGACCGGCAAATCCACCGCGAGGGCCTTTTGAGCCCGCTCGAGGCGACGGTGATGAACCGAGAGGTGGTCCCTTTGAAGGGATCCTGCACATCCGGCGCCCGGATCCCTCTCCAGATGAACATTTCCCGCCTCTTCGTGAGTGGATGGTCCAGAACGGCCACCAAAGACACGAGATACAGTGCATCAAGGGTCCAGCTGAACAAGGTAGGCGGATGATGGATGGTCTGCGGGGAAGTGGCGTTTTCCTCTTTGTCTATTGTTTGTTTCCTTCGCGTCTACTCGCGTATCATCCACAACCTGCATACATCACTAGCTACTTTCGGCACTCGTGTCTCTCTGGCTGGGCTCGACATTGCGGACATTTCCCCATCGACCCTGTGCCGGGAGCGAGGGAATAGGAGGGAAGGGGGATCGGCAGAACGTGAGGGATGGCACGGCTGGCTGCTGCTGCGACTGCTGCAGACGCCCTCCAGAGAGAGGGCATGTGCGTATACTAGACCAATCGTTCGCCCGTGATATACCCTCCCACACCCGCCGCCTTTATACATTGGATATACCGGATCCGGGACCAGAACACCACTAGAGCCCGTCCCTTCGAATCGGGGCCGTTCGTTTCGGCTGCGCGCAGATAGGGAGCGGCATTTTGGGATCAATGGGTGTGTTGGGCATGTCTGCTCGGCCGCTACACGACCTAAGCGACTGCCACGGCACACGCACGCATGCCCATGCCTCGCGTCTCAACCACCTGTTCTGTGCCCACGTATGGAGGGTTCGGACAGGTTCTTGTTGCTTTCTCATCGTCGCCATCACCATCCCCATCCCCATCCCCATCCAACCACGCAAATGCGCACTCTGGATGCAAGTCATCATGTTGCCACCCGCACATTGGCTCGCGGCTGCTTGCTTCTGTTTGACTGAACGCACCCCGACTTTATCGCTGGGGAACGAGAGGGCGACAAGTGTCCGAAAGAAAAGGAGCAAGCGGACTGGCCGGTCCGAGGGACAAAACACGCCGAATCGTTTCGCAGATGTTTCCCATCCTCCTCTTCCATCTCCAATCCGTATGTGTCCTCGCGTCCTGCCTGTACTGCCATCCCATGATTCCTAGTCAAAAGACAGCATGTCTGGTTTGCCCGCCCGGCTTCCACAACGAGATACAGTGCCACTCCTGCGGAACAATGCCAGCCAATCCCACACCGCCTTTTTGCCCCCCTCCAAGCCCGCCGCCCTCTCCGCTCACGGCCGCGTGCGTCGGTTCACTATTTTTGGGGACCGGCCAGCTAGCAAGAGCTCCCCAAAACGGCATGTACATCTCGCTTGTCTGCCACCACCCCGGTGACATGGAGATGCAGTTTTGGTTCTCCCCCTCAGCACGCATTTGACGCGTGGGGGGCAGCGTGCGCTGTGACGTCGGGTGGTTGGCAGTGTCCTTTCGGGATTAGGCTCCTGCAGCGCCCCATGCTGGTATACACCGCGGAACAGGGGGAGAAAGTGGAGGCGAGAGGAGGCCAAGGTCCAACCCTTGCCCGCCTCTCTGGATTCTCGGCTTATATAGAAGACCTGCAGAACAGTATAGCTTGTATGACAACAAACTTCTACGAGCCGGGTCCAAGACCACCTGATGATGCCCAACGGAAGCGGCAAGGCACACGGCGGCCGTATATAGCAATAATATGTGGCAAGATAACAGAAGGGGACCAGATCGTGCTTGTGTTCCGTGCATGGCCCAACAGGAAAAATGCCGCATTGTACGGGTAAGCCGAGGAGGAGTGTGAAAGGGATGGAGCAACTCAAAACGAACCGTCATCGTTGCAGAGCAGCAAAGCAACTTCTCGTTCTTGATTTCGTCTGCGGGACATATGCCCCCGTACATGACGACCACGACCAGCCCCCTGGAGGGGTTGCGACCCATGAGAGAACGCCAGCTGTTCATCGGGCCATTGTTGATGCGAGAGCCAAGCCAAGCCCATGCCAGCCAGCCTGACTGCAGTGCGGAGGGTGGAGGGTGGCACAGGAGACCGAATCTCGTGCCACGCGAGGTATGTACAACCCCTCCCCCAAGAACACAGGGAGGTCCCAATGGCGGCAGGCTTCGGGCCTCGACTTGACGGCCCGAGACGGTCCCTTGCAAGAGAACCGAGCTCCGTGTTCACGATGCTTCCGGGTGGGCTATACTGGCCCGCTGGCCGTGTCGCCCCCCTCGACGCTCTCTCCGTAATGGCGCCACCGCCAGCACCACTAGAGTCCCACCGACGCGGCACCGTGCGAGATCACATCGTAGGCGCGGTGGTGTGTGAGATCTCCACATCTGCAACCACCGCCCGGTGGTCCGACAGGTAGACGCCGTCGTCGTCGAACCGGTTGGCCAGCACGCCAAAGGTGAGGACCTTGGCGGCAGACGGGGCTGGGTCCCTGACGAACAGGAAGTCGATCTTGGCCGCCGTCTCGTTGGGCTCCCCAAAGGACGTGTACGTGAAGTCGTGGTTGCCGTACCAGTCCTCCTCGCGCAGGAGCGTCGACACGTCGGCCATGCCGCTGCCAGGGGCCGTCATCTCCTGATAGGCGCCGCTGTCGGGCTTGCTGTTGAAGTCACCGCCCAGGAAGACGGTGAGCGCCGGCTCGGCGCCAACAGCAGACACGCCACCATCCGCGTCATCCCCATCACCCCCACCACCGCCGCCCTTGGACCACTCGGCCGCGATGCGGATGAGCAGCTTGGCGCTCTCGCGTCTCGCGGTGAGGCCGCGGTGGTCGAGGTGGGTGCTCATGACAACGACGGGCGGCGTGCCACCACCCTCACGCCGGCGGAACCGCCCGACGGTGACAACGCGGGGCAGGTCGGCGTCCCAGCCCCTGGACGGGCTGTCGGGCGTCTCGCTGAGCCAGTAGGTCCTGTGCCGCTCGCACTCCCACGCGCCGCGGCGGTACAGGATGGGCGAGTGCTCGCCCGCCTCTCGGCCGTCGTCGCGCCCGACGCCTACGTGGGCCCAGTCGCCGCCAGAGGAGGAGCCGCCCCGCCCGTTCAGGCGGTCGACCACGTCGCGCAGCTGAGCGTGCAGGACCTCCTGCAGGCAGACAAAGGAGGCGTCGCGCCCGGCCGTGGCGAAGGACAGCTGCGCGCACAGGCGTGGGCACCGCTCGGGCCACGGCCGCTCGCCTGGGGACGGCGTCTTGGTCGCGAACCGCACGTTGTGCGTGATGAGGCGGACCTGCAGCGGTGCTGACGCTGCCGCCGTCTCTGGGTTGAGGATCGACATGACTTTGGCCGCTGGCTGTTGCAACCAAGGCTCGGGTCTTAGGGGTGGCCCTGCCAGGCAGCGACGCACAGGAATGCAGCCAACTGTCACTCGTGTTCTTATCTGCCTTCTCAGCAGTTGCCTTGGGCTTGCTGCAGCCTGGAGGAAGGCAACCAGCTTACGGGTGCTAGGTCAACGTGTCGCGGTTCCTGGCGTCCTTTAAAATCAGCCAAAGATGCTGTCGCGGAAACCAGGGCATAGCAGTTGGATAAAGAAGATGAGCTGGGGGGATTGGACACAACCGGTCCCGAAGAAAGGAAACAGCCCGAGGGCATGTTTGCTGCCGCCAGCGTTAGTGTTTCCCTTCCCCATCTCCAATCTGAACCCCGCGAATGGTGAGGTGGGTGCAGGAGTTGGGCTGGACGATTAATCCCATATGCATGTTATGTAATGCGCAGAGCTGAGTTATGCCTGGCACGCCCACCACAAAAAAGACGGCAGTCTTACAGGAGGTCCTAAAGATTAAGTGAAATTATTAATGCCGTAAACTTTCCTATTCTTATTTCTTTTCCTTCTTCTTTTTTTCTTTTTCCTATTCCTCTTCCTATTCTCCGAAGAAATTGTCATTTTCTTTTTTCGTAATGGGTGTGCCTGGTTAGGAAAGTCACGTGCCACCACAATTTCGTTTCTTTTCCTAAGCTAATTTCATTCGCCGTTCCTGGTTTGCGCATCTCAATACTCGCCCAGACTTGAGACAGTCGCCGGAATGAATGCTCCTCCCCGTCAGTCCTATTTCATGATCCATCTATCTCCAGTCCACATGGCCTCAATTATCAAGACGCTACCGCCATGGGCCGTCACATGAACCTGCAGCCCTGCGCGCCCTAGACCTGCTCAGCCACCCACCGTCAGCCGGCATCACATCGCCATCTTTAACCCCGGCCAGCAGCCCTCCCCTTGCAAGTCCATGGGACCGCTTAGCTCTGCCGGACTGGCTTCTTGCCATCGCATCCGCTTGTGGAATTCCCGCATCGATCATCGCTGCTCTGCAGGCCCAGCATTGCCCAGGCCACCCCACCTTCCTGCTTCACTGTCCGGGCCGTGAAAATCAAGCCGATCGATCCGTGTTTGGAGACGTTTTTGAGATTTACTCCGCATGGCATGCACCAAGAATCAGCTATAAACAGCCCCCCTGCCTGGTCACCAGACCCCCGCTGGATGTGATATCCCAAGCACCGTCACCCTCGGAGGCTGACTTGCCGTATTTTTATCGCGCCGGCACCCGACATTACCCACATCCCGGCGAGGTCCGGCATCACTGATATTACTGATCGCACATCTTTGGGGCGAAGGATGTTGGTCTGCTCTGCTGATACGGCATTCCCTGGAGATAGCCAAGACGCTGACGGTTGACGCGTGGGCTAGGCCCCAGAACCCTCTCGGCTTGGTCGGCAAACGTCACCAACCTGTCAATATTCGCGTCTCGCCCTACTGCACAAGCTACTGCCTGCGCCATGCCTCATTCCCGTTCGCTGGGGCTCAGACATACACGACGCCGTGACTCCTTCCCGACCATGATGTTGGCATACCGCGCCCCCCACAGCACGCTAGCACCCGACAGAAGCAGGCTTCTAGTCGTCTTGGCCATGAAGCCGCCGCCTGGTTTGGCTCCAGGAACTGGCAGCAAAATCTGTTGACAAATCCGAGTCCCGAAAGGGCGCGTGGCACCACAGGGACGCATGATGCAAGGTACGGGCTTTGGATCGCGTCCGCCCGCCCCTTTGCAAGCTCACACAAGCGACATGATTGGCATCGCCTTATGCATCGCATCCGCCGCTGCCGATTTCAAAGACACGCAGCGCGAGCCGGCGGGCGGATCACCCGCGAACGCAATGTCCTAGCACAAGGGATACGGGCGGCGGGGAGGTCTGGTGATAGGTTGTGATCTTGATTCCCACACTCCAACTGCTCCCACATGGAGCGCAACGCGTAAGTGTGTGACACCACTACAACCTCTCGGCGACACGGGGCCGTGCTCCACCCCGGTTCATCAGCGGTAAAGGCTTGTCGATAAAATGTGGGTAGAGTCTCATTGCCGGTTGGCACTTTGTGGGCGTGTAAGTGTGTGTGTGTGCGGATAAGTGTAAGTGGATGCGAAAAAGCAAAGACAGTCATATGTCGGAAAGATGGTGAGGAATTCTCTATCTGTCCTGAGGGGCGCTTCCTGATGGTGTCTTGGTTGAGTGATCAGGACCTTGCTCTAGCCTGCCATCGGCGGCATCACGGGGCAGCACCTCTGCCCGCAATTTCCAGGTTTTTGAGCCGCACCGCGCCCAGTTTATTATCCCCTCACTTCCAGGGCTGCCGGCCAAGCCTGGCGCTAGCGCTCCTCCCGTTCGGTGGGTGACCTCCCATCGCCCTGTCCACACCGAAGCACTGGCCCTCGCACACCGTAGTCTAGCGACGGCGCCTCACTCCGCCCAACAATAGCTCAGGCCTGGGTCGCTTGGGCCGTTTGTCTTTGCCTGCCGGACTGCTGGCGCGAGAACGCGATCTCGATCATGTTGGTGTTGTATATTTTCCGTCATTTTCTGTTTTTTTCTTCGTCCTTCGTCTGACTGTCTTCTTTGTTCCTCCTTCTCCACTTTCACGCCAAGCCTGCCTGGCTCAGACATTCTTGGGGGGGCCTCAGCTGCCCGCAGAGTGTGAATCATTTAACGCTATTGGACCCCCTGCAGCGGTGGCAGCGCACGCAGTCCTTAGCCTTCCTCACGCTTTTTTTTTCTTTTGCCCCGCAGTGTGAGACCGGGGCAATAACAGGAGCTGAAAGATATGGCGTTTACGCGGTGGATGACTACCCTCCCTCCCAGAGAGTAGGCTGCCACCCAACCACCCACCCATAAAGATTGACCGATGACTGCGAACGCCGTGGTCCTCTGTGGAAGAGGCTAGAGTCGCAGGCCCGAGATGGTGTGCACTCCTGACACGCATGGAGGCCTGCATCCCGCTGCTCTCGCTCAGCTGGGGATATAAAGCAGTGGCGTGCCTCTCATTTCTTCTTACGGCCATTATCCGTCTCTTTTGTCCACTCGGCTTCCCCCGTCTCAGCTCGACCTGTCATTTGTCGGGTTCCCTGGGCGTCGCTTTGTGGGAGGGAACTTTTGGCCTATCACTTTTCTTCCTCGTATCCCCCCTCCCTCCGAGCCACGGGCTTTTTGAGCCGGCCAGCCCGGCGCACATCGGCTTCATTTCAGCTGGATGAGCCGTGTCCCTTTGTGTGCTCTTCAATACCGCCTTTGCATCCTTGATCTTGTGCATCCTTGCCAACGAACCCTGGTGTTCCCGTACTATCTTTGGGACCGCACAAAATCCCTGACCCCTGGGTTAGCCACTATACCCACAGGGAGCAACAAGGCTGCCGTGTTAGGATACCTGCCTATATAACAAGATGCCGTCCCCCTTCGGCATCATGTCCAACACCCGCTCGTCCACCAACAGCGCCCACAAGAACGCAAGCCAGAAGACGACAGCAACCATGCCGGTCTTGACCAGACCACCCTTCGACAACAACCAGCGCCTGCTCTCCTGGCCGCCCACTCAGCTGCGCCTCCGCCCGACCATGGTGGGCCCCGACGACGACGACAGCGACGTCCCCATCCTTGAGCGAGAGCAGGACTTTGGCCTCTACATGGACGAGGAGCCCCTGACGTACTTTTTGACGCCGGCGCCCGACGACGGCGACGGCGACGGCGACCTGGCCATGATGGACTTTGACGCCGGCATCGGGTCCTCGCCCGACGCCGCGGACGAGGTCCGCTCCGTCAGCCCGTCGTCGCTCGACGGCGGCAGCATCCGGCGCGGCGGCGACAAGTTCCTCCCCCGCGGCGGGCCCTTCCGCCCGCCGACCCCACCGCGCTCGCCGCCCGGCACGCCGCTCATTGCCGACTCCACCACGGATGAGTCGGACGACTGCGACGACGATGATGACCACGAGGACTACATCCGCCTCGGCCCCAACCACGGCCTGCCCGCCCCGCCCTTTACGCTGCGCGACTTTGCCGCGCTCAAGATGCGCAAGAGCTCCCGCCACGCCGCCGCCGCCACAAACAACAACAGAAACAACAACAACAACAACAAGCCATCCTCCCCGGCCTCGTCGCTGCGCCCGATCCCGTCGCCGCCCGCGTCCCCGCTGTCCTCGTCACCCCGCGGCCGCGCCCCGGGCCGGTTCGGGCCAGGACGCGCGGGTGGCACCGTGGCGGCCGCGGCGCCGCACAGGCGGCTCTCGCCGCGGTCGTGGCGGCAGCCCAGCCCGGACGTGTGGAGCATCGATGAGGAGCCCGAGCGGGAGGCGTGCGAGCAACAGGCCGCCATCGCTGCCGCAGCCGCCGCGGCCGACAAGAAGGGCGGCGGGCCCGGCGCCGTGGACAGGCCTGCAAAGGCTAAGAAGAGGGTCCGCTTCGTCCTGCCTGTCAAGGAGGAGTGAGGCTCCTGTTCGCTTCTTTTACCCTTTACGTTTTCTCCATCACTTCTTCGTTTCCTACTTGTCATTTGGCGGTTTTGTATAGTCTACCATTTCTTTTTCCTCTTCTCCTTTCTTTCCATGGGCTGGCCTATTGCGCATCGCATATAACCTCGGGACGGCACGGCTGCATTGGATGGCGTTTTTGGAGCTTTTTCGCTTGCCTCTCTTTACCTCTCCTTGTCCTTGCATCCGGACGGTCCACATCATTTTCCTTGGCAGTATCTTCGCATTATCATAGGGGTGGAATATCTTCTTTTTTTGCGGAGAGCATATGGGTAACCGGGTCATATCGTCTCATATTTCTTCGCGCATAATACCTGGACAGGCATTCTGTTTTCGGAGGAGACTACAGAGTATGGCACAAACAGGCTCTTCGTTGTTGGATCTCCTGGCATACCCCCTGATACCTCCCACCACACTCAATACCAAACCAGATTGAAACTACCGTTCCGCTGTTTACTGTCATGTGGCCACCCTGAGATAAAGTAATGTCGTGATGGCGTGATATCTTGTATTTTGTAGGCGAACAGGAGTTTGCGGGAATGAGTGTTCGCAATTGTGTGCTCACCTCTCCCACTGGGACCATCTTGTCACGGCACATGTCATCCCATCACCTCAGCTTATCACAGCACCCTTGTTTTGACTTCTTTGTCGGCTCACCTAACATAAGGACAACACCGGCACCTCCTCGACCCGCCGAGCACTGCATGGAGATAGGTCGGATTCCGGACTAAGCCCTACCTGTGTAGGTTACATACTAGCCATCCCTACAAAGAGGCCACCCGACCCTACCTCTTGCTTGTGGTGTGGCCGTGGCAGCTGCGAGCAACCCGAGACATTGAGGGGCAGGTGACCTGCCATGCCGAGAACACTGCAGCCAACCAGGTCAAGCCCTCGCCCGTCGCGTTCGGTTGAGTCGCCGTCGGCTCGGTGCATGCTTTCTGCAAATGCAGGCCCGTAGCCGCCCGCCGCCCCCTCCTTCCTTTCTTCTCTCCCTAGAGAAAATGCCGATTTGTTGACGGAGGATTTTATGTTGTGCTTTTTTTTTTCTTTCTATCTTGCCCGCCTTTGGGATTGCCGCTGCGCAGGATGAGCAGGGGAGGGGGGTGCAGGGGACCCTTGCCGCAAGGCTGGCTGGTGTTGTGGGAGTGACGGTAGTTGCTGAACAGCCAGACATGGATGGAGATTGGAAATGTCGAGGAAAATGATGTGCGCCGAGCACGATTACCTACCACCGAAGGAATCCATCAGATACTTGACGAGCCCGCATTGTCTACAGTTACATGCTCCCATAACAAACCTCCTATCTTGGCCTGCCAACTCTGTTCTTGTCCTCGCCCCACGTCTAAGCCCTCTTTGGTAAACAATGGGCTGCATGTTTCACGTTGCAGGCGCCCCAGTATCTGTCTCAATCCCAGGCCGCGGGGCGGGGTTGAGAGTTGGAAGGTGCGAGATAAACGGCAGCTCGAGTCGCAGTGAAGCGATGGAGGGCGAGGTCGCAGTTCGGCACCGACAGAATAACAAAAGGACACGGTTTGATGACGATATTTGTCTGCCGCCCAAGGAATTAAATTGAAGCTTGATATTGCCGCAAATCAAGGACGGGCACACTGAGAGCCGCCCTGCAGCCAACCAGGAAATGCGATCGATCGGACGTGGCAGCCAAAAGCGGCATCAGCTAGGAGGTATACACACCCAGATATAGGCTGTGCCGCTCAGCTCGATTTCGTGTTTACATGTTGCAAAAACAGACATGCTGACCAGGTGATGGCTCATTTTGGCTGGCAAAGAGGGGGAGAGAGGACACACAACGATGGACTCTGCTAATGCACGTATGCGTTTTATACGCGTTTATAGATGGAAATGACACTCCCGGCCTGAGTGATACCATCCAAACAATGGAGAAATCCAAAGGTCAGCTCGCTGCACTGCTCGAGCCACATCCTAGCAGGCCAACGCAGCTGCAAGGGCTGGTGCAGCGGCTGTCCGAATGATGGGTATCAGATTGGACGGCGGCAGACCAACAATTCGGTTGGGACTCACCGCACCATCAATGCCGGATTACGAGGCCATGTATATTCTTCTTTTTCAGACCGACTCGATCCCAATGGATGCAAGAATTAGGAGACTCGAGCAGACAAGCGGAGAAAAGCTGCTGGACCAACTTCGATTCGCAGCTGCTTGTAGGTTTCTTGTCTGGGCGGGGTATTTTGGAAGCAGCCTGTCATAGTGGTGCTCCCACGCTTACCACAAACAACATGTCAGTTTTACAAAGCCCAAAGTAGAACTGTTCGTAGCGTAAGCTTTCCTATCCTTATTTTCCCTCCTGCTATCGTTCCTCTTATTATTCCTATTTTGTTTTTGTTTTTATTCCTCGCCTCTTCCTAAAAGGCGTGCTACTGCCTGGCGTTCTGGCGTCGGACCATGACTCGCAAGGATTACCCATGGCGCTGCAGCCGGGCCAAAAGTGGATTCCTGCAAGCCGGGCAGGTAGCTGACGGGTCTGTGCTTGGTTTCTGGAGCTTGACATCGACTGCCTGCAGCTCACGCAGGTTGCGGCCTTGGCCGTCATTTGTTTACGCCCAATCCCAAGCTGCAGCCCACCATTGGCTGCCTGTTGTTTTTCTCTTCGCCGCTTCGGGGCAAGAGCTCCTGCGGGACGGTCGACCAGGCTGAGGTTGATCTTCACAGTCAGTTTTCCTCCTCGGCTGCTCTCTCTGTTCGCTGGCTGGCCGCTGGCGTAGTCCGACCGATCCTATCGCCACCCATCAATTGTCTTCCTCAGTTTTGACATTGACAGCCCGTGTTCCCCTCGAATAATCCCGTGCAAATTCTTAGTTGGTTATTCTAATTTTCCAGACCATTCTTTTTGAGTTCAACGTTGCAGAAGCCACCGCACAACGTGGAAGTCGTGCGACAAGGCGACCACTGTCGGTCGGTCCAGGCCTGCGGTGCAGCCGTCGCCCTCATCCATCCCAGCCCGCCGCCGAGGGCTCGCCGTTTGCTTCCACGGGGCCGACGTGATCGATGAGTGCCGAGTGTCTGGATCTGGGCAGTATTCGCAGCTTCGCGCTGCTGCGGTAGCCCCCACGAGCATGTAGCGGCTCGCCAGGTACGTGAGTCTGAATTTCCCCCTTTGACTGGGGCCCCGCCGGTTTCCAGGACGACGATCGGAGGCTTGGCCCTCGCTCGACCAGCCCGAAACTGGCGTCTCGCCAATCGAGCCCTGGTTTGGCTCAACGGTGATATCCGTCATTTGCCCTACCTGTCCGGCCTGATGTGTTTATGATTATCTCCGACCCAACCTCCCTAGGCTCGACGCCTCGCGCCTCCGTCTTCCCCAACGCCGGCACGTCGAGACCTTGTATGCTGACATGCGGCTAACCTCGCCCCCGGGCAGCTGCTGCGTACGATGACGACCCCCCAGGAGCCGCCCGACGACCCGTTATCGCCGGGCGAGGCTCCCATCATCATCGACGCCAGCCCGCCCGCCGCCGCCGACGATCATGTCTCCAAACCAAGCACCCCCAACCACCGCCGCGGCCTGTCCGCCCACCCCACCCCGAGGAGCGCCCCCGCGGGAGATGGCGCCGGCCGCGGCCGGACGCGCCAGCGCTCGGCGACAATGAGGTCCCAGCCAACCCTCCTGACCGACTTCCTGCTGGGACGCCAGTCGCCCGCCCGCGTCGCCGCCCTTCGCCAGCAGCGGATGGACTCGGCCGCCGTACGCGCAGAGGTTAGGAAGGAGATGCGCGCCGCCTCGGTTCAGAGGCTCGCCCCACCCGGTGGCGTCAAGGACCGCGTCAAGGCCTGGCAGAAGAACAACGCTGCCGCCATGGTCCACGGTGACCCGGACGACGCCGCCACCGAGCCCACCGACGTTGCATTCCCGGACGGGGCTGAGAGCGTGACCGAGGAGGACCGCATGCGCATCAAGTTCAGGAAGGGCCAAAAGAGGAACAAGAGTGCCCCGAGAGCGATGCCGAGAGCTGTGACTCCGGGCGGCCTGAGCAAAGACGATGACGATGACGAGAATATCGACCCCGAAGGCCTCAAGTCTCCACCCCGGAAGCGTATTGTTAGCGACGACAACTGGATGAAGCGGAGGAAAAGGAGCCCACCGGGCGCCAGGGCAGTGCGCGTTAAACCCCCCACAGGACCCATGCCCATTCCAAAGGATTTCCTGCAGAGGACCGCACAGAATCCTCCTGTGCGCAACAAGATCGCCGACTGGGCCGCGAGGGTAGAGCCCATGGACATGGAGCCTCCAAAGTCACCAACAAGCCCCAAGATGACCAAGGCCCCCAAGGTCAAGACATATCACACCAAGTCTGGCGATGCCATCACAATCGAGGAGGATGCCGTCAGCGGCCTGACAGGCAGCAGGCTCACCGACGATGAAGGTCCCAGCGCTCCTCGCTCGCGGCGCAGCAAGCCCGCCGATGAGGGTGTAGAGAGTGGGAGGCATAGCGCGAGGAGTAGCGGGCGGGCTGTGGACGACGACGGCATTCGCGTCCGGCCTCTGAGGACAAAGAAGCCGGCTCCAGCAGAAAAGGCTGTGTCCGAGGATGAGGGGGGCAGTGCGCGATCGAGCAGCAGGACACCCGCAAAGCCTACAGCAGATGACGATGGAATCCGCGTTCGTCCTCTCCGGCCCGGCAGGAAGTCAAGACCTCCCAGCCCGGGAGCTAGCAACCGAGGCGATGACGATGGGATTCGGGTACGCCCGACCCAGTCTGCCAAACAATCGAGAGCCCCTAGCCCGACCGCAAGCGGTGGATGGGAGAGCGAGGAAACCCGGATGCGACGAAGCCAAGCAAGCCGAAAGTCAAGACCTGTCAGCCCTACAACTAGCAACCGAGGGGATGACGACGGAATCAGGGTGCGGCCCAGTCAATCCAATAAAAAGAACAGGAATGCCAGTCCTGGGGCTAGCAGCCAGAGCGAGGACGATGGCACCCGTACGCGTCCCAGACGATCCCGCAGAAAGCACAGGAATTACAGCCCGGAGGGCAATGCCAGGGCCGACGACGATGGAATTCGGGTGCGTCCTAGCCGATCAACCAGAAGGCATAGGGCTGCTAGTCCCGAGGTTAGCGACCGAGAGGACAGCAAAGCTACATCCAGGCCCAACCACGACGTGGAGGACGACCTGACTGAGGCCACATCCTTGCCTCCAACCTTGCCCGATGATGGCATCAGAGTCCGTCCTTTGAAGTTGACGCCGAAGGACCAGAAGAGAGATAGTCGCTCGGTATCTTCAAGGCCGTCAACCGAACATAGCAGGGCCCCAAGAGAACCTAGTAGGTCTCCCAGCGAGCCCAGCAGGCGAAGGAGAGATCCCAGCAGGCCGCCGCAGGAATCCAGTCGGCCAACAAGGGAACTTAGCCCACCAAGGCGGCGCAGTCCGCCAAGGAGACGCAGTCCGCCAAGAGGGAAGAGCAGTGGAAAACGAGTTAGCACACGCCGTGATCGATCACCCTCTCCCTCTGAGCTTACGGAGCGGACGGAGGAGACGCGGGAAGACACCGACATCCAAACTCGGGGAACTCGTCGCAGAACGCCACCAAAGGCCAAGCGTGGCAAGCCCGCGCCCACCGAGATTACCGAGACGACACAGACGACACAGACCACTGAGTCGACCGATGTCACTGAGTCGACCGAGGCCACAGGCACATCGTACCTGACCGGCACTACAGGCCATACCGGTACTACCGGCGCAACCGAGTCGACTGGACAGACAGCCACTACACGCCCCTCCCGGAGGACAAGGACAAGACCGACCGCTGCCGCCACGGACGTTACCGGCACAACACGCACGGAAGACATCTCGGACGACAGATCCTATAGCGAAGACACGGCATCCGAGGACGGCGAATCGCGCCGCCAGCCAAGTCTCCACACCAAGTCGCTTGCCGATATCCCCTTCGGGTACTCTGCCTTCAGCGAGCTCGAGTTGCCCCTGAACCCGAAGAAACCGAAGCAGCAGAGGAACCCGAGCTTCAGAACTGTGCCTAATGTGCTCAAAAGGGTCGTGAACGAGGGCAAGAAAATGATCCAGCACACTGTGACTCCGGAGCCACCCAAGCCTGCCACCAACCAACCGCCCAGCATCGAGAAATGGCTGTACAACACCGTGGATCCCTTCGTCGAATCGCCCACTTCCCAAAAGGAGGTCGAGCACGAGTGGAAAAAGTCTGCCCGGCGTCGCTCTGTGTCGGAGAGACACGATAAAGCCAGGGACACGCATGCACATGACGAGGACTCGCAAATCACGGGAACCGAGACAGCGCTCGACGATGTCGACACGCGCAAAGAGCCAGAGCCAAGGCCATCTGCCGAACACGACAGGATGCTGCACAGGGAAGACTCCCACGCCACATCCTCCAGCGGCCTGAGGAGGAGTGGCGCGACAAGGAGTTCTGGCGTACCTGCGAGGAACGCCACAGCAAAACTCGCGCCGAAAGGCTCGTTCCGGGAAGTGTTGAAGGAAGCCTTTCGTGGCGAATCAGGTGGTCATGTCATCGCGCCGCTCATGATGTACACGAGCATCGACAAGACCCGCGAGCCCGAGGTGGACGAGGAAGAGCTCGACCGGGATGAATACGACTCCCGCAGGCGGTCGACGGGCTCGCGCAGGTCGCGGTCGCCAACGTCCACCACTAGGCCAGAAAGCCGTGACCGTGACCGTGACCGCGAGCGCGAGGCTCCTCCGGCGGCGTCAGGACTTCCCAGGCGCAAGCCGCCCACCAACGGCTTCCATGAGCTGTCAACCATCCTGTCTCTGGAGCAGCCGAGCTCACACGACCAAGATGCAGCATCCGTGGCGTCGCAAACCACATTGACGCAGACGACGGCGCTGGGCAAATCCTCCAGCAGTCGTCGGAAGAACGGCGGGCTCAAGAGGCGGCTCACGAAGCACTCGGACCTGGTGTCAGTGCTCTCGTTGCCAGAGGACGGGCCAATTCCCACCCGAGTGCCCACACGCGCCGCCAGCATCAGGATTGCTCGTAGTCTGCGCAGAAGGAGTAGCAAAGTCGAGACCACCGCTACCGTGGACGATCTTCTTGTCGAGTTTATCGAGGACGAAAGCTTCTACCAGAGGGAGCTGAAGACTCTGGTGGACGGCGTCATACCTGTGCTTCTCAAGGAGGTTGTCAAGGGAGACTCGCTCATTTTCATTGACCTTTTTGGTTCCGCCGCCAGCGACGAAGTTAGACCAACCCAGGCGGCCGAGAAGGCCATCGTTTCCATGGGAGTGTCACTGGAACGCATCTACACCCACCACCGGGCCGTTCCCTATACCGATATTGATATGCTGCTCTCATGGTTGGAGAGACTTGTCCCCCTCTACAGTGCCTACTACGATGTTTGGCGCCTCGGTTTCCAGGACCTCATTGTCAACCTCGCTTCCGCGGCTGATGATGAGAACGACTCGCTCGTCAACGCGATGCCGCGCAATGAGTATGGTGACGTTATCAACGACGATGGCGATCGGGTTGATGTTGCCCACCTGCTCAAGCGCCCCTTGATTCGTTCCAAATGGCTTCTCAAGTTGACCAAGGTTAGTTCAAACCAGTGAAGGTCACGCAAGAGACCATTCCATGAACAGTCTTGTCATCTCATACCTATACTGACGTCTACTTCATTGCACAGGGGCTGCGGTACATGCTCGGTAGCCAAACGCTAGGCCCCGACTTCACTGACAGGTTTGCGGACCTGCAGGCAAAGGCGCAGCGCAGGCATAGAGAAGAAACGGCCAGGAAAACCAACGATGACGCCGCCTATACTGACACGACACGCGCTCGTGATCTCCGCACCCTGCTGCCTCTGGATGCGGTCACCACGGACAAGATGCGTGAGGTCAGCGCCAAGGACCAGTTCTCCATGGACCTCGCACATTCCAATGGGCAGCGGCTCGAGTGCCAGGTCGAGCTCATTTTCAGGGACCGACCCTTGGATCCCACTGACAGGGGCGACCTTCTCATCCGCGAGAATGGTGCTGGTGGTGTTTCCTTCCTTCTTTTCGCCCCTATCCCTTGGGAGCAAGTCTCGGCCAGACGAGGCGAGGACAACGGGACTCTCGTCGTCATGGTGCGCGGCACATTTCACAGCGACGAGTGGTACGAGATCCTGAGCCTGCAGACGGAGTACGATGATGCAGTGCGCGAGTGGCTCGACATGCTAGGCACCGTGCCCAAGCCGCCACTGCCGTCCGACATGTCGAATAACAGCAGCCACAGCCTCATCCCCATGTACAACCCGTCAAGGCCGGGCGAAGGAGACGTTCCAGTTGGTGAAAAGGCACGCCAGCACTCCTCGACATCGCCCACAAACCAGCGCAGCTCCAAAACCCCGGCCCGCTACCACGCTCGCAATAGGAGTGTCCCCACGTCTCCGATCATCGCTACCGGCCTGGCTGCTGCCGCCACCATCACCCCAGACAAACAGCGCTCGACCAGTGCGGATTATGGCTCAGACGGAGATAGGACACCGACTCAGTCCACGTTTGAGCATTCCCCGGAGCGCGATGACCGCCGCCGAAGCAGCCGGGAGGGACGTCCTCGCAGGACCAGCGGCCGCCACAGTTCAAGCAGGGATACGCCGAGCCCTGAGCCCACAGAGGACGGTCCGCCTCCTCCGCCGGCGCACCGCACTTTTAGCTCCAAGAAGCCCAAGTCGGTCGAGCTGCCCCCGACCTCGCGGCCCAAGCGCCACGGATCCTCGCCTCTCAAGCACGAGTACCGCCCCTCCGATGTGTCGTCATCGGAGGAGGAGGTGGACGAGGATCACGCGTCGTACTCAGAGTCATCCTTCTCGGACTCCGAGTCCTCGGGTGATGACCTCGAGGATGAGGACGTGCCTGACACCGAGCCAGGGATCAGCATTAAGAGGCCTGATCTCGATCTCAACCCCACAGCCTCAGTGGTATCAGATTTTAGCATCACGCCATCTGCTTCAGCCTCCCAGGCGAACCTCCACCGCGGAGTTGACGTCGTTGACGAAGTGATCAAGGCCACCGCCGTCATCTCATACTGGTCCAACAAGAAGGGGCGATGGAAGGAGCTGCGCCCAGACTCATGCTCCATCAGCATCATGCCAGGTCTTCTGGAGGTTCACCCCATTTCGCCCCAGGACCGGGACGAAATCAACATGGATGGCATGTCGGACGCGCTGCGGCCGTCCCAACACATCGAGGATGGGGAGGCTCCCCTCATCGCGCTCGACCTGACTCCGCTCGTTATGATCCGGAAGAGCACAGCCATCGACCTTGAGATTCGGTCACCCGTCCGCTCCTACTCCAAGCTCAACAACATCGACGGTATGATATTCAGGTTCCGCTCTCTGACCCCTAACCATCTGGAGCATCTTTACATGGCGGTGCACCAGTCTCGCATGAACAACGCCAAGTTCAAGGCCCTCGAACAGGAGGCGCGATTCCGATCGTTCGGACAGGGGCAGCAGTCCGGAAACAACAATGGCTATGACAACACAAGCGGCCACAGCAGCAGCCGACGGCGGTCGTGGTTCGGGCGCCGGAATAGCTATCGGGCGTCGACACGGGCACCGTCGCAGTCGCAGTACACGTACTCTCAGAGCGGCTCCTCCGGTATCTCGCTCTCGGCCTCGTCCTTCCTCAAGCGCCTCACAGGCTCCGCGAGCGCCTTCAACATCGACAAGTCGACGCTGGGCAAGCACCATGCGGCAGGTGGCGACAACAGGAGCCGACCGGTGTCTACGGGCCCCCCGGCGTCCATGTATACGACGTCGTCGTCGTCTGGTAGGCTCATCGAAGCGACACCGCCGCGCTCGCCCTCGGCAAGCCTCGCCAGCAGCCCCAGCGGGGGCATTCACAGAAGCGGCGCCGCGCTCGGGACCACGGGCCTCCGAATCCGGTGCCACCTGCTCGTGTCGTCCAACAAGTGGGAAGACCGCGGCAACTGCCTCCTGTCCATCTCGCGCCCCCCGCCCGGCTGCCACCAGGAGTTGAGTGTGTACCACGGCATGGAGAAGCGCATCCTGGTGACACAGGCGCCCAAGCGGTCTTTCCTGCCCAACCTCACGGGCGGAGGGGGAGGCGGCGACGAAGGGTCGTCGTCGTCGTCGTCCACGTCGCAGTCCAAGGTCATCCTGGACGTGGTGCTGGGCAGCCGCTGCTTTAGCATGTTGGGCTCGAGGGGCATCATCCTGAACGTTTGGGAGGACCTCCGCGACGAGAAGAACCGAGTCGGCACGGCGCCGGCCATGGGCGGCCTCAGCGGGCGCGTCAAGAAGTGGTGTTTCCAGTGCGGGAGCGCCGCAGAGGCGAACTGGATCTTCGGGCTCGTTGCGCGCGAGGTGGAGATTATTTGAGGGTTCTTTTTTGTTCCTCCTGGATTTCTCATCATCCCATTCCTTTTTTTCCATCCTTCAAATGGAATTTTTTCAATGATATTTTTCTCCCCTTGTTGTGTTTTGGCTTCTCATTTGTTCGGCTCGTTTTCCCTCCTCCGGTTATACCCTTGTCACACACGGTTTAGAAAGTTAGGTCTGGAATGCATGCGTTGGTTGGTTGGGGGTTTGGTCGGAACCGTATCGGTACAGCAAGCGGACGCCTCTTTTCTGCTTTTTGTCTTCCTCTCTGCATCTCTCAACTCTCATAGTGTACAAGTCTGACAGCACAGCCAGGCGTACGGTTCCCCAGAGGTACATATTTTTATCCGCTTTGCACACTCTTTTCGCTCCTGTTTTTTACACTCTCACTCCTTCTGGACCGGCTTCCTCAACACTAAGCTCACTCGTATTATTTTATTTTAATTGACCGGCTTCCCGGAGGGCAGTCGTTGACCGGACGGACACGTGTTGGGTGAAGGTCGTCGAAGTATTTTTAAAAATGAATAAAAAACCAAAGATGCCAGCATTCTGCGTGGACGACTGCAATTTGATGGAAGCCCATGCACCCCCCTCCTCAACTTCCAATTGTGAGCTTGCTGCTGGGTCGTTGCTAAGATCAACCACAGCCAATCATTTGCGCACCTTCTAGGTGGCTCTTGATTGGCCAGTCAATCACCGCCTTTGTTTGCATAACGCACGCATTTCCCGTGTCAAGTGGAGCCCAGTCCCCACACCGGCTAGCTGGCAACGCCCCCCATCGCAACGCGCGCATGCCCTTTCAATCTCTTTGTCAACGCGACTTTTCGACGTTTGCGCCAGACTCAGCCTGTGCTTGCGCCCTTCTCCTGCCCCTTTGCTTTGCATACAACATCCCCTCCCGTCCCAACGAAGCCCGCGAGAATTCTTTCTCTTCATCCATCGCACTCTTTTTCATTTTCCGACCCAGAATCACGAGCCAAACACAAAGACCAACCAGCGCCCAGAATTAGCTGTCGAGTGAGAGAAGAAGAAAAAAACGAGACGAAACCTAGACCCACCGACTCGACGTTGAGAAACGAAGCACAAAACCGCCACTCAGCCCACAACGCAATACACAGCCATTCCGCCAGCCATTCCGCCAGCCATTCCGCCAGCCATGGCTGCCTCAGAATATGCGTCCATGAAGGTGCCCGAGCTCAAGAAGCTCCTGGGTGAGCGCAGCCTCGTGCAGAGCGGGAACAAGGCCGACCTCATCGCGCGCCTGCAAGAGCATGACACCGCTCAGCAGGCGAGCAAACCAGCAGCCGCAGAAGGTAATGCCAGCCGATTGCTTGTCTCTTGAACATGTACCTGTCTACCTATCCTGTCGCTTGCGAGCTTTTTCATCTCGGTCTCTCGTCGTTTCTCCCCATTTCCATTCGACTCTGGCGCGACCCCGGATCAGGCCAAACTGTTGCCCCCTCCCTCCATCGTATCGCTTGGTCTCGACGCGCCCTCCTCTTCCGGCGCGATTGCTCTTCTTAGCTCTGCATCGACCTCCCTTAACTTCTCTTCTGGTCCATTTTTCTGACTCGAGTTCCTTTTTTGCTCCCGACCAGCCGACGACGTGATTAGCTGGGACGACGAGGAAGACGCCAACACGGCTTCCGCAAAGCCCAAGGACGCCGGGGGCGCCGCCCCTGCCGCAGCACCGGCCCCCGCCGCTCCCAAGTCCCCTGCCAAGCCTGTCGCTGCCGCTGCCGTCGCTCCCGAGGCCGCAGACGCCCCTGCTGCACCTGCTACTACACCCGCCGCCGCCGCGGAGGCCGACCCCAAGCCCGCCTCAACAGACGCCGCCACACCAGCCGCCGCTACCGCCAGTGAGCCGGCGCCCAAGGACGACGCGGCGCCAAAGGAGATCCTGAGCCAGAACCTGCCCGCCACCTCGGTCGAGGCCGAGGCCGCCAAGCGCGCTGCCCGCGCCAAGCGTTTCGGCGTGGTGGACGCGGCCCCCGCCGCCTCCCCCGCCGGCGACGACGCCGAGTCAAAGGACAAACCGGACGAGGAGAAGAAGGCGGAGCGCGAGCGACGCTTCGGCGCCGCCGCGGACAAGGCACCCGACGCCAGCAAGCTCGACTCGGCTCTGCCCGACCGCCCGCTCAAGCGCGGCCGCGGCCGCGGCGAGGACGGTGACCGCGAGGGTGGCGCGCGCGAGGGCGGGCGTGGGAGGAACAAGCGCCACCAGGGCGGCGGCGGCGGCGGCGGCGGTGGTGGTGGTGGTGGCAACCGCAGGAGTGAGCGTAGGGGAGGTGGTGGCGGTAGCGACAGGCGCGGCAGCAATGAGCGCCGGAATGGCGGCGGTGCCGGCGGCGGTGGTGGTGGGTTGAGCGCCGAGGACAAGCGTAGGGCTGAGGCGAGGGCGAAGCGGTTCGGCGCTGCCAACTAGTAGTCAGGCCATGTGCTTCGCCGCTCGTCCCGTCTCTTCTTTCTTCCTTCTGCTGGATCATGCTCATCTCTTTACATCCTTGTCTCCCTCCGACCACCTTGTCCCACAGGTGAGAGGACTACGTCTAGGGTCTCTTTCTCTGTCTCTTTTTTTTCTTTTTTTTTTTCTTTTCTTTGCATCTTTTGTGGTTTTTTGACCTGGTACATCGGCTCCTAATAGAGTATACCGGGAGGGGAAGGAGGGAAGCGCGGCCGATATCTATTATTTCTTTCTTCTGTAAAACATGGTAGAACGGTCGTCATTTTTATTAATGTTTGGCATGAAAATCGTCCTCTGTCCCCCGCGCTAGTTGAAACAAAACGGGCATTCTTATGTGATTAGGTACTCGTTCACAGGCAGATACGAAGGCAAGATAACCAGCTATGACAGCCCGGGATACGTTTCTTGCTAGGTAGCCATGGACAACAAAAGACAGAAATATCTCGTGTTGCCGACATTACTGCCGAGATCTGGGACATACTCTTTCTTCGTCTTCTCTCCATACCAGCCCACGTCTGCCTACATATCGGCCTGTCTACCTGTAGGGGCAACCACATCACCTACCCTCGACTATCTCGGCTACCTAGACATCACCCATCTCCCATCACCAGCACCCGCCACTGGAGCACTTGTCTTTCATGGTGACTTGCCATCTTTCCCTCACCCGAGCGGGCTTCCAGATATGATCGGTGCTCAGGGATGATATTGTGCGAAGCTACCGCAATTCCTATGTTACAATCAAGTACTGCTTTGTTGGCAACCATGCCCCCTCCTAGTTTGTCCGGAGTCTTCCTATCCACTTTTGAGCATCCTTAAACACCAGCCAGGCCCGAACAAACCCTATGTATACCACTACAAGCCTGCCGTCTTGCAGTTTCCTTCTCTGGAGAACCAGCGCCCCAGGAACTGCCTGGTATTCGGCATTGGGTACAGCAGACAATATTACCAAGAGACCTGGCTCTCAAGCCATTTCAAACATATAGTCGCCATATGGCACACGAAGATGCCGTTAAAAAGAAGGGACCTCCCGATCGGTAGTGTTAATGACCAACAAAAGGGTGTTTCTGACTTTTGAAGAAAAAAGCCTTGTTTTCCCTAATCCCAGCAGATAAGGTCGGAGCTAATGCCGTGTTTGGTTGTTCAACCGGCTGACGGGTTTACCGCAAAAAGTAGTGATCCTGGCAGTTTATGAAGGCTGAAATGGCCCTGGAGATCTGCCAGGGGATCCCTACCGGCTATACAAGTACTATTTTGGTGGACTGGGACATAGAGGGGGGTTGGCGTTGCTTATCAACGTAATTTAAGCGCTATAACACAAGCAATGAAGCTATTCGCGACTGCATCACAAAAACGGCTCGCGTTACATACCAGCCAGATCTACCGTGGCATTTGCCAAAGCTCCAGGCGGGCCATAAACCTCATTTTTACTGCGTTGAATAGCTATTCACGAGGAGGTGACGCCCGTATATAAGAGGGAGCGCGGCCGCTTTTGGGCCAGTCGACATTACAGTGAGAGGTTAACGGTAGCATGTATCCCTTCTGCCCCTAATGCCTGCCTTCTTCTCCCGCAAGCTCACCCTAGGGCGCCGGCGCCCCAGGGATCCTATTACACTTTTCCCAGCAATTGGGCAATCAGGAACTTCGCAACAATCGCTGCAGAGCGCTTTAAGGCCCGCGCCCGGGCTTCGCCAGAGTCGGACCCGGACGAGATGGAGTCGGAGAGTACGCCGGCCAGCACGCCCGCACCACCGAGGGCGCCGCTGTCACATGGATGCCGATCGACCGACGGGCACAGGTGGTTTCCCTCCCTTTGAGCACTGCTGCCTACCAGACTGACGAGGGCGGCTTCCTCCAGCGCTGCTGGATTTAGCTCCAGACGAGGCGTGCCTCCCCAAACTCAAAGGGGAACTGAGTTCGTGGAAGCTACGCCCGCGGCCGGTCCAATCGAATTTGCCATCTATCCATAATCTGGATTTCTCTCTCCGACTGAGGAACCTAGAAATCCCGATCCTTGGCCACCAACCTCTGAGCCCTTTCGTCCTCGGAGGTACTGCACTACCATCCTGTCGGGTGACCAGACCCTTACAGGCGCGGATTAACGCGTCGCCTCTACTATTCGCTCACTGCTCTCCTCAGTTAAATCACCGCCCACCTCGGTTGGCGCCGCTGTTGTCGCCCGCTGGGTGCTGCTGTTTTATTCAAAAGGGTGTTTCTGACTTTTGAGCATACAAAACATTGAAGTGGGAGTCACAGAACCTCGCCTTCGCGCCTTCCGCCACTTTCCTTTTTTGCTCCGCGCCTTCCTAGTTTTTGTCTCAAATCTTTCTCCGAACTACGAGGTCCAGTATACAAAAAATCAAGGAGGGATCCTTTTTCGTTATCAACTTCTTCGTCCACCATCAATCCACCACCATCAACCCGTCCCCCTCATCTTTCTCTCTACTCCTCGCCGCTTGCCACCAATAACCTCATCGGCGATGTCATCACCATCCAAACTTCGTCCCAAGAGCCCCGCGGAGGCGTTCGACAATCTAGAAATGACCTCCAGTGCTGGCAACTCGTCGTCCTCACACGGAGGCTCGAAGCAGTCCAATCTTATCGAGTCCCTGCGCAAAATCTTCACTAGCTCCTATCCGCCATCGGGTTCCGTCCGAGGACGACCTATCCCGTTCAACTTCACGATCAAACAAGATGAGGCCTACGACTACTTCCTCGAGGATGACGACCCGGATGAGCTCTTCGAACAAGCAGTCGGCTTTCACGATGAGGTCAAGGCAATGCTCCACAATTTGACCCCAGCAGACGAGGCTGCGCTGGACGAATACCAACTCACAAATCTCAGCAATCTCATTTTCGGCTCTAACCTTATCGAGGGAGCGGGCGCCGGCCTCGATATTACCTACAAGCTTTGCCAACTGGTCTTCACTGGCCAGGACAAGGGCATTGCCGACCAGGACATGCTTCGTATGGAGGAGTATGACGAGCGCCGGAAGAACTTGGTGACCCAAGATCTTCCCACAGACCAAGCCAACGCCGCATACCGCAGCCGACGGGAAATCATTCAGCATGCTCGCGCGCTCCGTCACATCGTCAACGCTATGGTCATTGAGGATAAGCCCCTAACCGAGCGACTCATTCTCGACACCCACAAGATTCTCTGCCACAAGGTCGACTCTCCCGACGGTATGCCATACACAAGCTACGCGGGAATCTACCGCTTGGAGAGTGTCGTTGCCGGCTTCAGCAGCTTCACGCCTTGGGAGCAGGTTCCCCGAGAGATGGCTCAGCTGATCACCGAGTTCAACCGAGACATTGAGCAGGCGGCTGAGCTGGGCGAGATGGATCCTTACGCCCTGGCCGCCAAGATGTGCCACAAGTTCGTCAACATCCACCCTTTCATCGACGGCAATGGGCGAACTTGCCGCCTGATCCTTAACGCTATCTTGATCAAGCACGCTGGAGCTTTGGTGTGTCTCGGCGAGAAAGAGGAGGACCGAGACGAATACCTTACTATCGCAGCCAAGGCGTCCATGGCCATGGCGTCGGATGATGGGGAGATTGAGCAGAAGCACCACAAGGGATTGGCGACGCTGACTCTTCGACATGTCAAGAACTATCTGATGGGCTTTGTGGACAAGCTCAAGAAGAAGGGGGAGGAGTAAAGGACGCATATATCAGAACCCCTTGTCTTCCTGCCACCACCCCCCCACTTTTTCGATCGTCGTTTTCGTCACACGGAGCTCGTAGGAGGCTCCTTGAGTAACATTAGTAACTTCCCCAGGCGCAATGCCATATTTCCAATGAAACCGTTGCATTCGTTACAATGGTCTCCCTGAAATAGCATCCCTGGCGAGTGACATAGTTGGGTGGTTAGGTATTAAAGCATGGAAAGTTGTGCCTAAGTGCATCACGCATCGAAAATCTGGCGTATGCAGAAACCCCCTCCATATTTGGGTAAAAGGACCAATTAACCAGGGGTACTGTTGGAACAGTATTTCTGTGCGCGTGCGATCCGGAAAAGGAAGGTTGTCACAGGAGGCTCCGGGATCCTCTGGATCCCGCACGGGCCAACACTATCTGCCTTAGGCAGAGCAGGGAACCACCCTTTTGGGTGATCGTCCCTGTGCATATAAAGGGCAGCCCTGTGCCCTTCTTTTGGCAGATAGATTCCTTATTCCTCATGCACAATATAGGACCTTTCCCCAGATCACAGAGATCTTTGTTCATCACCTTTGGAGATCTCCGAGCCGTTCAACAGGAGTACCAGACTCCTACCAACAGTACGCTTATTTTCTTCAAAAGTCAAACACACCCTTTTGTTGGCCATAATACTACCGATCAGGTCCCTTCTTTTTAACGGCATCTTCGTGTGCCATATCAAACTCGCACAGCCGGTGTTAGGTACACATTCAGGGGCTTTTTCGCCCACATGATGTATGCCTTCTGGTCCATCCAGCCCTGGGTGTCTTCCACGGCGGTCATGTCAAAGTTGAACACGAGCTTCGCGAGAACAAGCCGCATCTCAGCATAGGCCAGGCTGTTTGTTGTTGTTGTGTGAAACGCGGATTATTAGCCGAACCGGGACAAGGGCTGGCTCGATTTTGCGTTTGCGGGTGACAAGTGGCTGCTATTTTCTGTGGGATGTGCTTACTTCTTTCCTATGCAGTTCCTAGGGCCAAAGGAAAATGGCTGAAACATGTCCAGGTTGTCGTCGGCAAAGTCTGGGTGGTTCATGAACCTCTCGGGGTGGAAGCCGAACGGGTCCTTGAAGTACTTGTCGTTGTGGTACGTTGCCCACTGCCAGACGGCGCAAGCGGTCTGTGTTGACAAAAGAAGTTCCCACAGGAGAGGAAAGGAGAGGGAGATTAGCTTGGTGCTGCATTTGCCAGCGAAAAGAGACGGAGCCGGTTTGGGGAGGGAGGGCACAAGTGATTTGACTTACACCCGCAGGGAGGTACTCTCCCGCGACGGTGGCGCCGCCGGGTGGGACCACCCGCGGCAGCCCGACGGCGGCGGGCGGGTATGCCCGGAGGGCCTCATTGAGGCAGGCGAGCATGTACGGCAGCCTGGCCACCGACAGCATCGTGATATCGGCCTGGGACGAGAAGGCGGACCGGACCTCGGCCGCCAGCCTCTCGAGCGCGGGCGGGTGCGAGACAAGCAGGAAGGTGACGCCGCAGAGCAGCGTGGCCGTCGTCTCGGAGCCGGCGAGGACGAGGGTGCCGACGTTGACGCGGATGCGCCAGTATTCGAGGTTCCAGTCGCTCTGCTTGCGGAGGAGGCCGCCGATGAGGTCCGGGCGCCCGTCGGCGCCCAGCTCCATGCGGCGGCGCAGCTTGGCCGTGGTCTCGCGCGCGAGGCGCTGCCGGCGCATCCAGGCCATGGCCACGGGCAGCACGACCACGTCGAGCCCGAGGTACTTGAGCGTCCAGATGTAGGCCGTGGCCGGCCCGGCGTGGTTGATCTGCGAGACCCAGGGGTCGTAGCGGCCGCGCGCCAGGCAGCCGAAGGGCTCGCCGAAGACGAGGTCGCCGATTATGTCAAACGTCGTCCAGGTCAGCCAGTTGCTCATGATAATCATCTTTCTGCCGTCGCCCTTCTCATGGCCAGCGCTGGATACCTTGGGCCGTCTGTTGCGGAGAAGCCGCGCTCCGGCGGCTCCGTCGCCAGAGTCGAGAGAAATAGGAGTAGCAGCGTCTCGGTCTTGGTTCGAATCAGGGACCGAGCAGTTGGCGTGGAGCTGTTTGATCAGGAGATCGACGTAGCCGCCGATAATGGGCTCCTGATCGCGCATCGTCCGTTCGCTGAATCCCGGGGCCAGCAGCCGGCGGATCAGGGCATGGTTTTCCCTGTCCTCGTTGACGATGCTCGGCGGCATCCCTGCGTTGCGGAAATAGGTCTGATATTTGGGCAGTTCCTCCGGGCCATCGCTCCCGTGCGGCCTGTGGCCGTAGATTTCGAGCCAGGCGGTCGGGTGCGCGAAGGAGAGCTCGTCCGGGGCGATCCTGACCACGTCGCCGTACTTTTTGTGCAGGTCCAGAATCTCAAAAGGCAGGCGGCCGCTCACGAGGCGACGGCAGTACGCTAGACGCGTGGCCCGGCAGAGGAAAGGGCCTGGGAAGCGTGCCAACGGATGCAATGTCAAGTTGTAGATGCATTTCAGGACAAGTGCCGTCAAGAGCTGCGGCAAGAGCTGTTAGTCGTTTGCTGCTGGATATGGTAGAATAGGGCTCCGTGACACACCAGAGCTGCTGCAAAAGCAGAGTAACGCAGAAATTTTGCCACAGCCAAGCCTGTGTTGCCGAGGGGAGGCGATCCCCGCCACAACCAGACTGAAGTCATTGCCTCGACCCGAGTAGCCTGATAGGGAGGTAGTGTATGTGGCAGGCTGGTTGGCTATCCAAAGTTGAGCGGTCCTGACTCCCTGGGGCTTGAGAATTGTGATATTTGGATAGACACAACTGTAAGCCAGCGGAAGTGGCGTGCCTTTCCGCTATCACCGCCCTGCAACAGATACCAGGTAAAATTATGCGAAACTGGAACCAGCTACTGCTGTTCTCGGCCGCAGACTTTGCGGGGTTTTTTAGCGGGGGGACCGGCCGGTCAAAGAGTGACAGGGTCGATGTACTGATACATGGCGCCTATTGTCGATGTACTGGTACATAACGCCTATTGCCGATATCAGGAACGAGTGTTGGGCCCGGTGGGTGCCGTCGGTTATCCCTGCCGGGCCAAGCGAAAGGATGCGGGTAAAGCTGCATTTGGGAGGCGTGTATACTACCCTGCAGGTGTTAGCGGCGCAATATATTGATTGGCGAGATGGTGTGTCTGATATCAATAGGTGCGTGACATCCAGCACACTTGCTGGTACGTGGCCAAGGTACTCCCCGCGGTTACATCAGCAGCAGCCGAGTAGAGTGCAGCTTGTGTTGGTTGGTTGGTCCTAGGAGCACGGGGAGGCTGAGACAGGGCTCCAGGGATAACCAGTACGTGGCCTCCCTTGCGTTTGCAGAACTGACAATCATAGCTCAAACTCCTCACGCGTCTCTTCAGCGTGTGAATATTGCTCTGCCCATCCTTTGCAAGCCCTGGAACACCGCGAAAAGCCAGCTCTTGAGAAGAAACGTGACCGATCGCTATCTGCAATGTCGGAGAAAGCACAAAATCCCGCCGATAAGGCTGGATATGAGAGCAGCGAGCCAAGCCACAACAACAACAGTAACAGCAGCAGCAGCAGCAACAATCCGCAGCCGAATAACACCACAGTTGCGGTCAAACGGTCCCCGAGCCCACAGCTTCCCGCCATGGAGTCTTCTGAGCACCAAGAGCCTTCGGCGCCGCGCCCTGGAGACCCCGGACAGTTCCTCAGCCCGCTGCCTCTGAGTCTGCTCTTCCTCGCTACCTCACTCACTGGCTCGCTCGTTATGATGTACGCCTTGATCATCGCCACGGTGAGAACGCAAACAGCCCGCCCCCAGTCGCGACAAGACGTCTAGTCGGTTTAACACATGTGCGCCGCCCTGTGTCGTCGCGCACTAGGCTATCCCATCCATTACGTCGGCATACGGTACCATCGAAGATCTGGACTGGTATAGCACCGCATATCTTTTTGCAACGTGAGTCTTGTCCCTTGTATGGCACCTGCCAGCGCGGCTTTCCGCGCTCACGTGAAGATGCTATCGCTTTCGGGACTCACAAGACCAACGAGATGTCCTCATTCAGGTGTGCGGTGCAGCCGCTCGTCGCCAAGCTCTACGATTTCTTCCGCCTCAAGGTTAGCCCTCCCATCTGCCCTGCGTGATCGACAGCGACCAAAGTTTGGCTGATCAGCTGGCCCATTAGGATGTTTATGTCGGTAGCATCATTCTGTTCGAGATCGGAAACCTGATATGCGCGCTGGCCCCGACGAGCGCCACGTTCATCGGCGGCCGCGCCGTGGCCGGCCTCGGTGCCGCCGGCCTCTTCACCGGCGGCCTGGTCATACTGACGGCCGCCTCGCCGCCAAAGGTCCGCCCCATGCTCATCGGCATGGGCATGGGCCTCACCATCGTCGGCGGCGTCGTCGGCCCCCTGGTGGGCGGCGCCATCACGGAGCACCTCGGGTGGCGCTGGTGCATGTGGATCTTCCTCCCGCCCGGCGCCGTCTCCGCCGCCGTCTTCCTCCTGATCCGGGTGCCCGAGCAGCGCAAGAAGCTGCCCGCCCGCGCGGTGCTGCCCACCCTGCACACGTCCCTCGACCTCATCGGCTTCGGCCTGTTCGCGCCCTCGGCCGTCATGCTGCTGCTGGCCCTCAGCTGGGGCGGCGGGCGCCACGCGTGGGGTACGCCCATCATCATCGGCCTGCTCTGCGGCGGCAGCCTCCTCGCGCTCGTCTTTTGCGCCTGGGCCTGGTATAGGAACGAGAAGGCGCTGATCCCGCCCAACGTCATCAGAAAGACCGTCGTCTACTGCGGCTGCGCCGTCGCCTTCCTGCAGGTCGGCGCCTTCGCGACGCTGGGCGACTACCTGCCCCTCTGGTTCCAATCTGTGCTGGGGGCGTCTCCCACCAACAGCGGGCTGATGTTGCTGCCCACCATGATCACGCAGCTCCTCGCCACCATCTTTTGTGGTCTCCTCTGTAAGCGGCGCCACCCCCAGGGCCAGACTCGGTTCTGACGAGTTTTCTTAGTCCTTCCCTGCTAACGCGACAAATGTTATCCGTGTTTCAAAAGTCAACAAGTTTGGATACGCACCAGCCTGGGCACAGACGGGCAACATCCTGTCCGCCATCGGCTCCGGCCTCTTGACGACCTTCAACCCGTCCACCAGCCAGGCCGAATGGATCGGGTACCAGATCCTGGTCGGCATCGGGCGCGGCTTCGTCATCCAGATACCCCCGATCGTGCTGCAGAACCACCTGCCGGGAGAGGAGCTCGCGACCGGCACGGCCCTGCTCGTCTTCTTCCAGTACTTTGGCAGCGCCGTCTTCCTCTGTATATCCAAGACGACGTTTCTCAACAGCCTCTACGGCGCCCTGGCCACGGGCAGCCCCGGGGTGGACCCCCAGAGCGTCGTCAGCACCGGGGCGACGGAGCTGGCCAGCATCTTGACCCCAGAGCAGTACCCGGCCGTGATAAGAGCGTACAGCGATGCACTGGTCACAACCTTTGTAGGTTTCTGTTCTGTTTCTTTCTCTCCCTTGGAGAGAATCGACGTGGCTGTTTCCTTGAACACACTCGACGGTACCCGACTGACAGTGGGCGCGCGGTTGTATCCCTACCACGAATATAGTGGCTCTCGGCAGCAGCCAGCATCACTGCCTTCTTCTTTAGCTTTGGTCTTGGTTGGAAGAAGGTGACGTTGCAGACAAAGAAGCTCATGGGTGGCGAAAAGGACTCCAATGGCCCGGCCTCGGACACCTCGGGCACCGGGCCCGCGAAACACGGGAATACGGGGTCGAATAGCACTGAGCGGGTGAAGTCTGGCACTGCCTGATGGCATAGCATGTACTTGGCCCTTGGCTGTATGGGTGCCTAGCGACCAGACTTTGAGCTGGATTCTCGCCTCCACAGGCTACCGTTGATGTTCCTTGTGGCACTCTGGCTGTATTGCTCCTCTTTCCAATGCACATAATATCTTGGTCATCGCCCTGTCCCTAGGACTTTGCTCAAGCTATCCCATGCATGCCCGCAACTTGTGAGATGAAAGAGGGTGTGCAGCTTTCTCCAAGCTATTCTTGAATGGTCCGTCCGTAAGGAAATGCAAGACACAATATTGTGGCTTGGGGATCCTCAAGGATCTCAACCTTCAGCTGGAGAATATACCCGCGTGATATTTGGTGATATTTGGTGATATATTGACGAATCATGTAGTCCTCAGATCAGACAAGTACATCGTGTTTGCGCATGTAACCATATGCGGAACTGACGATAAGGGGTCTTTTTTCACCCGGTAAGGCCGCTCTGAACGCCACCCTCATAGGTGGGTGGTATCTCTCTTCCTCTGGACTTCCTGATCAGCCTCTGGTCGGCGATAAGACCGGGATGCCCCGAATAGGAGACCAGTTCGCCGTGGCGCCTCGCACGAAAGGCATGCCTTTGCAGTATCTCACGCCATGGGGTACCCAGACAGAAGGGTGTCTTGCCTGCATGGGTTTGCATTCAACGCCGCTGATGCACGTTACAGCAGAAATATCACACGGGGCTGATGGTCGGGTAACCAATGGCTCCACGACAATTCACGCCATCTTTTCGTCAATATTCCAGACCAACATGCCGTGAGAGTGAACCAGGGAGAATAGGGAAGATGGACAGTGGGCATCTTTAACAGCAGTTTCGATTCCCTTCTTAGCACTTTTTCGCACCTTTGGCCGGCCACAATCCTGCGACGCTTTATTTCCTAGGCGTTTTGTTCCCGTCTCCAGAGACCAGCAGAGCAGCTTATAGCGCAGGGTTGCTACCACAGTCCAGGCCTGACCCAAGCAGGCCGACAATTTCCAAAGGGGCCCAAGCCAAGTCTTGCCAGCCATGGGGTCCTTGAGTCTGCCCCGGAGCCAGTCCGCGATCGTCGGCGTCAAGGCCTCGGCGGACTCGGACTCGGTCAAAAACAGCCTGGGCACCGGCATCGCCCTGCCGGCCCTCGAGGACGACATGTTCATGATCAAGAACGTGGCCGTCGGGCTCAACCACGTCGACAACAAGATGGGCGCCAGCCCCGGCGCCATCGCCGGCATGGACTTTGCCGGCCACGTCGTCGCCAAAGGCCGGCTCGCCCGCGGGGCCGCCGCCGTGCCGATCGAGGTGGGCGACCGCGTCGCCGGCGTCGTGCTCGGCATGCACCCGACCAGCCCCCTCGTCGGCGCCTTCGCCCAATACACGGGCGCCTCGGAAGGCGGCGTGCTGCGCCTGCCCGACCACATGTCGATGGAGCAGGGCGCCTCGCTCGCCAGCGGCCTGGGCACCGTTGGCCTCGCCCTGTTCCACTCGCTCCAGATCCCCGGCTACCCGCTGGAGCCGCCGCCGCAGCCGCAGCCGGCGGCCGGCGCCCAGGAGAGGCGGCTACCTCCCAGGCACGTGCTGATCTACGGCGGCAGCTCGGCCGTCGGCACGCTCGCCATCCAAGTGGTCAAGCTGTCCGGGCTCGTGCCCATCACGACGTGCTCGCCGGCCAACTTCGACCTGGTCGCGTCGTACGGGGCCGAGCGCGCCTTTGACTACCGCTCGCCGACGTGCGCGGCCGACGTGCGGGCGCACACGCGCAACTCGCTCCGGTACGCGCTCGACTGCATCTCGGAGCCCGAGACGATGGAGCTCTGCTACAGCTGCCTCGGGCGGCTGGGCGGGCGGTACACGGCGCTGGAGCCGTGGATGCGCGGGCTCGAGCGGGCGCGCGGCAACGTCTGGCCGGACTGGGTGCTGGGCCCCATGATGATCGGCAAGCCCATCTCGTGGCGCCCGCCCTTCGACAAGGCCGTCGACCCGGCCGTGAAGGAGCTCGGCGCCCGCTTCTTCCGCACCGCCCAGGAGCTGCTGGACCGGGGCCTGCTCAAGGCGCACCCCCTCCACGTCTTGCGGGGCGGCCTGCCGAGCGTGGTCGAGGGCCTTGAGCTGCTCCGGTCCAAGAAGATGTCGGGTAAAAAGATAATATGTCTCGTCGAATAGGTAGTGTGCGAGGTGGTGTCACATGACATGCCCCACAAACGCTAGTATTTAGTCCTGGGATCGTTGGCTTCCTTTGCCGGCTTTCCCTTAATCCGACAGGTTGCACCTCCGACAGGTAGCGTAGCCATACGGTTGGCGGCAAATATAACTGAGCACTTGGGCATTACCATGATAACCATCCATGGCGACTGGGGCGAGGAGGCAGTACCTTGGGAAAGGAGTCTTGCCTAGGTACCTACCAGTAGGCTTGTTCCCGCAAGGATCAATATTACAGTCAAGGAAGCTGCACGCACCACACCCTGCCGGCCCGGTTACCCCAGGGGCCAAGGTGTCAGTAATCGTCGAGAGAGTGTTTTAGCCAATCGATTTAAGACCGTGACGCTGTTCCCTGCCTGGTTCGGTTCATACAAGTCTCAGCGGTCCGGGCAGCGGCCTTGCTGGCGAACCACATGTGCGACCACGCCTGTGCCACGCTGGTGCTTGGCCGATGGCTTCTAGGCTTCTCCCAACTCGGATACCAATATCAAACGGTACACACCTATGCTCGAGAGAGCCTCCATGCATCATCCCAGTTCCGACACCCTCCTTGTAAGCCCAATAATAGTCATGGAACCAAACACCGCAGACATGTGGCTCACCTGAGAAGGGTGGTTCGGGCGGGACTGGGTAAACGAGCCGCTGTCAGATAGCACATCAAGGGTTTATCCGAGCCAGTCATGATATTTCAAAGCACCTTTGATTCAACGACCCATCCATCCCGCCCTCGAAACGTATTCCCCGATCCTTCGCAGAGCAAAATGAATATTGCCAATAACATGTATACGCCGCATGTGCCTCGCCCGTGCTGCAAAGTTACGTCACCACTTGGCATCTGTTATCCTCATCCACATATTCCAGTGCGAGAAGGTGATGTTGGTGGTCTCATCCCATGGCTTCTCTGGGTGGAGAAACTGGAAATCGAACCACCGGAGGAGCTGCAGGCCGTCTCTGGTGTCATTCTCTTGCTGTCTTGCGTTTTTTTGGGAGGGGGGAGGAAAGGACCTTACCTCGAAAACGGTCTTTTGAAGCTCCATCTTGACCACCGTCTTGCCCGCGCAGGTCCACCGCCCGCCCCCAAACATGATGTCGAGCGCCCTCTCCATGCGCGCGCGCTCCTCCTCGGGCGCGTCGGCGAAGCGCTCGGGCCTGAACACGTCCACGTCTTCGCCAAAGACGCGGGGGCTGCGCGACAGCGCCACCGAGTTGTGGCCGATGGCGGTGCCCCCCGGCAGGAAGACGCCGCCGACCGTGTCACCGCCCGGCGGCACGACCTTGAAGTGGCCGAGCGTGAGCGGGTTCTTGATGCGGAACCCTTCGTTGATGACGGCGTTGAGGTACGGCAGCCGCCTCGACTCGTCCATGGTGATGGGGCTGCCGGCCACGAGCCCCGAGTCGAGCGCGTGCCTGATCTCGCGCTTGAGCCGGCAGTACGCCGACGGCGTCGACATGAGGTACATCATGGTGCCCCGGATCGTCGTCGCCGTGCCGTCCGAGCCGGCCACGATCTGCAGCATGCCCTCGGCCTTGCACTCGTCCCGCGACAGCCCGTTCTTGATAAACGAGCCCTACAAGAAAGGAGCGTAAGCTTCGTTTATGGCCCCCCGTAATTTACTGCCAGTATATGTCAAGGGGCCACACTGCAATATATGAACTCTCACCATCATGTCGTTGCGCTTCTCAGCGTCTGGCTCGAACCTGCGGTCTACGAGGCTGTGGGCGACCCTTGAAATTTTTTCGCGTCGTGTCAATAAGACAAGGGGACAGTTACTATCGACAGCAGCGCCACGCAATGGAGAGGACTCACGCCATCATTTTCCCCAGGCCCCTTTTGGCCGTCAGCTTGGGGCCCATCAGCCTGAAGCCGAGATCCGAGAAGGCGAGGGCGCGAAAGGCGGGGAGCGCCCGGATGAGGGCCACGATCTTGAGGGCGCGGTCGACCTCGCCCACGAACCCGTACTTGTCCGTGCCCTCGTCCAGGTGGCCAAACTCGTGGCCGTACGCCAGGCGCGTGATGACGTCGAGCGTGTAGTACCTCGTGAGCGGGGCGAAGTCGACGGGCCTGGTGGCGGCGCCCCCGGCCGAGAGGTACCTGGCGCGGATGAGCTCGATGAGCCTCAGCAGCTGCGAGTCCAGGGCGCGCTCAAAGTCCGGGTTGTCGCGCCCGCTGTAGCCCGCCGCGGTCCGGCCCTTGACCCGGTCGTGCAGCTTGGGGTCCAGGATGTTGAGCATGGCGTCCTGGCGGTGGTGGAACTTGACGCCCTCGCGGAACGACCTGTGCCTCCCGTACCCGCTGCGCACCCCGGCCATGTGCGCCAGTATGTCCGGGTCGTCCGTCACGACCTCGTTGGGCCCGATGCGCACCACGGGGCCGTACCGCTGCAGGCCCCGCAGCGCCGTCGCGATCTCGCCCCGAAGGTGCTGGCCCCCGAGCCACAGGTGCGAGAAGCTCGCCAGCGCCGGGCCCGGGACGTTGCGGAGTCTGTGCCATACCCGGATGGCCGAGAGCACATACCACAGGACGTATAGGGCCGAGAGTGCCCCGACAATGTGGCGAGCCTCAATGTTCTCTGGGTCAAAGTTGGTGATGATCATGGTGGAAATATTGCGGCAGAACTAAACTACCCGTCGTTCGCTTTGTTTTTTTTTGAGTTTTTTACAGGTGACCCAGGGATGCTCTGCTTGAGGTTGGCGCGTAGGTTCTTATCACGGACCAAGTTCCCGCTTCAACCGCCCTCCAGTGCATGGGTGCTTTTGGATTCGTTGAGCTGGGGTGCTTCGGATGTCAGACCAAGGTCAACGTTCCACCAACTACCCTATCTGTCCCCGTATTGACGTGAAAAAATGATCTGATGTCGGCGCCAAGCGCGGAAGAGACAAGTGCGTTAATATCAAATCAAGGTCAGACCAACAGACGCACCCGAGGAGTGCTTCCCCCTGGCACATGGGCTAGGGCCGGGCTGTGGTGGCGGGCAGTAAGCAGGATGCGGCATGCAGCATGCAAGATTCACGGGCAAAAACGGCGGGGATGAAAGCCATCCAATATAACGACCTGTCCAAAACAGGCAGGGAGGATCATATGATTGGACGCCATATGCATCCCAATCCTCTATCACATCAATATCTGTGTTCTAGGCAAGTATTCGTGTGGCAAAGTCCCTCAGTGGTATCTAGACGCAAAGTGCGCAGGTCAAGACCTTGTAGCGCGAGGTTGCATTATCACCTGTGTTGGATACTCAGTCATCGTGCGAGAGCACATGTGCAAGGTTTCTTGTCCTGCAGGATCAGGAGGGTGCGCACGTTGATGTACCAGCGGAGGGGCTCCTGGACGCTGGTCAAGCCCGAGCGGTAAAAGAGGAAAAGGATTTGTGGGCTGGCGGAAGGCTAACAAGACGCCCATAGGGGTTGATCTATCTAGACGCAGCCAGACACAACCAGACGCAAGGCTGCGGCGGTAGTCATGTTCGCCACCTCCATGAATAACAGGGATATGCCCGCCACGAAGGGGCTTCACCAAGCGGGCTGGATACCCACCCCAGCCTGTTTGGGAACCGCCGGGCCGGATTAGCGGAAGCGACGGCTTCAAGGCCACCAAAGTGTCTAGCCAGCAGCTAGAAACTGTTGTGGGCCTCGCCATCCTGAAGGGGCAACGCTTTTGAACTTGAGCTGCCTGACATGGTTCAAGAATCGAGGGGAGAAGGTGGTAACATTCGTCCGCTAAGCCCGCTAGAGTATCTCGAGAGGCCGGCTTTCCTATACCGTCCTTTTCCTAGCAAGGGCGACAAGCTCGGATACACATGCCGTAGAGCTTTCTCCAGTATGGCCGAGCAGTTCGATAAGTTGAGCTTACGCACCAATATTACGACCCTTGGCTGAAGAAATGTGAACCCATGAGGCCTCCAGCTTTCGGTGCCGTTTCGGAGCGCTTGGGGATTATGGTGTAAAGTATTCCATGTACTGGTACACCCTGGGAAATCTCTCTCGTTGATGGCGATGATCGATTTCAGCAGGAGGAGTCGGTGTTTGAAGACATGGCGGCGCCGCGGTAGCAAGGCTATGACCTGAATATGGTGAAATAAATGCTCTCGTGTGGACCAACGAAGCTGACTGTTTAATAACTTTGATTGTTCCACTCGATATTGCTTGCGTCTGGTTCCAAAATATCTTGTGTTTCAAAATATCAGTGCACCTCCCCAAGCTGCATATTGTGACAAGTACTTTTGAACCAGCCGCTTCAGTTAAGCCACGCCAAGAGCAAGGGGAACCATGACAGTCCCGCAAGAGCCCATAGCCATCATCGGCGCGGGGTGTCGTTTCCCCGGCGCCTCCGACAGGCCGTCGCGGCTCTGGGATCTCCTCAAAGAGCCCAGAGAGCTGGCCGTCAAGATCCCCCACGACCGGTTCAACGTCGAGTCCTTCTACCACCCCATCGGGGCCAGGGGAGGCAGCACCAACGTCAAGGAGGCCTACATCATCAACGACCGCAATATCCGGCACTTTGACGCCCAGTTCTTCTCGTCTCCACCGGCCGAGGCCGATGCCATCGACCCTCAGCACCGCCACCTGCTCGAGGTAGTTTACGAAGCCCTGGAGGATGCTGGCCTCGGCATGGAAGCCCTCCAGGGCTCCAACACGGCCCTTTTCGTCGGCCAGATGTGTACCGACTACTCTGCCCTGTCGAGTCGTGACCTCGACCATGTGCCAAAGTATAGCGCCCCGGGCATCGCCCCCAGCAACGCGTCCAGCCGGGTCTCGTACTTCTTCGACTGGCACGGCCCCACCATCACCATCGACACCGCCTGCTCCTCCAGCCTCGTCGCGCTGGCCCAGGCGGTGCAGACTTTGAGGGCCGGCACAAGCGACGTGGCCGTGGCGGCGGGCACCAACCTGATCCTGGACCCCATGGCCTTTGTTTCCGAAAGCAACCTCGGCATGCTCTCGCCAACCGGCCGGTCCCGCATGTGGGATGCCGCCGCCGACGGGTACGCCCGCGGGGACGGTGTGGCGGCCGTCATCCTCAAGACCCTCAGCGCGGCCGTGCGCGATGGCGACGTCATCGACTGCGTCGTCAGGGAGGTCGGCTGCAACCACGACGGGAGGACACAGGGCATCACGATGCCCAGCGGGGCCGCCCAGGCGTCCCTTATCCGGGACACGTACGCTAGGGCGGGCCTGGACCCGACCAAGCCCGACGAGCGGTGCCAGTACTTTGAGGCCCACGGGACGGGCACCCCGGCCGGCGACCCCCAAGAGGCCTCCGCCCTGGACGATGCCTTTTTTGGGACCGGCGGACAGCGGCTGCCGTCAGACATCCTATACGTCGGCTCCATCAAGACCGTGATTGGTCACACCGAGGGCACGGCAGGACTGGCCGGGGTCCTCAAGGCTTCCCTGGCGCTCAAGCACGGCCTAATCCCGCCGAACCTGCTCCTCAAGGAGCTGAGTCCCGGGGTGCGGCCCTACTGCAAGCACCTGCGCATCCCCCAGGAGCTCATGCCGTGGCCGGACCTGCCCCCCGGGGTGCCCAGGCGTGCTTCCGTAAACAGCTTCGGCTTCGGTGGGAGCAACGCGCACGCCATCCTTGAGGCGTACGAGCCGCCGCTGAGCGCGGCGACCTCCCCTCGGGGTGGTGAACTCCCCGTGGCTGGGCCGCGCCAGGCCCAGAGGCCGGCCACATCGCTGGTACCCTTCGTCTGGTCGGCCAACAGCGAGGCGTCTCTCGAAGCCGCGCTGTCGTCGCACGCGCGCTACATCCGCGACCACCCGTCGCTGGACCTGGAGGCCTTGAGGTTCACCCTGGCCACCAAAAGGTCGGCTCTGCCGCACAAGATCGTTTTCCCGGCACTCGACGCCGGGGAGCTGCTTTCGCGGATGGAAGACTGCCTGGAGGCGCGCCGCAGCGGCGACGCCGACGCGCCTTTGGGCATGCGCAGCACGCCGAGAAGCCCCGGCGGCAAGGGCAAGCACTCCATCTTGGGGGTCTTTACCGGCCAGGGCGCCCAGTGGGCCACCATGGGGGCGCGCCTGGTCGAGTCGTCGGCCCCGGCGCGGGAGCTGATGGGGCGGCTCGACGAGTCGCTGCAGACTCTCCCCGCGCCGTCCGACAGGCCGTCCTGGACACTGCTCGGCGAGCTGCGCAAGGACGAGGAGGGCGGGAGCCGCGTCGGCGAGGCGGCGCTGTCGCAGCCGCTGTGCACGGCCGTCCAGCTCGTGCTGGTCGACCTCCTGCGGGCCGCCGGCGTCCGGTTCGCTGCCGTGGTGGGACACTCGTCGGGCGAGATCGCGGCCGCTTACGCCGCCGGCTTCATCTCGGCCCGGGACGCCATCAGGATCGCCTATTACCGTGGCTTCCACGCCAAGCTCGCCGCCGGCGCCGAGCGGCCGGATGGGAGCAGGGCCAAGGGGGCGATGATGGCGGTGGGCACCACGCTGGAAGACGCGCGCGAGCTGTGCGAGCTGGACGACCTCGAGGGCCGCCTGAGCGTCGCCGCCTGCAACTCACCCTCGAGCGTCACCTTGTCAGGCGACCTTGACGCACTGGAGCTGGCTCGCGAGGCGCTGGAGGACGAGAAGAAGTTTACGCGCGTCCTGCGAGTCGATACAGCATATCACTCGCACCATATGAAAGACCCGGTCGTGGCCTTCAGGAAGTCCCTCGCCAACTGTGATATCGAGGTTCTTCAGCCGCTTGGCGAAGAAGCCCAGCCCGCTTGGTTTTCCAGCGTGAAAGAGGGCGTCGTGATGGAAGCCTCACCAGATCTCAAAGCGAACTACTGGGCAGAGAACATGGCCCAGACGGTTCTATTTTCACAAGCCCTTCAGCATGCGGTCCACATCGTTACAAGCAAGACGGAGCAGTCCCCCTTCAGTTTGGCCCTCGAGGTCGGGCCGCACCCTGCATTGAAAGGTCCTGCCATAGATACACTCGAGGCCGCGGGAGTCGCCAGCATCATGTACACCGGCACACTTGAGCGCGGCAAAGATGATGTCAAGGCCTTGTCGGGTTGCCTCGGGGCCGTGTGGGCTTGCCTCGGCAGCGCCGCCGTGGACTGGGCAGGCTTTATCTGCGGCTACTGCGGCCTGGAGGACGGGCGGGCCTTGACCGCGCTCCGTGGCCTGCCTCTCTACCCGTGGGACCACCGCCGCGAATTCTGGGCGGAGCCGCGCATCGGCAGGCTCTTTCGCACGCAGCAGGATCGCGTGCACGAGCTACTTGGCAAGAAACTCCCAGACGGCACGCCCGAGGACATTCGGTGGAAGAACGTGCTCGTACCTCGGATCTACCCGTGGCTAGCTGGGCACTCGCTCCAGGGCCAGACGGTCTACCCGGCAGCAGGATACATTGCGCTGGCCATGGAGGCGGCCATGCAGATTGCGTCAAGCCGCCTAGTGCAGGGGCAGCATGTGCTATGCATCGAGCTGGTCGACTTGAGCATACACAGGGCCATTGCCTTTGACGAAAATTCCGGCACCGAACTCATGGTGTCACTGGGAGACATCTCGGTGGCCGGCAGCGACCATGATGACGCCATGATCATCAGCGCCAACTTCGTGTGCCGATCGCCGCTGGACAAGGAATCTGGGCGCCTGGGCACCAACGCCTCGGGCGCGCTGACCATCACGATCGGAAACGAGGCAGACGACGACGAGGCTTCTCTGCTCACGCTGAGGGAATGCGAGCGCTCTGCGGGCAGGCTGGCCGACGTCGACATCGACGCGTACTATAGCGGCCTGGCCGAGCTGGGCTATGGATACAGCGGACCCTTCAGGGGCCTTGCCAGCTTGCAACGACGGCTCGGTTTTGCGACGGGCACAATCAGCCGGGAGCTCGAAAACCAGGAGGACCTCGAACACCATCCACTGCTGTTCCACCCGGCCATGCTGGACACGTCAATCCATGCGCTCTTCTCCTCGTTTGGCGTACCCGGAGACGGCACTTGGTCTCTGATGGTGCCATCCAAGGTGCGGCGGGTGACCTTGGTTCCGTCTCTGTGTGGTGCAGCCCTGGCAAGCACAGTCGAGTTCGACTGTTCCATGTCGGCCATGGACAGAAGAGGCTGCATCGACATTGTGGCAGCCGACGGGGTGCGCAAGGCGATCGAGGTCGACGGGCTCGAGTTTGTGCCCTTTTCTCCCTTCACCGAAAAGGACGACCGGCTCTTCTTCAGCAACGTCACCTGGCAGCTCGCCCGCCCCGACGGCAACAAAATCGGCACCCACAACCCAACAGAGTGGGATCTTAAAAAAGTCGCCGACCGCGAACGCGTCGCTTTCTGGTACCTCCGCACGCTGCAGGAGCGGACATCTGCCCTGCTACAAGCTGCTCTTCCCGATGGCCACGCACGATATCAAGAGACGCCGGCCGAGGGATGCGCACAGGACGAGACGGCCACTCCCAAAAACAAGCCCGAAGTCGCGTGGCACCACCAGGCCATGTTTGACTTCGCGGCCATGTGCGTCGAGCAGGTGAAGCGAGGCAGCGACCCAGTTGCGAAGCCTGAGTGGTGCTCCGACACGCACGATCAGGTTTTGGGGTTGATGGCGCCCTACGGCGACGATGCAGACTTTAACATAATGAGGGCCGTGGGCGAGCAGATGCCGGCCGTCGTCCGGGGTGACAAGACGATCCTCGAGGTCATGATGAAGGATGACATGCTGCCTCGCTTTTACTCGCACGGCATCGGCGGCGAGGCGGCGAACTCGGCGGTGGCGCTGATGCTGCAGCAGATCACCAACCGGTTTCCACACATCAACATGCTCGAGGTTGGGGCGGGCACGGGTGGCGCGACCTGGGAGGTCATGTCGCGAGGCACTCCTTTTGCGACGTACACATACACGGACGTGTCGGCGGGCTTTTTTGAAAAGGCGCGCGATAAGTTCGCGGCGTACGCGGACAAGATGATCTTCAAGGTCTTCGATATGGAGCGAGAGCCGGGCCCGCAGGGATTCAAGGAGAACTCGTACGACGTCGTGGTGGCGTCGCACTGCCTGCACGCGACAGCGTCGCTCGAGAGGACCATGGGCAATCTACGACGACTGCTCAAGCCGGGCGGCTTCATCGTGGTGCTCGAGGTGGTGCAAATCAACACGATGCCGCTGGGCCTCATAATGGGCGGGCTGCCAGGCTGGTGGATCGGTCGGGACGACGGGCGCGTCCACGGGCCCAACATCACGCTGCCGCAGTGGAACAGGCTGCTGAGGCGGACGGGCTTCGGCGGCGTCGACACTTTTACGCCCATGACAGCCCCGCGGCTGCACACGGCCACCATCTTTGCGGCGCAGGCGGTGGACGAGAAAATCAGCCTGATGCGCCGGCCCTTCGCGGCGCGCACCGAGGATATCAGGTTCCCGCACCTGGTCGTGCTGGGTGGCGAGAGCATGGCGACCGCAGCCCTAGTCGACGAGCTCGAGGAGGTGCTGCGGCCACGGTGTCAAACGCTAGTCGTGGCGTCCACGCTCGAGGAGCTCGAGGCGATGCCGCTGCCGCCGCTGACCGCGGTGCTCAGCGTGGCGGACCTGGACTCGCCAGTGCTGGGGCACGGACTGGGCGAGGCGCGCTGGCAGGCACTCCAGCGACTGCTGGGCTCGGCGAGCGCGATGCTGTGGGTGACGCACGGGTCGCGGTGCGAGGAACCAGACTCGGGCACCATGCTGGGACTGCTGCAAAGCATCTGGTACGAGCTCGAGCATCTCCGCTCGCAGCTGCTCGAGGTCGTCGACCTCGGAGACCTGACGGCGGGCCTCCTCGCCCAGCTGATGCTGCAGATGCAGCTGGACCAGCAGTGGAAGGGTGGCGGCGTCGACGGGGACAGCGTGCTCGATCCCGAAAGCACGCTGTACTCGATTGAGCCAGAGCTGCTGCTCGACCGCGGCGGCGTCCTTAGGATCCTGCGGCAGAAGCAGGACGACGAGGCGAATGCGCGCTACAACTCGCATCGCCGGCTCATCACCAAACCCGTGCATTTGGGCAAGGGCGCCAAGGTCGAGGCCCGGATCGGGCAGAGCGCTGCGGTTGCTGGTGGCCTGGAGCTGGAGCTGACGGAGCTGCAAACGCCTCCTGCGCTCGGGGCAAACTTGCACGTGGCGTCCCACTGTTCTTCAGCACCCATGGTACACGTTCACATGTCCACGGCTTGGGCAGTCCAGTCCCCTGCAGGCCTCCACTTCGTCGCCCTGGGACGCGAGCAAAGCAGCACGGGAAACAGCCGCGCTGTCGTTGCGCTCTCGCACACAAACGCGTCGGCCATTGCTGCTGATCCAGACGCTTCTGTGCCCGTTGACGCGCCGGGTGCCCTCCATCATGCGGCCTTCCTCGCGCTTGTCACAGCGCGCGTGCTCGCCAGACACATCCTGGCCAGCACTGCGCCGTGCGCCGTCCTGCTCGTCCACGAGCCCGGGCCTGTGCTGGCGGCAGCCCTCGAGGCCTCGTGCGAGCCGCTCGGGACCCGGCTTCTGTTCTCATCCACAGTCGGTCGGCACGCCAAGAACAGGCAGGGATGGATTGCCGTGCACCCGCGCATGCCCCACGCGGCCTTGAAACGCGCTCTCCCCGGCCGAGTTGATAGCTTCTTGGACCTATCCAAGTCACGCGCCGCAAAGGACGCTGGCGCCAGGCTCTCCTCGGTTCTGCCACAAGCCTGCCGCCGCCAGCATGTCGCAGATCTTGTCTCCCACGAGGCAACCGTGGCCCATACTCTACAGGCTGGGAGCTCAACCCGAGTGGGTGTCCTCCAGGATGCAGTCGATTTCGCCCAATCACAGATGGCCCTGCTCCCTGAGCTTGGGGACGCAACGACGTCACTGAGGCTGTTCCGTGACGACGGCGACAGTTCCCCCACCTTGAACTTGCCTCGGCAGCTCTCAGCGGAGCCGCTCGCCCTTCTCGACTGGTCTTCCCGGCCGGGCGTCCCTGTAGCCGTCAAGACCGAACCGATCGACGTGCGCACCGACATATTCCAGGACGGCAAAACATATTGGCTGCTGGGCCTCGCCGGCGATCTGGGCCAGTCCCTGGTCGACTGGATGGCCAGCCACGGCGCCAGGAACATTGTCATCAGTAGCCGGTCTGTCAAATCGCAGGTGCTCCCAGGCTGGATTGCCGCCCATGCCGCCCGGGGCGTGACCGTCCTGCTCGTCGAGGCCGATGTCACCAACACGTGTTCCCTGAAGTGCGCCCGCGACGTCATCGAGGCGAGCCTGCCGCCCATCCGAGGCGTGGCCAACGGCGCCCTGGTGCTGCGCGACCGGCTTTTTATCAATACTGATTTCGACACGTTCCAGGCCGTCCTGCGCCCCAAGGCGCTCGGCACGGCCAACCTCGACGCCATGTTCAGCGCTCCGGGCTCGCTTGACTGGTTCATCGGCTTCTCGTCCATTGTCGCCGTCGTCGGCAACTACGGCCAGAGCGCCTACTCGGCCGGAAACAACTTTGTCAAGGCTCTCGTCAACAAGCGTCGCCGGGTCGGCCTCCCCGGCGCAACAATCGACATCTCCACGGTCCGAGGCGTCGGCTATGTCGAACGGGAGCAAAAGGCCGGAGTCATGACCGCCAAGATGGTTGAACGCATCGAGAATAGTGCCATGCCAATGTCGGAGCGGGACCTCCACCAGCTCTTCGCCGAGGCCGTCAAGGCCGCGCCGCCCGATTCGGGCCGCCACGCCAACATCACGTCTGGCATCCAGCTCGTCCGGTCCGACCGTATCAACAAAACCTTTTGGGCAAACAACCTCAAGTTCTCGCACTTCGTCGTTGAAATCGGCCTTGGCAACCAGGATGCCTTGGGCAGCGGCAGCAAGGTTCTGGTCAGATCGCTTCTGCTGGAGGCCGGCTCTGTGGCAGAAGCCGTCAAGATCGTCCGCGACGCCTTCACGGCCAAGCTCAACGCGACGATTCAGAATCCGGCCACGGAAAAGATCCCCGACTCGCAGCCGCTGATCGATCTAGGCATCGATTCCCTTGTTGCCGTCGAGGTGCGCACTTGGTTCCGCCAGGAGCTCGGGCTCGATATGCCCATGCTCAAGATCCTCGGCGGCGCCACCATGGCGGAACTGGTCGAGGACGCTGTCGCCAGACTTCCCCAGGAGCTGCTTCCCAGGGTGAAAAAGACTGGCACCAACGATCCTGCGACCTTGTCGCCTCCACCAGACGAGGCGGAACAGACAACAGCTCTAGCCAAGGAGAAGGAACATGATGCTGAAGATGACAAAGACAAGACTGGCTCTTCGTCGGATGGCAATCAAACGTCGGAGGATACGGGCGATACCTCGATCACCAGCCGATCGGGAACCCCCGTGTCGGAACCAGCAGCTCGCCCATCGGCACCAGCCCTGAACCCTTTCCAACCCGAGATAATCAGGACGGAACCAATGAACTTTGGGCAGGCCCGCTTCTGGTTTCTGCGCAAGTACCTGGACGACCCGACCACAGCCAACGTGGCTTTCTACTTCCGCATCACAAGCAACTTCAGCCCATCGGGGCTGTCCCAGGCTCTGTACTGGGCCTGCGAGCGGCATGAGGCGCTGCGCACGTGCTTTTTCTCGAACCCAGTCGATGCAACCACCTGCCAGGGCATAATGCGCAAAAGCGCCATCCGCATGGAACACCGCCTCGTCTCGAACCATACAGAGGCGCGATACACGTTCGAGACGGTGAAAAAGCATGTCTACGACCTGGAAAGGGGTGAGACGCTGAGGCTTGTCCTGTGTGAGGAATCACCGACCTCGTACTACTTTATCCTGGGCTACCACCACATCCTGATGGATGGCTTCAGCTGGGAGGTTCTGTTTTCCGAGCTGCAGAACTACTATCGCGCCAGCACCAGGCAGGATTATATCCCTCCGCCCGTGACTCGACAGTACGCCGACTGGTCCCGCAAGCAGCTTAGCGATGTGCTCGGCGGCTTGGAACTGGCCACGGACCGCAAGTTCTGGCGCGAAACTCTTAGTCCGCTGCCCCCCGTCCTACCGCTGCTCCCACTCTCCCGGGCAGCTGGCCGGAAACCACTCGGAACTTACGAGCTGAACAGGGCCGAAACACGCATAGAGCAAGGGCTTGCACAATTGGTCCGCAACGTGGCAGCCGCCCACAAGGCCTCGCCCTTCCACGTGCACCTGACCGTGTTCCACGCGCTGCTGTTCCGCCTGACAGGCGAGCCGGACGTCTGCATTGGCATGGCGGACGCCGGGCGCACGGAAGAAGAGGACGTCGGCATCGTCGGTCTGCTGCTGAACCTGCTGCCGCTACGATTCGGTGTTGCATATGGCATCGACGGACGTGTGGACGAAGCAAAATCAAAAGTAGGCGAGTGCTCCTTTGCCGATGCGCTCCGCCAGACCCGCGCCAAGGTGTATGCGGGCATGGCCCGCGCCCGCGTCCCCTTCAACGTCATTCTCGACGACCTTGCCGTCCCTCGCTCGACCAGCCACCACCCCCTCATCCAGGCCTTTATCGAGTATAGGCCAGCGCGCAAGATACAGTTTGCAGGCATCACGGGTGAAATTCCTCCGAACAACACCTCCCACGCCCGCACGCCGTATGATATCGAGCTCAACGTCAACGAAAACCACGCCGGTGATGTTACCGTCTCGATCGGCCTGCAGTCCAGCCTGTACTCGGCAAGCGCGGCAGAGCTTGTTCTGGGCAGCTACACGACACTCCTGGAGTGCTTCGCTCGCAGCCCCGAATCCGCCATCCGCGACCCCGACGTCTACCCACGGGGCGATATTGAGCTGGCGCTCAGGCTCGGGAGAGGCCCCTCGGCTGCAGTCCAACACAGCACCGTCTCGCAGTTCGTCGATGCTGTTGCCTCTGAAAACCCAGACAAGACCGCTCTGAGGCATACAGACGACTCTGGCAAGACCCGCTCGCTCTCCTACGGCGAGATGCTCGCTCGCGTCATGGACATCCACTCCTCATTGGCTGACGCTGGTGCCAAGGCCGGGTCCCGGGTCGCTGTGGCTGTCCAGCCATCCACGGACTGGGTCTGCTGCATGCTGGCAGTCATGCGGGCGGGCGCTGTCTACATTCCGCTCGACTGCAGCTTGGGCACGGCGCGCTTGACCCAGATGGGCGCCCTCGTCAAGGCCGATTTTGCTCTCGTCGACAGCGTCGACGTTGGTGCCCAGGTCGAGGGCTGGCTGGCATCTGCCAAGGGGAAAGTTGCTGCTATCCTCGATGTCCATGGCATTTCAGCGGCGCCAGCTGAGACTGGCAAGGTGCAGCTCGCCAACCTTTCGGCGCCAGATGAGGCGGCCGCCATTCTCTTCACCAGCGGCACAACAGGCACACCTAAGGGCATCTTGCTGCGGCATTCCTCGCTCGCCAACGTCGTCGAGACCACGATGGCGCCGCGGTTCTATGGTCCCGGCGGCCTCGGCCGGCAGACGGTCCTTCAGCACAGCGCGCCCAGTTTCGACATGTCGTTCGAGCAGGTCTTCCTCGCGCTCTGCGGCGGGGGCACGCTGATCATCGCGGACCGCTCCCTCCGGGGTGACTCGCGCGCGCTGACGAGGCTTATCGCCGACGAGGGCGTCACTTTCACCAAGGCCACGCCGCCGGAATACAGCTCCTGGTTCCGCAACGGCGAAGCGCTCGGGCCCGACACGAGCCTGAAGCACATTTTTGCGGGTGGCGACCGCATGACCCAGGGAATGGTCGACGAGCTGAAGCGCCGTCTGCCTACGGCCGTCTCCAAAGGGGCCGTGAGACTCTTCAACTCGTATGGGCCAGCTGAGGGCACTGTTATCGTGACCAAAACTGAGATTCCCCTTGATAGTCTACCCGATATCGGGGGCCCCGAGGCTGCAAATCAGCAGGCGATGATCCCAATCGGATTCCCGCTTCAAAACTGCGCCGTATATGTGGTCGACGACTCCCTGAGACTGCTGCCTCCCGGGGTCTCGGGCGAGATCCTCATCGGCGGCGCCGGGGTCGCGATGGGCTATCTCGGCAGCGACGATACTCCTGCTGGCGGAAACGGCGGGGACAAATTCCTCACAAACCCATGGGCGGACGAGGACTTTGTCCAGCGTGGATGGACGAAGCTCTATCGCACAGGGGACAAGGGAAAGCTCACGAGGGAGGGGACGCTGCTATTCGAGGGCCGGATTGAGGGCGATACCCAGATCAAGCTCCGGGGCGTGCGAATCGAGCTTGAAGATATCGAGCACAACATCGTCCAAGCGTCCAGGGGCGCCATCGCAGAGGCCGTGTGCTCTCTAAGAGGAAGCGCTGCTGTGCCCGAGACGCAGTTCCTGGTCGCGCATGTCGTGCTCTCGGCCCCGGAGCCTTCTCCGCTCGAAAAGGCCGCTCGCGAACAGACGGAGGGGCAAGAAGACGAGCCGCAGCCGGCAGACCTCCTTGTCCATGTTCTCGCGTCGTTGGAGTTTCCGAACCACATGAAGCCTGCGCGCCTCATTCCGCTCCCGCGCTTCCCCAGGACTCGGCATGGAAAGCTCGATCGCGCAGCCATCGCCGCATTGCCCTTGGATTCCGCCTTGGACTCCGCCTCGGAGGCGTCGGACAACCGTGCGCTGACCGAGACCGAGGAGAAAGTGGCGTCCATCTGGGTGCAGATGCTGTCTCCCGAAGCAGCCCCTGCCTTGGGAATGCGCCCCTCAACCGACTTTTTTGCCCTCGGCGGCTCCAGTCTGATGCTGGTCGAGGTGCAGGCGCACATTCGGGCCTCTCTCGGCGGCGTCGATGTCTCGCTGCGCGACCTATACCGCGCCCATACCCTTTCGGCATTGGCGTCGCGCATCGACGAGCTGGCGCATGCCTCGAGCCTCGACTGGGAAGAGGAGTGCGCGCCTCCTCGTGCCGACGAGCTTGTCCTGCTGCCGGAATCCAGCGTCGTCCCTGGCGGTCCCAGGACAACAGTCGACAGCGGTGGTGCCGAGGTCATACTCACCGGTGCCACAGGCCACCTGGGACCCTACCTCCTGGAGCGCCTGGTATCGGATCCCAAGGTCTCCAAGATCCACGTGGTTGCCGTCCGCAGCGAAGACAGACTGCGCTCCGTCATCTCCGCCATGGCTCCGGCCGCGACCGCCGCTGCGGCAGACAAGGTCCTCTCGTACCCGGGAGACCTCACCGCCCCACTGTTGGGCCTCTCTACCGAGGCTGCCAGCCAGCTCGCCGGAAGGGCCACGGCCGTGCTCCACGCGGGCGCCGCGCGCCTGTCCTGGGAGACCTTCGAGACCCTCCGCGCGGTGAACACGCTCTCGACGCGGGAGCTGCTCCGCCTCGCGGCCCCGCGGCGCCTCCCTTTCCACTTCATCTCGTCCGGCGGCGTCTTCCCGGCCGAGGAGGCGCCGGCCGAGGTGTCCTCGGCCCCATTCGCGCCCGCCCAGCTAGGCGCGGACGGCTACGTGGCAAGCAAGTGGGCCAGCGAGCGGATGCTCGAGCGGGCCGCGCGGGACCTCGGGGTGGACGTGCGCATCTACCGGACCGTCCGGTGCGACGGCGCCGACGACCCGGCCTCCCCGCTGGACGAGTCGCTGCCCGAGGACATCGCGGCCGGCATGGCCAGGGCGACCATCGAGAGCGGCACCATGCTCGACCACGGCGGCTGGGCCTGGAGCGGCTGGTTCGATCTGGTGAGCGTGCACCAGGTCGTCGAGGCAATCGTCGGGCGCCTTCTCGGGGCCGCCGATGCCGGGGCGATCCAACAAGCCGAAGATGACGGCGAGGACGGGGGCATGGTCGAGTTCACGCACATCAAGGGCACCTACCGGGTCTGGAAGGTCGAGCAGCTCCACCAGCTGGTCCTCCGCCCCGAGATCCAGGCCAACATGGGCAGGCTGAAGCTCGTACCCCCGCAGCTGTGGCTGGGGCAGCTGAAGCGGTCTGGCTTCCCGTGGATGATGGGCGCCAATCAGGCGACTTACAAGGACTGGGTGAGCAACAGGCGATGAAAGTGTGTTTGTGCTTCAGTTGGTTATTTTGGCTTTTCTTTCTTTCTTTTTTTGCCTGTATGTCTTCGCCCTTCTCTGTTGCACTTTTCTTATTTCCTTTTCTCCTTCTTGGTCAGAAAATATTTGTCCCTTGATGCAGTGCAATTCTTTCAATATCCACTATGTTCTACCTTCTCAGCTTTGCGTATCCCATCACTCGAAAAGAAATACCGGATGTTCTACACCTGCTCGCCCACCTCTCCTCCCATTTTGTGCACATACTTGGCGTGCTCGTCCCGCCACTTGGCCTCGACCCGCTTGCGCATGGTGGCCAGCATCCCCCTCGGGCACCCGATCGTGACCGTCTCGACGAGCTTCCAGGAGGAGGAGGAGGCGACGGCGACGAGCCTCAGGTCCCGCTCGACGCTGACGTCGAGCGCGCCCGCCATGCGCGCGAACAGCCCGTCGGCCGTGCTGGTGACGTCCCAGCGGTTCGTCGTGCGCTGGAGGCCGCCGGGGAGGAGCCACGCGAACGCGGCCGGCATGGCGAACGCCTGGTCGTACGACTTGGTCTCGCCGGCGCGCGCCGCCACGCCCTGCGGAAGCGGTCGCGGTTGCGGTTGCGCCGCGGCCGCGTCCGGGGCCGCCACGACGGGCTCGTGCGAGAGCGCCAGGTCGTCCAGGGCGAGGAAGAAGTCGTGGTCGTGCAGGACCGCGAGGGCGGCGGCCCTGGACGACTCGGTGTTGTGCGTCCCCTCGTGCCGGAACACGGTCGTGTGCTCAAACGTGTCGCGCGTTGTGAATACTGCCAGATGATTGAGCGGGCGGGGGAGAGTTGTTAGCGGCTTTTTTTTCAAGAATAAACAGAAAAGAACAACAGCAGTGCCTGCCAGGTCCTGATGATGTCCCTCTCCGCGCGTGGTGAAAGACGTACGGCCCATTTTTTTTGTGATGCTGCAGCAACAGGGTCGATGTATTTTGACGCTTTTCTGATCAGGTACCTATCTAGGCAGACAAAAGATGGTAAGGAAGACAGAAAGAAAGCTCGGGAGTGCCCAGAGGGTGAGCGAACCCCCTGACCCTTATATACACCCTCTACCTCGGCGAGATGGGCATGGGAGATGGCGGCCTGAGGCAACGATAAGAGCAGGACAAGCCAGTGCCCTGAGTACGTTGTCCTATCTGACGTGGCCAGCAATCTAGGGACTTCACAAATGTCAGGACTGGGGTATGTCTCGACAGCCCGGCCGTCAGCCCCTGACTGCGGAAGCAGATGCCTACCCATCACAAAACCTCACCCCAGCCATACTACTTCTTCCGAGGCGATGGGCAGGAAAGCATCAACGTGTATCTTTCCAATCCCCAGCCGCTCCATCACCCCGTTCTCTCCCGGCGCAGTCAGTAGGATCACGTCGAAGTAGGGCCAGAACTCAGTGTTGTCGAAATGCTCATCATCGCACCACGGCCCAAGCATGAACCTATTCGCCTTGGCCAGGAGCCTATCCTTGCGTTCACCGTCGTCGGCCTTGGGCTGCTCCGTCCAATGCCTAAAGCGGCGGGACTCGGCGTCCCAGGAAGGATCACAATAAGGAGGCATGGCGCATCTGTTCGCTGTAGAGCGCGCGATAGCCAAGAACTTGCGCTCCCGCCCGTCCAGGTCCGGGACGAGCTCCGCTTCCACAATGACCGTGCCCGCGCGTTTCCCGCGGCCGTCGAGCACGCCGATGTCGCAAATCTCGTGCGCCCCCGAGCCGCACGAATTCAGGCCAGTGTGCTGCTTCGTCAATCTGAAGGCCGCCGTTTTCCCATGTACCTTGAGTACTCCTGGCGTCGCTTCGTTCCCGATGCTGTGGGGAGGGTTCTGCCGGACTAGGGTGCTTTTGAGCGGGCGAGGGTAGAGGTAAGGGGATTGCCGCCCATATTCGCTGAGGGTGTAGTAAATCCTGAACAGATCGTCGAAATGCCGAGTCCACGACTCGCCCACGACAGTTTGCTCGACTTGGCAGGATGGGGTGTCGGATCGCACACTTAAACGGGCTCCGTCGATTGTTTCGATGGCGACCTGGCTCGCCGTGCATTCGCAGATATTTGACAGCAACTTCGGTCCTCCGGCCCCGTACGCCACTGGGCCGCGCCACCCCGCCCAGGACCAGCTCGGGAACTTGGTTATCCGACGCGGGCCAGGTTTAACATCGCCAAGGCACATTTGCCACAGCAAGCCGTCAACGAAGGCAGACGTGGGGATTCCCTGGAAGAACCAGCACCTCATTTGCACCTGGAGTTGGTTTAGTACCCCCTGAAAGCCCCGGATCTTGTCAGCTTCGTTGGTCAAGGTCCGTCTCGTGTACTCTGCCACAGAGGTGGCGTAAATCTCAAAGATGTCCGATTCTTTAAAGGCCATCTGGTACCTGTCGTCGTACTGGTCGATAACGGCTCGTTCTTCCTCCTCGTCTTTGTCCTCCTCCATGTGCACCTCCTCCCACCAGCCACACCGGAGATGGCAGCGGTAGTAAAGCTGACTCTCGGTAAAGCTTAGCGTCCGTGTGGATAAGAGCCGCTCCTGGTACGTCCACCCTCGCGTGTTCCACTTAGTCATGTTGATCGTATCGTCAACGTGCAGCATGTTGGCGACGACCAAGCCCTCCCCGACGGCAACCCTCATCTGCTGGCTTTGGCGGGGAACCTCGGGCATCACCCCCGGCAGGCCCGCGTCGGCGTCCGCCCCGGCAGTGGCCATGATGGTAACCCACGCCTCGGCATAAACCGCGTCCATCCTGCCCGTGTTGAAGATTATGCTCGCCTCGTCGTCCTGCTTGATGCAGAGGGCGTCGGCCCAAAGGTACCGGCATCCGAGCTGTCGCACGACGGCCATAGCGTGGACTATAGTCCGCGATGGACGCCCCTCGGGCGTCTTCAGGACCCCGGGGGTCGCCATGGCCCCCGCGTTAGCGGTGCCAAGCTTCACCTTCTGGTCCTTCCCCCACATGTAGCTGAGCGCTACATACCGGGATCCCTGCGGCAGAGGGAGCACGCAGTATTGGTCAACATCAATGGCCAATAGGCCCTCCGTTTGCCACGCCGGTAGCGCCCCTTCGCCGCTACCGGCCACGCCCGTCGTCCCAACGATTGTGCTGTGTCGAGCCTCGCAGCAGCCTATCCATCGCCTGATGTTGACCCAATCTATTATCTTCCGGTCGACGCGCCGGCCGAACAGCGCGCGCTCCGTCTCCGTGGTTGTGTCGCCATCATCTGCCAAGAGCTGCAGCTTCGCCCCAATGTGGTACTCGTCATCCACCCTGACTTCTCTCATCCTCCTATGGGGCAGCTCACTCAAGCCGGACAGCTCGAGATAGAATATACCTGGTTTCCCCTTGTCGTTAAACCAAGAGACTGCGTCCAGGCCCATTGGTTTTTGGTGGAGGCGGACAACGAACGGCTTATCCCTCGGTGTCTCGAGCTGGGCTCGCAGGTATTCTTCCCCGTAGTGTAAGTACAGGGTGTGTTTGACCAGGCTGCAGAAGGAACAGCCCATTCGGCCAAGTATTCCCTTGAGCGTGTCGTATTCAAGTTCTTCAGGTTCTTTTATGGTGAATAACCCTTTGAAAGGGAGGCTCTGACAGATTGTGCAGAGATCTGGGCCTCCGACTCGTTCGACAAGCTGCGCCATTTCCTAAAATCAGGGACCGGTTAAAGGCCCGAATCGCTTGCCAGAAAAAGAAAGGACAGTTGGACAGATTGAGGGCAGGCCCAGGCAGATTAAGCAAATGGAATATCGAGGGCAGGAGTGTTCAGGTCGCGAAGGCGAGCACGGCGCAGTTTTTTGGGGGGGTAAAAATCGAGAGGCAAGGCATGTCAGCAGGGAAATGGAGGAAAAGGCACAACTTAAACTTCAGGCAGCACTAGTTGGGCACTCAAAGGTGCACTTTTGTCTTTCCGACATCACCATTGTGCACTTTGCAAATCTGAAAGCCACAGCCAAGGATGGCAGCCGGTCAGCTCGCTACTGTGCCGAAACTCGCTCATCGTGGAGGCCTATTAAATACAATCCGTTCGGCCACCTCGTATGCGATTCCTTTTGTGGGTGAAGTAAATGCGTATCCCATTGGATCCACGTGTCTGCGGGTGTCCTCGACCTCCTGCAGTGGGGGAGCATCGGCAATCGAGTCCTTTCCCGGGAGGGCTGATGGATATCCTTGCTCCCTGCTTTATTGGCTTAGCCGTATGCAAGCCTTGTTGCTTTTTCGCCAGCCCTCCCCAAAATTCGCCCGGTCTGTAAGTAAAATATCAACGAGGTCTGCAGGACGGGACGGCTGTCGCGTGAAATACGTTGTCGTGACAAAATTGTGTGATGACCTCTTGTTTTCCTCGCTCCACCACCCAAAGACGGCCCCTTTATACTTGTTATTTGGAGCCCACCCTCGGGCTTGCCCCCTTGGTCTTGGTCCTGTACGAATATAAACACCTACTGGTGCTTCCCCAGCAGCGCTCCCAGGCCTCGACGGACCAGCACCCGACGGCCTGAGATGCCCCAGGCTGGAAAGCCCACCCGCAAACATCTGCTTGTCATCCAATGGGCGGTGAAGTTCTCTGTATGCTGGGATCGAGCAAACTGTCGGATATGAGTCAGCGACGCGAGGGGACGACGAGGATCTGCCCAAGCTTCACGACACCCTCAGCCAGCACGGGCGACAGTCTACCTCTACCCTCGGCCGGTAGACAACGCCATTAGCCAGCAGTGCCCACCAATCTACCCAGCAGCCTCGGGAATAAAGTGATAGGAGTGGGTAAAGTACGTCTTCCGACTGACAGAACGGAATACCCGCCCGCTTTTCCACCGTCAGTTGACATGCGGCTCTGGCGCGGCGCACGACATCTGCCACACTAGCACGCTCGACGCCCCTGCCGACGCCTCGCGAGGAGGGTATGGTCCGTGCGGGCGCCGTGGCGCCTCGCCCCGGCTAACGGGCGGGAGCGCCCGGCCCGCCCGTCGCGGGGTCTGTATCGGGGAGAATAACCGAGGTGCCTCCTTAGGACGTTGACTGCCGCCGCAACTAGCCCTAGACGCACGCCCGGGAGCAGCCGCGGCGGGTAAGAGGACGAGTGTCCGCGCTTTGGACACGACCGCGGCGGGACGCGGTATAATACTCGACGGAGCAGCTCAACATGTTGTCTGTTTTCGGCCCTTTTTCGACGTGCTATGGCTGGCTAAGGTCGGGACAGAATGGTGTGATGGAGAGGTTCGGGATTGGACAGATGCACCTACATATCGATGTCTTTCTGCCGATCGCCCGAAAAGGAAAGCTGTGACTCGGGTAAGGCTTCCATTACGGTAACCAGAACTATCTATTATGGTAAAAAGATAACGGGAAAAAGACACAGAAACTGTATGAAGGAAATAAGTACAAAGTATTAAGCTATTAAACCACAAGCCCAGCGACGACTCCAAAAACGAGTACTGGGAGGATAGCCACGACGTCGATCCTAGCCCCGCGGTTAACGTCCACGGGAACATAAGGGGCACCGCTCGTGCTCACCAAAGAAACGGTGGCTGTGGCCGCTTCGCTGGTGCCATTCGCAGAGCAAGCGCTGCTGCTAGTGCCAGTGTAGTTGGTTGGCACAGTCGCCGCACAGACTAGGACCCACACGATGGATGATGATCAAGACGCGCTGAACGCGCGCTCCGAACACCGGAATCCCCTCTTTCCTTCCTTTCCTCCCTAGATTAAAATCTTCGTTCGTAGCGCCAATTAACTGTTCCCTGGTCTTCAACCATGGCCGTGACAGCACGGCACTGGCATTAAATAAGGAAGACTAACAGGATAAAGGTTGGCCGAAGGCCACACTCTCCTTCAACATTTCTTTTCCTCCTCAGCACAAGTTAAGGGCCTTAAATGCCACGCCGTAACCCACTTACTTGTAAACCACGTTATCAAAAGAAAACGAAAAA